CCTATATATCTCATTTTCTGTGAGAGATATCAAAAAGTGGCTAACTAATAAAATGTTGCTGATATCCTGATAAACATTTTACTAGTTAACCACTTTTTGATATCTTTCAAAAGAAGTGAGATATATAGGCTCAAAGTGAACGATCCGGGTGTCGTTCTATTAGAGGTTTTACGGTAAATGGACTCAACTTTGACAAGTTGCAAGACAGATTTTTTACATCTTCTGGATAATTTTTAAAAAATTAGCTGAATCTTGATAGTGTGTGCCCTTCTATTACAGGTTTTATGACCTGTCTTCCTACTAAACTCTACTCATAAAGTATTCCATCTAAATTTCGCTGATATCTACAAATAGATTGTTCTAAAGACGGGAAATCAGGTCTCGGCAACTTTTTCTGCATAGTCAGCAAACATTCGGTTTTTTAGGAGAAACGGAAGAACAAAAAAAAAATGAACAGACAAAAATCACAGAAAACTTTTTCTCAATGATCTTTTTGCAAAACGAGTGAGTTCAGTTTTGCGATGATGCGTGTAATCTGGTTCTCAAGGTTATTCATCTTCTCAAACTTCCTACTCTACTTATAATACTTTTCTTTTTCTATTTCTTCTCTATGTATCTGCTATATTTGTAAGAAATTGAATTGGAAAATTGCGGGAGAAACGGGGAACGATTTTTGAGTTTCGAATAAAAAAATGTCAAAAAAAAGTTGAAAATTGATTTATTTTGATTGCCTAAATTCAATCATGTTTGCTACTTCGGTAGAAAGCAACTAAGACGTAAGGTGGTAAATATCCATTGAACATGATAACATACTAAAAAACATTATAGTCCCATGTATCATAAACACTCTAATAGAATGACCCCTCTCTTAAATTTGAGCTCAACTATCTCGACTCCTGGGAAAGATATTGTAAATTTATCAACTGATGAAATCTTGGTGATATTATAATAACAATTTTGTCAGTGAACAACTTTGGCATATTTTTCACAAAAACCAAGATATATGGGCTTAAATTTGACGTTTTGAATGGGCTTTTATAAGAGGAAATACGGTAGATCGTACCCTTCAAGGTTGAGCCAATTTATCTCGGATCCTGTAGCAGATTATGAACATTTGACAACTGAGGAAATGTTGATAATATTATGATAACTAATTTATCAGTGAACTACTGCTCGATATCTTTCACAGAAATCGAAATATATGGACTCAAAGTTAATAAGGACATTCTGTTAGTTTACGGTACTTTTTCTTGCTTTGACCTTGCTTAACCTTTTTCTCAAAATTTCAGATTTTCAAAACTTCAAAAAACTATCTTTACGTCCACTATACGAATTCGTCATTCTACAAAACAGAGTCAGACAAACATAAGATTTCCATAGTCGGTTTCCATAGTTTCAGTAACGTTTTGATTGACAGCTCTGGGAATTTTCGACGAAAACATTTTTTTCTTTTTCTGTTTTTTTCTTATTCATTTTCTTTTTATACTCAGATTTATTTTATTTTATTTTTTTTTTTTTTGCGTCGTTGAAGTACATAGTGATTCAGTGCCACTAAAATCAGTTGTCTTGAATTTCTTTGAGGCGTTTTTACCCCGAATTGTGTATTTGGTATTTCTAAATCGCTTTGTATTTGAATGAACCAAAAATTACTGTACCTTCCTAAATATTTGCATCTATTAAGGTCTTCTGTGAGCGTTCATTATATCTTATCAGAGCCTTTATGATAAGATATGCAACTAGCTGTGCTAACAATTACTTTCCCATAGTCACACGGTCTGTTCCATAGAGAAATATGAAAATATTTTTCAGAGAAAAACCTAACGAAAACAACAAAGCATTTTTTCTTGAATGTTTTTCGTCCTCTCTCTGTCTTTCAAAACTCATTTCTCAAAACAAAACACGTTTCGTTTTCTCTCCCTCCCTCACAATCTCTGCCCATTTGTCTTCCCGATCTAGAGTCGTTTTTTTTATTCCTTCGTCTTCTTCAAATGCCTGCCATCCTTCTCTTTTCCCGCTTTCTTTTCTATTTCATCCATCCCACACACCGAACACAATGAGTCAACTCTCCCTCTCCCCGCTATTCCACCGCCGCCACCGCCTCGCATCATCCCAGCTGCCCCACATCGATCCGTGTGTAAATGCGCTCCATTGCCAGAGAGAAGTGAAGTAGGCGAAGCAGTGTGTGTGCGCATGCTACTGCCGTCGTTGCACCAACATCTTCTTCTCCGTCGCTCCTCCCGTCTTCTCCAGCCAGTTTTTTTCGTTATTTACTGGAAAAGCAAGAGCAGTGCGCCTTTGCCTTCTCTCCTCGCTCTTTTTATATCTTTTTTTGCCTTCAGGCAGCCTCTAGTGCCACGTGTACCACGTAGACACACTCATTTCGATCATTTTGGCGCGGCTGATGTGAGAAACAAAAACCGATGACATCTCATTCAACGGCGCCATTAGGCTGCTGGTCAAAATGGTATGAGGAAAAGAAAACAGGATTCCTTCCTTATGCGATTCGAATCTGTGTTTCTTTTTCTATCCTGGCTTCCCGCTCTTGTTCTGATTTCACAATTCTCATATTCTTGTTGTTTTTTTCCTACAGCATCAGATGTTTTTATTCTCGCCTGATCGTATGATTTTAGCTCGTTCAAAAAGTTTCACTATAGGATTTCCACCCCACGCCGTGAGAGTAAACAGTCAACAATGCGGCTGAGAAAAAACCCAATGTTTGAGAATAAGGTTTAGTGTTTTGTAGCTTTCTAAAAGTAGAAAATGATTACACGAGGTGTTTTATAATATACAACAACGTATTTTCAGTTGATTTTTTGGCCTTTTTTTTCAGAAAGCGGCAAGTAGCTTGCAAACTAGGATCTTCTGAAAATTCTGTGAATGCTCTAAAGTTTTCAAAGCAACTGGATACTTGACAGCCAAGCTCCAGACTCCTCGAAACGGTCAAAATCGTCGATTCTCTCGGTTTTTTCTTTCCTATCGTTCCCTCGGTACAGCAAGTTGTCCATTCCATTTTTGTTATCAGTAGACAGGTTCCTATTCTCCCCCTTTTCTATGATCATCGATTTTTTGTCATTCTATGACTTCTGCCTCTTATAACTGACATACTGTTGACTCATGGGTTCGATTTCCATCAATCTATTTGACTTTTTTCTCGGAACCTCTCAATTTCCTGCTCATTCTAATCAATTCCTTTCCACCACTATTTCACAATTTCCTTTTCAATTTCCAGAATTTTCTCAATTTTCTCCTTTTCATTTCCTGCTCGTTTTTTCAACTTTAATTAAATCCAACTCTTTCTCTACAGAAATGTGCTAACATGACCATCAACGGCACAGAGGGAACCACATTTATCCGGTCGGCGTCCGCACAAGGACTGGCCGGCCTCTGCACTTGGGCTGCTCTTCTTATCACCAGTCATCAAGTATGTTGAATATTTGATTGTTTGAGGTTATGAGAGAGACAAAGTACATCGTGAGAAAGTAGTCATTAGGTTTTGAGGGGGAAAGGATAATTATGGATTTTGGCTAGACGCTGATTATTACAATTAGAAAAGTCAGAAATTCAGAATTATAGAAAGTACAAATGCCGAGTCTATGAGTGATGAGTAACACTAGATTGGTCATCAGATTCTTAATTTTGGGCAAAATTCGCTGCTCGAAAATATTGGCCATAATGAAGGTCTTACTAGGGAATGGTGTAAATTGGGTATGAAGTTATGACACAAGACCTATATCTTTGGGAAGCTAATTGTAAGAAAAAGGTATTTACGAATATGATATCAGGATTATCTATAATGTCGATAGCTCAGAGAAAACTAAGTCAAAAGCTTTGGATTGTCTACTGTTTTCCTCAATTTTAATAGAAACTGTGGATCGCATAAACGCTGAATACATAAATCCGAAGTTTCTATTAAATTGAAGATAATAAATAGAAAATCCAAAGTTTAAGTCTGATTTTCTCTTAACTGTTTGCCTTGTAGTCAGTTTTAGTATCACATTTGTAAATAACAGATTCTCAGCTTTCCAATAATATTGGTTATGTGCCATGACTTTTACACCATTCCCTAGTGAGTGTCCTGTAGATCGATATACCAAAAACGTATTTTTCAGGTTATTTTCGGCAATTCAGAAACTGACGAATAGCTGAAAAACTAGGAATTTTTTAAAAATTCTGTGAATGCAAAGTTTTTAATCTAGGTCTGTATCACAAAGTTTTCAAATAGATCGGAAACTCGGTAATACATGCATATCTCGCTAGCCGGTACTTTCGTTATCCAAATTTTTCCTGAATTTCGAAACCTGATGACTAAACTGATGTACTACTCATTAGTAATAAATTTGGTAAATGCACTTTCTATCAATCTCAGCTTAAGTTTTAATGATCAGTGTCTCGTCTTACCATCAATCCGCGTCTAGACGCTGTTACTGCGTCCAATGATTAAAAAATATACGGAAATCGACTGTGTTACGCCTAAAATGTATTTTTTCAGATCTACCAACATCTCCGATTTTACTCCTGTCCTGCCGAGCAACGCTGGATTGTTCGCATCCTGTTCATCGTCCCAATCTATGCATTTGACTCATGGCTATCTCTCATCTTCTTCTCGGACAACGTCTACATCTACTTCAACTCGATTCGTGACTGCTATGAGGCATTTGTGATTTACTCATTCTTGTCGCTGTGCTATGAGTATCTGGGTGGCGAGAGCAACATTATGGCCGAGATTCGCGGAAAGCCGATTCGCCCGACCAACTATCTGACGTGCACCTGCTGCTTGGCTGGCAAGCAGTACACCATCGAGTTTCTTCGCTTCTGCAAGCAGGTGAGAAAACTAAAAATGGGTCAACTATCAAGAAAAAATTAGCTTCCATTGATTTTGGTTCTCTCATTATTAATCTGAGCCAATCTCACTATTCCAAAGGGCAGCGTGATTGATGCTAATTAGATTTTATGTGCTCGCTTGCTTATTTTTTGGGAGAAGGGCTGATTTTTGAGATACAAACACTAGGGAAATTTACATAGTAATCGAGAAAAAAGAGGGATAGAAGGTACGTGCATCTTTGAGAAATAGAATTTCGTGGTTGAAGAGGAAAAGGAAAAGGAGAAGACGGAAAAGAAATTGGAGAGAAAAGAAGGAGATGAGCTATTCCCGCGAAATGACTCTTTTTCTTCAAGAGATGATATTTTTGAATTTCCTCATTAGAATATTTCAGGCAACTCTCCAATTCTGTTTCATCAAACCAATCATGGCTGTCATCACCTTGATGCTCACCGCAATTGGAAAGTATGAGGATGGAGACTGGAGTCTGGATCAAGGATACATCTACATCACGTTGGTCTACAACGTCTCCATCTCGCTTGCTCTCTACGGAATGTTCCTTTTCTATGCCGCGACTCGTGATCTCCTCAGCCCGTATCGCCCGGTTTTGAAATTCTTGACTGTCAAGAGTGTCATTTTCTTGTCTTTCTGGCAAGGTTTGTACCTAATACTTACAGTACCGGTCAACGAGATGTTCAAAAACGTGTTTTTAGTAGAATTTCTGCTATTTAGACCATTTTCAGGAGTTTGGAGCTTGACTGTCAAGTTTCCAATCAAGGCTGGGCTGCAGTTATATATCAAGGCTGGGCTGCAGTCATAGTTTCCAATCAAGGCTGGGCTGCAGTTATACTAAAATCCGTAAATTCTGTGAACGCAAAATTCCAGTCCTGTTTCCGTTCCTTTTGAAAACAGACATAGATTGAAAACTGTGCATACACTGAATTTTTGGAAACTCCCTAGTTTTTCATAACCTTGTCGATTTATGAAAGATACTCTTTTGTTAACCTGAAAACACAGATGTCATCCAGAAATCGGCAAATATCTGAAAAACTGGAAATTTCCGAAAATTCTGTGAATGTAAAGTTTTTAATCTAGCTTTGTTTCACAACCACCTCAATTTTGAAAATGATCCGATACTTTACAGTCGAGCTTCAGAACCCTTAAGATGCCGAAAATCAACTGAAAACCCCATTTTTGTGAATCCTATTGACCGTTTCTGCATGTGCTTGTTTCAGATGATCATGAACCTTTTTTCCAGGATTCCTCATCGCCATTCTTGGTGCCACCTCTGCCATCGACCCGATTTATGATGCCGACGGAAAGGAAGTGATTGGACGTGGAACTGTTGCCGCTGGATGGCAAAACTTCTTCATCTGCATCGAAATGTTCTTCGCCGCCATCGCCCTCCGTTTCGCTTTCAATGTCTCCGCCTATGCTGATGCTCATAATGGTAGGGATAACTGAATTAATGCATAACTAAATTATGCAATTTTCAGCAAGCAGCGCCAACGATGGACGTCCAGTCACACTTCAATCCATAAGCTCGTCGCTCAAAGAAACTATGAACCCTAAGGATATTATGCAAGATGCTATTCACAATTTCCATCCACAATATCAACAGTACACTCAAGTAACGATCTACTGAACAGTAATTAAAGAGAATTTTGATTTTTTCAGCACTCCAACGCTCAACGACCGGTCAGTACAGGTTTCTAATTGCTTAATGTTACCACCCCCGCTATTTGTTATTATTTGCCAATTGTGTCTTGTGAATATATGTCCAGCATGCTTTCTTCTCAAAAACTCGTATACTGTTTTGTTGATAAAATTTTAAATGATATTAGTGTCTTGGGAAATAGCTGGTTATGGTTTGTTGGGAAAATCGCATGGAATCTGGTGATGGGATATTGTAGCTGAGATCTATTTGCCCATTTTCAACTTTATTGTATTTCAGCAACAACCGGGAACTAGCACCAGTACTGAAGAACAACGAATGTCCAAAGCTGGCTCTGCAATTAATTATTCAACAATGGTGGAGAGCGGAACGCACGATTCATCATCTGGTGCACCGTCTCAAGCCACTGGAAACCTTCTTGACGCATAGAGACGTTTTTTTATTTATTCGCACACCTCTCAAATTATATAATGGCATCTGCAAAACAACCTTTTTCCGCGATTTCAACACTCTTCTCGATTCCATTTTCCACATCATGTAATATTTTTATCATATTTTTCTCGCCAAAAAACCTATGAATTTGACAGCAAAAAAAACTGATAGAATCTCAAACACAGAAAGCTAAAAAAAAATCTATGTGCAAGTTTTCAGATGATCTACGTACCATGTGGATACTGTCATATCGCTCTTTCCCCCCATCCAATTCAAGAATCTCATCCCCATACTGTCCATATATACTTATACAACCAACAACACACGTCCTACAGCAATTGTCATCTGTCCACCCAATAAATTATCCTCTTTCTTATCTGGATACCCACTTTTCTTCCTTCATCTCTTTTCTTTCCTCCTTTCTCTATCGCATTTATAATTGTATTCGTTTTTATTATGTCTAGAATACTGAGGTTCGAATAAAGCGTTCTGTTAATAAGAGAAGAGGAAATTCAAAAAATGAAATAGAAATTTATTTGGGAATGCATCAAAAAAATAAATAATATTGGAATCCCGAATAATACTTTCGCGAATTCCAAAACAAAAAAAACAACAAAAATATTCTAGCTTAAGCAAAGAAAGAGCACTGGTCCTCGTTGTTAAGCTCTTCTGGTGTTTGGGAGTAGAGGAAAGCGGAGAACTCCTTTTCCTTAGTCTCCTCAGCGATGGCAGCAGCGGTGGTGGTTGTTGTGACTTGTTCGGTCTGAAATTTCAAAAAGGATTATTTCATAACTTTGTCTCAAGCACTAACAGTAGAAGAAGCGGCTTCAGTGGTGGTAGGGGCTTCAGTAGTTGTTGTTGTGGTGGTTGTGGTGGTTGTTGTGGTGGTGGTTGACACCTCCTTGTCCTTGGCAGTGATGAACATCTTCTTAAGCTCGTCACGGATTTGTTTGGAGAGTCCAGCGAGGAATTTCTTTTCCTGGAAAACGGTTTTTATGAACCAGAACTTTTTTTATGAGCTGGAGAGGCCACTCACATTAAGACGGAGCTCCTTCCATTGCTCAAAAGCTTTTCTAGCTTCAGGGGTAAGCTCTTGGAGTCTTCTGGCGACCTCGACCTTTCTGGTCTTGAGTTCTTCTTCCCATTTGTTGAAGAGAGCGAGCTGGAATCGGGAAACCATAAAACAATTTTCGATAAAGTTTCAAGAGCACTTACAGATTCTCCAGTCAGAAGTGAGTAAGCCAATTTCTTAAGAGCAATCTCCTTCTCTTCGACACTGAGCTTGTAGTCAAACCAAACGTTTTTGAACTCTTCTCTGACGGCGGAGGAAACGTTTTTCAAGAAGGATGGACCACATCTTCCAGCGAAGACTTTGTCGCGCTCCTCAGTGGTCAATCCACGGATGACGGCTCTGGAAATTAAAATTGAGAGAGTCGGCATTTTATTCATGAAGAGAATCAGTTTTAATAAAGAAAGCTGACAATATTTGTTTACAAATACAGTACCGGTCAATAAGAGAGTACAAAAACGTATTTTTCAGTTGATTTTTGGCTATTTCAGAGGAATGGAACACGGCTGTCAAGTTCCCAACCTATTTGAAAATTTTGGAGGGTTTAAAAAAACCTAGATTGGATACTTTAAATTTATATAATTATTTGAAAATTCCTTATTTTTCAACTATTTGCTGATTTCTGAAAGACACCTTTTTCCCCGTTTTTGTACTGAAAATGTGTTTTTTAGAAAGCGGCGAATAGCTGAAAAATTAGGAATTTTCTAAAGATTCTGTGATTTCAAAATTTTCAATCTAGGTCTGTTTTACACTTTCTATAGTTTTCGAAGTGATTGGAAACTTGACAGCAGAGTTACAGACTTCTGAAAATGGTAGAAATAGAAAAATACGGTATGTAGACTAGTACTGTAATTCTGGAATAGTAAAGCAATAAAACGTTTTCTAATTGTTTTTTGTACATTATTCACTAATTTTCATTCCAAAATGATTCACCTGGTCTCTTCGTGCTCCTTCTCGCAGGTGTTTCCTTCGGTGTAATTTTCCCAGATTTTTGTGATTTTTTCAGCTGCCTCAGTTGGAACATCATTGATAAACTTTGGAATACCACATGGCTTAGTCTAAAATAACAAAAAATATAACGAAAATTCTGGAAAGTTGAAATTCTTACTCTTCTGTGCCAAGATCCAAGAGGATTGAATGGGTCAGAATGACGAGGTGGGAAGGATAAAACGAGACCAGGTAAGGCGAGAGCTATCACCAAAATTTGCATTTTAACTGATAAGAAAATGAGAAAAAGTGCCCGAGGAATATGAAAAATGAGAGCCTGTCCGTCTTCCTTTCTCTCCCATCTCAAGAACAGCTTTTATAGTGCAACAACAGTTGGCGGTGACTAAAAAACGGATTTTTGTCTGCGCCCACGTTTCGGTCAGCACTATTTTGGCCGCTGCCCGGTGTCCGCCTCCAGGTAGAGCAATGTCCGCAAATGTGTGCGAATAAATGCGAACGAATTTAACTAAGACAAACATTTGGGGCAGACGAGCCGGTCACGACCCGAGCCACAGAGAGACCCCATGGGGCAAAAGATTGTGTGGACAGTTTGCAGAGAGCCCCGCGAAACTTTTTCCTTGGCAACAGAGAGTGGGCAAGCTGGTTTCTTTGACCGGAGACTCGATGAAAAACGTTTTAAGCGCACCTAACAAAGACATTGCCGGGTGGCAGTGTTATGTTGGTATCGCCCTTTTTCCCCCGATTAAAATGAGTTTTGCTCGAAATAAGCGCGATAGGGGTCAGGCTCGGAAAATCGTAAATATTTTTGATTCTAGGGCCTAATTCAAAATTCTGTTCAAGCCGTTGATAAGATTACGTTCTTCTGATTATGTTTAAAAAAACAGTTTGGCCGTTTCTATCAAGTTTAACTATCGATGTGCCCTGTCACATATCAAAATTTTGCTTTTTTCAAGATGATAATTTTAAGAAATGGTACGGCATTTGAAAAATTGATTTTTTATGTCGCAGGATTCTATTTCAAACACTCTAGGCAAACGGTGCGCAAGTAAAAATCACAAAAACAAGTATGCCCCTCACCATACCGGCCGCCGAGGATCACGAATTCAAAGCAGCCAAGTGCCAAAAATCGAAATTTTTCGGCATAACTTGTGTGAGCATGACTTCCCCCGGGGTATTGACATGTTTCTATATTAAATCAAGTGTGATGAATCCAATGGTCATAATGAGAAAAAAAAGTTAACCTAGGATTTTTGAGATATTGAAAACGTTTTTGATTTTTTCAAAAAATCAATAATCCAATCAATAGGAAAAAAATTAAAAATTTTATTCTCAAATGTTCAATCAATTGTCTATCTACTGTTTTTTTTAAATTTCAACAAACGAACATAAACTGACAAAGTTATGATTTTTTGAAAATTTAGGCATTTTTTGGTACTTTTTGGACCATAACTCCCAAAAAAAAATTTTTACCAACTATTCCGTTTGGAATCTAAAATAACTTTTTACGCTCTATCCAATCATATAGGTCTGGATTTTTTTCGAGGGTAACACTTGGGAGTCATTCCATGTTAGTGTATAAATACGCAGGGTGTGCCTTGTTCAAAAATGTCGTCTGCCAAGTTTCGGTGAGACGTTAAGGGGATCCTGAGAAAAGAGAATACATATGCATAGAAAAACCAATAAACATTCAATTTAGTCTCCCACAATTTGCAGGTTGTTTCAAAAAATTATTTCAGCGGGAATGTCCTATTTGAGCGCCGTCCCATACTACCAATTTGACTTCAATTATTTCGATTCCTTCAAAAGCTATCAAAAATCTGTCGATCGATAAAATATGTGTTTTAAGTTTTCCAACATTTTTGTAGTTAACTAATTTTCATTATCTCTTACAGAAATTGAGATGATTGCGCTCAAAGTTTAACTTCAGGATGGCGTCCCATGATGGTAGTTTTACAGGTTAGAAGGCGCTCATGGAAAAACAGCTACAAACAAAAACATTCTTTCAGAAAAATTTCTTATTTTAATATTCGCCAAATCTTAATTTTTGGGTTTGAAAATGAATCTAAACTTACAGTAAAACTAATATAACGCCGGACTGTTTATATTTTGGGAGAGGTATTTTGATGTGATGCAATATAAAAAAGTCGATTTTTGCTTGATTATAAGGAAAGCAAAATGAGAAAATCGTGAAATTTTTCAGATTCCTTTGCTACTGTGCGAATTATGTAGAAAACATTGTTTCGCTATGTCGAATCACTTCCTAAAAGCGTCGTTGTATTAGAATATGCTTATATGTATTACAGTTGTTTACTGTACTTGCACTTTAAGCTCAATTATTTCGATCCCTTTGAAATCTATCAAATTTTTGTCAACTGACAAAATTCTTGTCGTAATATTACCAACATTTTTTCTTGTTTATAAATTTTCATCATCTCTTACAGAAATTGAGATAGGTGCGCTCAGAGTTCAATCTCAGGATGGCGTCTCTTTCAAGGCTTTTAGAAAAGGGAAAGCTATTTATGGTTACGGTATTTCTGGGATGGGTACGAATTGGTGGGCTGTGGGTTAACTGATTTTATTCAAAGAACGGACGGTTATGTCTATGGCAACACCCATGTTACCAACAGCTTCGGTCCATATTTTTTGGAAAATCTTTCATTTTGATTCTCGCAAAAATGAAATAATGTCGATATTTCTTATACAGAGTTTTATTCAAAGTATAAATTCATCTTACAACACCTACTAACAGATTTAGACTACAAACTTGAATTGTAGCCATCTTCTAGCCAATTTTGTTTGTTTGATCTCAAAACGTGTGTTCTGGAGATATTCCTGAAAAACCTTGACCCGCGTTCGTCAACCTCATCATAATCTTAAAGGAATATCATCTCAATATGAACATTGATGTCGATCTTTACCGTATTCTTTGTCCCACGGCATAGTCAAGATAAGATGATTCGGATGGATAACGGACCCGCGTCTGGCAATAACACTAGACACCTCATTCGGTCTCCATGGTCTCCTACTGGCTGATATTTGTTTCATTTTTGTGTCTTTCTCCGGGTCACGATGCTGTGAGTTTGCGCCAAAATCTGGGTCAAAAACAAAAGTTATTTTTTTTCAGAAAAGCTTCTTTGCCGATTTTGTCAGCGGCAAAGGTCCATTCAAGCAGGCAGATGCTCTGAAGTTCCTTGACAAAATGAATATTTTGAACAAACTCCAAGCTGAAATTCTTGAAGTGCAAGCCCCCCCAGTAGACATTTCTGCTGATGATTTGGAGACTATGGTTCAAACAAAACCAGACGAGATTCCCTATCTGTTTGAAGGAGATATGGTTTTGACTGACGAACAATGGGATATCATTATTAGCAATGTCCGTGATCAGTACTGGGCAAGAAAATCTTCTCTGCATGAGTTCCTATATGCTATCAGAGGAAAAAGATCAATGACTTCTTCACTATCTCTTCGTTGGACCTTCCCGATTCCATATTATATTAACACTGCTACTGGAGGTAATTAATAAGACACGCTTTTATCCATAACAGACAATTTTCAGCTGATACCAATGCAATTCTCGCTGGTGTGGCTAAATGGGAAGAGGAAACTTGCGCGAGATTCACTAGACTAAATCGTTTACCTTCAAGAGGCAATGCATTAGAATTCATTTCCGGAAGCGGGTAAACGAATCTGATTTTTAAGTATAATTACAGCAAAATTGAACGTTACAGATGCTGGTCATATATTGGAAGAATCGGATCATCTTCTCAGCAAGTTTCGATTGGTGTCGGCTGCACATCACTTGGAACAGTTTGTCACGAAATTGGTTAGTTTTATTAGTATGAGAATATCTCGAAAAAAATTACGAATTCCAGGACACGCCCTTGGCTTCTACCACGAACAGGCTCGCTACGACCGTGATGAATATGTCTCGATTCTCACTCAAAACATCCAATCCTCATATTTAAGTCAGTTCTCTAAGCAATCCTTTTCGAGTATGGTCGACTATGGAGTTGGATATGATTACGGATCAGTGATGCATTATGATCAACTGGCCTTTTCGTCAACTGGAGGAAATACGATTGCAACTTTGGACCCTAACTACCAAGCTACCATTGGGCAGAGAACCGCACCATCGTTTGCTGATGTCAAGAGAATCAATTTGGCTTACTGTAATTGTAAGTACACACAAATTTAGCAAATGATTCGGTGGGTTTAAAATTTTTTGAAGTCATTGAGAATCCTCTATTCAGGGGTGTAAAAGACTTGAAACTTTTCAAATTTTGTACCCGAATTGCCAATTTTTTACTCTTAAATTGTTTATACATCGTCGTACCCTTGAATGGTTGTACCCTCGAAATTAAAAGCTCACTAGTTCAAGAATATACAGAACCGACCAATAAGATGTACAAACACGTATTTTTCAGTTAATTTTTGGCTATTTTTGATCATTTTCCGGAGCATTGCTGTCAAGTTTTCAATCACTTTGAAATATTCACAGGGTCTAAAACAGATGTAGATTAGAAACTTAGCATTTACAGAATTTCCAGACAGACAATCTACCTACTCTGAAAAATAGTCAAAATACCCGAAAATCGACTGAAAACCCGTTTTTATTGACCTGTTATGTATTTTCTTAAATGGAAACCTATACTAATTTTTTAGCTTCTTGCACAAACACCCTCAATTGCCAAAACGGAGGTTACATCAATCCAAATGACTGTAACGCATGCAAATGTCCCCCAGGATTTGGTGGCCAACTTTGCAATGTTGCTGGCACTAGTAGCAATGGATGTGGAACCGGAGATCTCACTGCCACTAGCACAATCCAAACGATTTCAGCTTCTGGAGCGTTGACTTGTACTTATGTGATTACTGTGAGCTCTAACTACTAACTGGAAAAAATCCTAAAATTCTGAATATTCCAGGCTCCCGTCGGCGCAAAAGTCTATTTCCAAATGACTGCTGCCACATTCTCCCGTTCCTCTCCATGTACAAGCAACTACCTGGAAATTAACTATCGTGGAGATTTTACAAGAGTCGGAGCTAGATTCTGCACTTCTTATCCTACTATCTCACTGTCTGAAACCAACCAGTTGGTTGTGATCTACAGAGGAATCAATGGGGCTCGCTTCTCACTCAACTACAGATATGATCCTGTCACTTTCTCTACATCGGCTCCAGTGACAACTACCACCACTTCTACTAAAACTACAACTCCACTTCCAACTATTTCACCAACTACAACAACTACTACAACAACTACAAGACCAACGACCACAACTACACGAGCGCCAACTACTACAACAACCACTACACAACAACCAATCACTACAACTTCACAATGTGCCAGGTGGAGTGGTTGTTCAGCTCAATGCGGAGGTTGCGGTACCCAATCCAGAAGGTGATTAGAAATCTCTTGTTATCAAAAAATCAATAATTTCAGATGTGGAAGCTACGTTGAGACCGTCTACTGTAACACAAACCCATGCACTGGAGGATACTGCTGTCGTCCGTTCTTCTACGTCACATCCTTTGGAACTGGTTATTGTAGACGTCCGGGAGCTGATGCTCCAGTTATCACGCGTTATGAAAAAGCTGTGGAACAACCGAGAAAGGGTTAATAACTGTTTTGTGGATATATAATTATTCTCTGTGAGAAAATTGTTAATCATTGGTAATAAATGTGATTTGACAGAGTATTTTCTGATAGAATATAATTAAAATTATTAAAATCCAAGGCTGCTTGAAAATCAAAAAATATTTTTTTTTGAAAATTCTAGAGAATCCTATAATTTAGAAATCTACAGTAATTTAAATAGTTTTGTTTCCGGGACGACTAAAGCTATTATATTCATCATTGTAACGTTGAGCCTGTCAAAGTGAACCTAAATCACCTTTTCTTTGATTTTGATTTTTTGAGATCATATTTTAAGACCGGGACGTTTGGCTTACTGTAGGTTTCTAACTTTCGGCAAGAATACTCAAAACTCCACTCGCTTGATTTTTGAGCTATAATCTAAATTTTTGTGTTCACTACGTTGAGACAAAAATAAACATAATCAGCTTTCCGGCGGGTTTTGAAATTTTGAGTTTGAAAGCCCATGTGCCTGAAAATATTGAAGAAAACCATTTTTTTTGTTGATAAAGTATAATTATGCTCATTCAAACCGGTGTTTTGAGCAGAGTCTCAAAAATTAAAATTTTGGGTCGAAATGAGAGAGATTACATTGGAAAATTGGAAATTTCAGGGACAGATTGATCTGGAAATAATATTTTCCTGAACTAAGGGTGAAAATCATTGCATTGGTCAGTACAATTCCCAAAATTTTGAAAAAATATTTTCAAAAGTGTATCCAAAAAGTATTTCTTGTCAGTACACTTCCATAAAAAATCACTAAAAAACTTTTGCAGCTGAAAACATATTTTCAGATGATTTCCCCTTTTTATAACACATACACACAGACTTCCGGCTTCCGTTATATGAGCCTTTGTAGAGCGAAATGCACTTTTAAAGCTTAAAAAAAGCAATCAGTTTGAACATTTTTTGGCAAATTATCTTTAATTTTGAGAATTTTACATTTTTCAATATTCTAGATTTTTTGCTAATTCTTTGCTTTCTTTTTGCTGATGTTTTTGCTAATTCAAAATGTTTTCTATTTCGTCTTCGAAGTTTTTTTTTAAAATCTTCTGAAAAAGAACTTTTGAGTTTCTAAAATTACTGAATTTTATAAAATTTTTGTAATATTGACCTTTTGAATATTAGTGTCACTTTTTTGCTCAATCCCATTTCTTTTATGAACAAGAAATTTCTGAAGCACATTCTCGCAAAATCATAAAGTAATGAGGCGATTCCCATTCCCTAAGGATCATATTATATGGACAAGTCGACATGATCTAATTTACCATGTCTTTTATAACACTTCCTCTTCTATGATTCACATTTGACAAATCAAATGTATCCCCCTTTCACTGATTACGGTCACTATACAATAGGAGTCGATTGCGACAATGTTTGGCTTTTCAGAACTCTTTCAATGTTCATAAACCCTTCTTAGATTGAATTTGATAAAAAAGAAAGTTTCGAGATGGAACATGAGATGTGCTGCGCAAATACCGTAAGACAGGAGGAGGATAGCTAATGAAGTGTCCCAGCACTGTTGAATAGTATGTTTTATCTGCTAATGGATATCAAACAAAACATTAAACAAGACAAAAATTTGTATCCGATTTTCATTTTCCACATTTCCTGCAAGACGAATTTTTACGCTAATACTTTTTTGATTACAATGTACTCCACAAGTCATCCCCGGAAGTGTGAAACCCGAAAACAATTAGAAGTGTCTTCCCTTTCATTCATACATAAATTGGCTTACAATCTCTCCACGCAAACCGAGCCAATCATCCAAATTAACTGTTTAATCCGCGAGCATCCCCTTCTTTATTAACTGGTGTCCTCCAGAGAAGTGTTCTGAAGTATGTGTGAAGAGAAGTCGCGAAAAGGAGGGGTGAGAGGGGGGGGGGGGGGGGGGGAGAGGCAAGAGGGGCCCGAAAACGAAGTTATCGCAAATTTACATTGTAGAAAGGAACCATTTTCAAGCATGCTGGACCTGGCATCCGACAGCTTTGTCTTTTTTATTCAACCTATAATAATAGTTTTTTTGTCTTTCGATCAAACTTTTGTCTTTTGAGCCTTCTTTTTTCATTCCTCCAGTACATACGATGTTGAGAGGGGTATTACGGTAGTAAGAGCAAATAACTGAAGAATGGAACAGATCAAAGGGAACTCTTTTGATTTCTTGTTTTTTTTTATGTTGCTCTTTGACTATGTGTCCCTCGTAATAGCCAAGTAAGTACTTTTGAATTTTCAGTTGATCTATATCGAATTTTAGCGAAATTGCATAGGAATAGCCTCATGGAATAGCCAAGTAGATAGTTTTTAACTAGCAATTTGATTTATTCCGAATTTCAGAAGAAATTGTATAATAAAATATTCCGAAATACAGTTTCAATTAAAAAAAAATTCCTAAAACACTTAAATAACTTTTTGAATACTGTATTTTAATAAATTTGAATCTTAAAGAATACAAAACCACAGATTTTTCTTCATCAAATGCCTTCAAATGTTTTTTAGAATAACCGTTGCTAGCAAAATTACCCTATATTAAAAGGCCCCCCCCCACATTGTCAAGTTTGAGCTCGTTTATCTCGACTCATTAAAAAAATTTAAAAACAATCTGTCATCTGATAAAATGTTTGTGACATTATAATAAACAATTTATCAGTTGATCAACTTTCCATATCTTTGACATGAATGTAGATAAATTGGCTTAAAATTAAAAGTTTTAGAACCTTCTATTACAGGTTTTCCGGTACTCCCATTAATTTGAATATTTCGATTTTTATTTTCCACATTTCTTTGACATCTTTGACATATCACTAACCATTTTTCTTTTCCTTCACCAAAAACGAAACATTTGTTAGCACAGTACCATAAAAAGTCAAATAAATCGCGAAAACTCGATTCCATGCATACATTTTTCTCGAAAATAGCCTTTGTTTATTCTTCTATTTTTCAACGAAAACTTACCACGTTTTTCTAGATGATGATTTTTTAAATTTTAAAAAATTTGCAAACAGTTACGCTCTATGAGTTACGCTCTAATATTTAAGGATCTAACTTCCACTTCACTGCTCCTGGAGACGTACTGATCAACTAATCAGAATGATAACATACGACGAAGCTCTTGTGTTTTGAAGCTCATGCCAGCCAGAGCTTCGACTCTCCCCATGTATCTATTTCCTTCTCATTTACCGTATGCCTCAACTCATTTTGGCTCCGCCTACTGTCTCCCTTCTATTTGTGCGGCCGCCTTCTTTTCTTGGCCACTGAGACGAGGGAGGACACGCATAATATAGCACACGTCTCTCCTTTTTTTTCGGAAAATTTACCATTTTCTTCATTCAGGTTCTCTCCGCCCTCGTGTGTTCTCTCTTCAGTTTACTTTATGAGTCGGTGTTTCCAGTTTTGTGTAGTTCACCCCATACATTCATCATCATCTTCTTTCCTCAAATTTCATATTCTTATTATTATTTTCTAAAAAAGTTTCAGCTACGACATGAGTGACCTTTCCTGTTTATATCCCACACTTTTATGTGCTGCTGAAACTGCCAAAACCTCATATGACGAGGATACCACTTCTGTTTCATCCGGGTTGAGCCCACCAGGATCACCGTTGGACTCACAAAACTCATTGGATCATGTTAAACGGCCAATGAACGCTTTTATGGTTTGGAGTCGGGGACAGAGGAGAAAAATGGCACAGGTATAACCGAACCAAAGATTCAGCTAGCTTTAAGCATATGATAGTTTTAAGGATAATCCAAAAATGCACAACTCGGAAATTAGCAAACGGTTGGGTGCGGAGTGGAAACAACTCTCAGAGCAGGAGAAGCGACCTTTTATCGATGAGGCTAAAAGACTCAGAGCTTTACATATGAAGGTACATAGGATCGTGTTTTTTCGTGTTTCAATGAAACCTATATAATTTCCAGGAGCACCCCGACTATAAATATCGTCCTCGCCGGAAGCCAAAATCCGCTAATCTGAAACAACAACCACGTCTGAACATCTCAATGCCAACTCTAACGCCACCCACACTTTTCAACAATTTTACGGCTTTTGATAGCTTGAAAACTCATGACTTGTCACAATACTACTCTTCGTTTTTCCAATCTCCTGTATTATCGACTTCGAATTATGCTCCATATAATATGATGGCAGCTTATGCGAGACAAGCGGCGGCTGTAGCGGCTGCCACTCAAGTTACAGCTTCTACAACGACTACTGCACCAGCCACCTGATTTGCTTTTATCGTAAGTGACGGTTTTGAAACTTTTAGAAACGCTTTGCTGGTTAAAAATAGAAATTGACGTTTTAAGTAGTGTTTGAGCTCATTTTGAAGTTTGGAATGTGCTCGTTTTATTTGTTTCTTACAAATCTGATTTTTCCAGATTTAAAATTTAAAAACAAGTCCTAAGATCGGTCATGTCTTAGTATCCTAAACCATATATAATACCGGACAATAAAATACGCAACAACGCATTTTTAGCTGATTTTTGGCATTTTTAAGAGTCTGGAGCTCGGTGGCCGAGCTTTGAATCATTTTGAAAACTTTGAAGGGTGTAAGAAAAACCTAGATTAAAAATTTTGCATTCGCATTATTTTTGAAAATGAATAGTTTTAAGGTATTTTGCCAATTTCTGAGTGCCCCTTTTTGCCCATTTTTGTGCTGAAAACAAGATAAAACAGGTGTCTTATAGAAACCGGCAAATATCTGAAAATTCAAACTTTTTTTAGAAATTCTGTGAATGCAAATTGATCGAATTAGGTCTGTTTTGCACCCTCCAAAAATTTCAAAGCGAACAAAAACTTGACCCGAGCTCCAGACGCTTCTTATTGATACTCTAATTCCATTTCATACTAAAATTTCCTTTTTTTCGAAAATAGTACTTTCCTTAAAAATGATTTTCCTGTCATTGTTTGGAGACTTGTTTTACACCCTCCAGCGTTTTCAATGTGAACGGAAGCTTGACAGTCAAGCTTTAGACATCTGAAAATGTCAAAAATTCGTTAAAATCTCATTGACCAATATTGTAATTACATTTCAAACAAAAAGTTTCAACTTATTTTCTCGAAAAATAGTATTTTCTTCAAAAATGGTTTTTCAAGTCATTGTTTTGAGACTTGGTCACTTGTTTCCTTTCCCGATGGTAATTGGTTCACCACCAACACGAAAAACGCGCTGAAGTGTGAACCTTTTTCTCTCACTCGGACCCCCCGATTTTTGAATTAACACCATCCCGTTGACTCGCTAATTTGTCTAGGTGCCGGTGGTGTATTGTGCACCTCGCGCACTTCCTGTTACGCACACATATTGTTCCTCTATTGGAGAATTCTTATTATTTTTCCGGAGGGGGTTTGTGGTTTTAGAGGCATAGGAATTTTTTTTCCTTCTTAAGATGAATCAAAAGGAGCGAAGTGTATCATGCGCGAATAAGTCGACGCTCTTTTGTGTAGAAAATAGAAGTATACTATTTACTGAATGATTGACATTCGATTTATTGTGTGCAGTATGGATTTGGGCAGATGTGCACTGGTTCTTCCCTGTTTCTTATCTTTCTTACCAACCATTTTCGGAGAAAAGACAATAAAAATGACTCATTTCAGGCTTGCTCAACCTTCCTAAAACCCCACTTTGTGACAGTGAGCTGAATCTCCATAACAATGCCATTCATAATTTTTACCCAAATTGCAATATTTTTGATTGTCCTGACATGTTTCCTCTTCTTTTTACGACTTGTAATATAAATGTTTTCTTGGATTCTTTTGAGACCTATGTGACTCAAAAAAATCAGCAATCGTAAAAAACTCAATACAATAGCAGAAGAAATGCCAGCTTATCTGTTTGTAAGTACTCAAAAGAAGCTCCTCGCCCAGGAGGATACTGTATTTTTGAATGTGCCTGGCCGCAAAAGTGTACAAGAATAAATAGGCGGCCGAATGTAATGTTAGCATTCAATTTTTGTGACTTCTATTGTACAACAACTTCAATACAATAGAATGAATTGTTCAAGAACAAACTTCCAATTCATTGTTGGTTAAATCGAATGAAAAGAAATCAAGGAGGAGAAGAAGGAGAGGTATTCAACAACTTTTACTCCCCTCCTTCTCTTTTTCTACTCTGCCATTGCTATTTACCATTTGCTGTCATTGACGGCCAATACACCCCATGTGAAGAGTTTCATTTTTTGAGATATCGTGGTGTTGCCGAACAAAGAGAACAATGACCACACTTAAAACGACGCCTAATCAAATCGGTTCACACGCAAAACATAGAATAGAGGAGAAGAGAAAAGGTGAAGTGACGATTTTCACGGTCACCTGAGGTCTTGGCGGAATTTGCAAAATTGGGTTTGTGGTAATATGAGAAATTTGAAACCGGTCGAATTATGTGTGGAAAAAAAGGTGCGACATTGTTTCTGATCGGAGATGTCAAAATTGGAAAATGGGAACCAATTGTTTGATTGGAATTTCTGCCCTGGGAAAATTCTTCGTGGTCTGTGTAGGCCGGCAATGGATCAATATCTGAAAATTAAAAATTCTGTAAAACTTGAGTAAGTAGATTTGAAGTGTAATTTACCTGTATACACCGCACGCACTCTAATAGAAAAAAAAACATTAACTTTGAAACCATATATTTCAGTCTCTGTCAGAGACATAAAAACGTTGTCAATTGACAAAATATATTTGATATTCTGATAAACATTTTGTCAGTTGACCACTTTTTGATATCTTTCCCAGAAATCGAGATATAATGGTCTAAAGATAGACAGTAGGAGGTTATGCTAGTGATACGGTATTTATAATTTCCGGACTGCAAAAGAAAAACATAATGAAAACGTTGAGTACTTAATTTTATGACAAAGAAAATGTTGGAGATATGTCTTATTTTGACACATTCGCAAGGCGTGAGGCAATTTGGATACATATGGGAGCAAAAAAAGTGAAGCTTAATTTTCCAGTTTAATTCTGAGAAACCTAATCATTCGAAAATAAGCTAAACCAAACACACTACTCACAAATTTCATTTTAAATCTATTATTAAAGTTTTAGACAATTGACTACTGTTGATGACGTATTCCTCAAAACCTGTTGTGGGAGGGCTCCTAACTTCAAATTTGAAGTCAATATATCTTAGTTTTTGTAAAAGATATCAAGAACCAGTCAACTGACAAAATGTTTGTAAAATTATAATAAAAAATTGATTAGTTTTCAATTTTTTGATGTCTCTGACAGGAACGGAGATATATTGGTTCAAAGTTGAAAGCTACGGTATTTACTCTAATAGAAGCCCACCCACGCCGGGAACTTTGAGCCAATTTATCCTGGTTCTTGTGGACGATATCAAGAAATAGTCAACTGATAAAATATTTGTAATATTATGACTAACATATTGTCCGTTGACTACTTTTTGGTATTTCCCACAGGAAATGATCCTGGTGTATGGTTTCCAAGTGGGCGGTATGGTCTCAACGTGGACGTTTTGAAGGCATTTTATTGGAGTGCTCATGATTACGGGATAGTATTTCAATTTTAGCAGACAAAAAATAGAAATTTTCAGAAACCTCTTGATTTTTGGTTTTGGCGAAGCATTCTTAGTTTTCACATTTTTGATGCCTTGCATAGAAATTGAGAAAATCAAGCTCAATCTTGACAGAGTGCCCTTCTATTACACGTTTACGGTATTTGATTCTGCAAATTTGGAAGTGTTCTCGAGTGTTCAAGAAGCCACAGTTTCATTAATTCTTCCGTTAAATGTTAAAGCCCAATTTTCCATTGATTACTGTAATTGCCGCTGAAGACTTTGTCGTCAATTTCTTTCTACATTTCCCAAATCATTATCCAGTTTGCAACAGTTGTAAACTCTCTTTCTCTATTGTTGAATTTGATGGTTGTCTCAACTCTTTCTTCTCCCAAATTGAACAATCATCGCTCTTTCTTTTTTTCTCCTGTCCACAGTTCCATTTGTCTCAAGGTAACACATAATTGTTTCTCATCTAACGGAAATTTGAAAAAGAAAGACATACACACAGGCACACACATACAATGGTAATTATCGTATTGCCCTCCTCGTTTTCGCAACGTAGTTTGGCTGACACCACTCACTTTTTCTTGTTCTCAATACAATTTCAAACGGGTATTTTTGTTGGAAATAGTGAGTAGAGTGCACTCGCTCTGTATTTTCTAAGGTCAGAACAAAAACTAAATAAAATGAGAATGGAAGAGCGACTGTCAATCATTTGACTGGTTTTGTTTGGGAAATTGAAAAAAAATGAGAGTCACTTTTTGAAAATTGACAGAAAGGCGAAAAATAAAAAAAGAAAATTCATTTCAAAACTAAGGACAAATGAAAATAATGAAAAAAAACTAGGAAGCAGCAACCATCAAATTGTAAATGAAAGAAAATGTTTATGGTGTGAGTGATAACAAGATTGAATGATAATTTTGAAGAAAGAAACGAAAGAGAACGAAGAAATTTAAAAATTACAGCTCCTTTCTAGACTTCTTTCCCTTTGGAGTTGGTGGTGGTGCTGGTGGCTCTGGCTCATCATCATCATCGTCTGAAAATTCAAATAAAGGAAAAGTGGCCACTCTTAAAAGTCTCTTACCATCAAGAGAAATAGATCCAGACAGAATTTGATCGATCCAAGATTGAACAGCCTCAAAGTTGGAATCAGAGTGCTTCTTTGGATCGTCCAAGTTGACTTGGGACATATCGAACCAGATTCCTTCCTTCTCAGAGATATCAATGAGTCCAATTTGTGGTCCCTCCTCAATATCAATTCCGAACATATCCTCCCACACATCAACCATTAGTGGGAACTCATCAGGGTCCACAAGAATGATCTCAAGAGTTCCGGCGTGTTCCGAGTTCTCATCGGCGATCTTGTCGAGCAGCTTCTTCATGGCTCTTCCCTCACGAGTCTCCTCATCGACGAAAGCCAGAATCATCTTCTCATCCTCTTCTGGGTCTCTCTGAAATTTCGCATTAATTGGATTATAAGAAAAGTGTGAAAAGGTGTACCCAGAGGTTGAAGTAGTTGTCAAGAGTGAGTTTTTGCATGACTGGCTCCTTGTTCTTCTCAACCCACTCCTCGAACTCTTCCTCGGTGTCGGCGGAAGTTGGGGCGAAAAGTGGATCCTCCTCGAATGGACGGCGCATTTGGACCTCTCCAACTCTCTTGAGTCCGACCTTGCGTGCCCACTGAAAATTTGTTATAATTATGAAGTAATTGCAAAAACCATTTGTGTGGTTCAATTGATCGTTAGGACAAAAATCAAAAACTACAGACTTGTTCCTGATCAGAAAATTCTTTTTTGATATTTCTAAATCATAAGTTGCTTTTTAACTTTTCAGACAATATACAGTGCCGGTCAGTAAGGTATATAAACATGTATTTTTCAGTAGATTTTGGGCCATTCGGACCATTTTCAGGTGCCTGGAGCTCGGCTGTTAAGTTTCTGTTCACTTTGAAATTTTTTTAGGGTGTGAAGTATCTAGATTGAAAATTTTGCAAGTACAGAGTTTTTTAAAAGTTCCTAATTTTTCAGCTAATTGCCGATTTTTGAAAGACACCCTCCTTCAGCCTGTTTTTTGCACTGAAAAGATGAAAAACAAGTGTTCTTCAGAAATCGGTAGATAGTTGAAAAACTAGGGACTTTCGAGAAATTCTGTAAATGCAAAATTTTCTGTCTACGTTTGTTTTACACGCAACAAAATTTCCAAAGTGATCGGAAATTTAACTGCTGAGCTCCAGACTCCTAAACTCAGTCAAAATGACCAGAACTCTACCGAAAAACCCATTTTCTGTTTATTTTATTGACCCGGTACTGTAGAAGAACTAATTGTGATACTGTTGGTTTTTAAATTTGTGATAAAAGATTTGAATTTTCCGGCTTTCAATTTTGCAGTTTTTCTTCAATACGGGATTCAGTGTTTCAGAGGTTGTCTGATATTATTATGAGATTATCAAGTTATATAAATCCATCCAATAATGGTAAGACACCCTCCGTTTTTGACTACATATATGAATTCCATATACTGACCTTGGATGTGACAACAGCAAAGAACTCAATCTCTCCCATGAAATCTTCGGCGGCTTCCTCAAACTCCTTGAGAGCTGAAAAACAAATTTTTCCGTTTCCTTTGGGATTTGGGATTTCTTCTCAAACTCACCAACAGATCCTGGCTCGAAATATCCAATAATACGAACACACTCATCATCCATGTTCTCAAACTCTTCCAAATCGTGCTCATCATTGATAATGGTGACCGGATCGTCTGGGATCTAAAATTCGAATCGTATTGATTGACATGAAGCTAGTGATCATACATCCATCAGCCACGAGACGAAGGTCTCTGGATCGCGGACTCCGTTGTATTCAATTTTGTATCCGTCCTTGTAGACGTGAATTGTATCCTCTCCCTTCTCGACTTCTGAAACCATTTAACGATGAATAATTGTTTTTGAGGAATTTTGTACCCTCTTGCTTTCTAAGACGATGTTCCTTGGTGGTGTTCACGGTATAGAAGTTGTATCCTCTCTTGGTCATGATTTGAGCGGACAACTAGAAATCTCAACAACCATTTGAAAGTGAAAGAATGTTTACAGTACCTGAAGGAAGCATTCATACTGATCGAGCTCTGAATCATCCTCCTCCACGTCGTTGAAGAAAACCACCGACTTGGTATCCTCGGCGAAGACCGTTCTATTGAAGTTCTTCTCAGTCAGAACCTGGAATCTTTTCATTTCTTATATCTGTTATCTTTGAATGTGTAATCTGATACGTAGGTTCAAAAGAATCGGATGACGGAAGTTCGAAAAGAGATAATAGGACAAGTTTTGAGGTTTGCAGACTTATATTATTGAATTACGAAAAAAAACCGCATTTTTAAAGTTTATTTTAAAAGTGAATTAGCTTCAAAACAATAGGTTAGAATGATCAGACAATCACCGAAATCCTTCTAATTAAATGTCTCCATAACTTTCAAATTTGATCCCATTTATCTCGATTCCTTTGAGAAAAACACAAAACTTGTCAACTGATGAAACAATAATGGTATTATAATAAACATTTTGTTAGTTGACCACTTAACGGTATCTTTCACAGAAAATAAGATATATTGGCTAAAAGTTGACGGTATGGGTAAGTTTTTATAAGATTAAATACTATACGTGATGTTGAAAAATTGACAGCAAGCCCTGTAATCAAATAACCCCCTTATATTTAACTTTGAGCCTATTTACCTCGATTTCCGTTAAAGATATCAAAATGTTATCAACTAACAAAATATTTTTGAGGTTATGGTTAACATTTTATCAGTTTACCACTTTTTGGTATCTTTCACAGTAAATGAGATATATTGGCTCAAAGTTAACCATTTGGAAAGTAGTCTATTTGTGTTTAATTTGTGAAAAAGTAATAACCTCAGTTCTGTCGAATCCATCATACTCGAGATCTGGGTATCCAAGGAACATGCATTCCAAATCCTCGTTCTTTGAAATGCCTGCACTCACGAGGCCAACCACTAGCACAAGGCTAGCAAGTTTGATCCAAGTCATTCTGAAGATTGCAACTTTTTTTGACAGAAAAAAAGACGAGAATGGAAGAGGAAAAGCATGGAGATCTTTTTGTCCAAAAAAAAAAAAGGAAAAGAAGTGACAAAAACGAAGACAGTGGGGAGACCGACACAAAAGTCAAAGGGTACGAGGGAGAAAGTGTCTTCTTCTTCCCCGGAGCTCTGGAGGCAGCTGCATTGGCACTGATGTTCTTCGCTTTGATCGCTGTTCTTACACAATATTCCCCCATCCACTGCCATTGCGTCCCGTCCCCTCACCCGTTGTAAAGGGGGAGCTGCGAATAAGCTTGATATACAGAGGTAAGAAACGAGGAAGAAAATGAAGAAAAGCATAAGACGAAAAATGAAGAAGAAGATGAAGAAGATGAAGACTCTCCGGTGAGGCTCTTGCTCTCCTGACTGACTGTGACTGACTTTACACAATATTTGTCGAGATGAAAACAAAAACTACGTGAATTGGGAGGAAAGTGAAAAAAACCGAGGAGTGGGCGAGATTGGTGCGGTGGTTGGCCCTAGGTGAGAGTGATTTCCACGAGTGGCAGTGTGGGGGCAATTGACAAAGTTCATATTTTAAGAATCAAAATCTAGATGTGGTTTATGATATTCAAGATAGTGAATTAAAAGAAGGAAGATACAGTACTGGTCAATAAGATGGAGAAAAACCAATTATTCGTTGATTTTCAAAAGTCTGGAGTTCGGCTGTAAAGTTTCCAATCACTTTGAAAATCTTGGAAAGTGTAAAATAGATCTAGGTTGAAAATTTTGCATTCAAAGAATTCGTAGAAAATTCCTAGCATTTCAGCTACTTGCCAATTTCTAAAAGACACTTTTTGGCTTGTTTTTTTCACTACTGAAAACGTCAATAAAGGTGTCTTTCAGAAATCGGAAAGAGAAGGAATTTTCCGAGAATTCTGTAAATCAAAGTTTTCAATCTAGGTCTGTTTTACACACTCTAGATTTTTCAAAATGATCGAAAACTTAAAAATCGAGCTCCAGACCTCGGAAGTTTAAAACATCTAAAAACCCCAACATCTAAACTACAAAGCTCTTTAAATTTTTATGAGTACTAAAACTTGCACTGACGCAGATTTTAGAGCTATAACTCGTTTCTTCGTGTCATATTTTTCACCGAAAACTATTTTATCGCCTCAAGCCTTTTTATTGTTTTCCGGAGCTGCCTAAACATCTGGCAAAGAAAGCATATAATTCTGACATTCGTATTTCAAAAGAGCAAAATGACACCGCTCCCCTACATCATAACTGACGTCAGCGCTTTACTCAAAAATAGCTTTTGTGCGAGACGCGACAAAAAAAAACGGGAAATTTGAAATCGAAAAATGAAATCAATTGGTACGATAACTGCCTCCTACCTCCACACACAAAGATTCTGCAAACATATCACCCTCTATATCTCGGCAGAGCACAATTTATCCATTTATTTGCGTCTGCGATCTCGCATCACTTGAGGCACACAAAAACTTGATTTTCCAAGGATTAATCAGCACAAAAAATCCCCAATCAGTAAAAAAAAATTTTTTTGAAGTGAGCAAGAATTATGTAAAGAAACGGTTTATGAGAATCTGTGAAATAAAAAGACTGTGAAATTGAAAAAAGCGAATCATAATATTACAATAATTGGAATATGACATGTCAAAAGTCGAGGATCTAGGATTTTGAATCATCGTTGATTCGTCATTTGGTTAGAAAGCTTTTTGCAGTCTCACATTGGCATTGGCGGATGATGTGTACTGTGGAGACTTTTCTGAAAACAGAATCTTGTGAAAATGCTCTTCTTGAAGATCACAGTGCAATTTAAGCTCAATTATCTCGGTTTCTGTCAAAGATATAAGAAAGTTGTCAACAGATAACTTATTTATCATAACAGTATCAATCTTTTATCAGTTGACAAGTTTTTGGTACCTCTTACACGAACCGAGATAACTCTTACACGAACCGAGATAACTTAGCTCAAAGTTCAAGGCTTCTATTACAGAAAAAACGTAAACTAAGAATTTTAAAAAAATCCTTACGTTGTTCCGTTCTTACAAATCATTTTCACCTTCCGTTGTTTGGTTTTCACCGCAGTGCAGCAGTTCTATAAAAAAAAAACCCTCAACATTAAACTGATCTTAGGGATATTATCAACGCTACCTGCTCCCCGCCACAATATCCATTGCACTCGGCGATTTTGATTCTGTCTACCGAGCGGCAATCATTCTCAATGTGATAGCGTCTGAACTTTTGTTTGTCGCACTTGATTCGTTCTGAAGGAAGAAAGTCAATTGGTAATAAATTTTGTGAAATTACTTTCATCGCAGAACTCTCCAGAATAGTGAGAATCGCATTGACACATGTAGCCCTTTGGTGAGAGCGCGTTATTTGTGCATTTTCCGTTCCCACAGTCGATTCCTATAAAATAAAACTGCCATAAATCTATAAAGTTTGAAATTACCGGTGCAGAAGTTTACTGTAGCTGAGCAAGTTTTTTCAGTGTTTACATTCTCGAGAGCGTTGTTCAAGTTGACAAGCTCGTCATTTATTGTGATTGAACTAATACATCCTGAAAAATTTAAAATATATATATTTATATATATACAATTCCCGTCAATGAGATTTCAAAAAAAAAGTATTTTCGATGGATTTTTGGCCAATTTGACCATTTTCAGAATTCTGGAACTTGGCCGATCACTTTGATCAAACTTTGGAGCTTGTAAAGAAGACATAGATTAAAAATTGTGCAGTCACAGAATTTTTTGAAAATTCCTAGTTTTTGAGCTGTATGCCGATCTCTGGAAGTCATCCTTTTTAGGCCCGTTTCTGTACTGAAAACGTAAAAATGTGTCTTCCGATGCCAACAAAAAGCTCAAAAACTAGAAATTTTCAAAAAATTCTGTGAATGCAAAGTGTCCAATCTAAATTGATTTTACACCCTCCAAAGTTATCAAAGTGAGCCAAAACCTAACAGCCAAGCTTCGGGCGCCTGAAAATGACCAAAATGGTCAAAAATCAACTGAACCGGTACTGTAAAACAAAATGAGAACATTTTCAAAAAGTGGAATCACCTTTCAAACTTTCAGTATTCTTCACATGGAATCTGTTCTTTGCCTCCTGTGCCTTTTCATCTGGGAGTCCTCCGATGTACAACATTTCCTTTCCTTTTGTGCTCAACTGATCAGATTTACCACTGTTCTCCACGACTTGAACAGCGTTGTTGTCGATTTGAAGATAGCATTTTCGTTCCAAAGTTCTTATTGAGATTTTGTGAGGAAGGCCGTCATTGACTTAAAATTGAAGAATCACAGAAAAAGGTTCTAAAAGTGTACCGTACCTTTCACTGAACTATACATATGACTTGCTGGGAAGTTACCAATGTAGTATACTAACTTCACTCTTCCATCATACAGCTCAGCGGATACAAAGTGATCGTCGCCGTAGTACAAAATAATGCCTGTCCTGGACATGGAAAATTAAAAATTTCCAAAACGTTTCCACATGATATTTAAAAAAACTTACTTCGCAGAAGTTCTCAAAGTCATTGTAACATTTCCTTCACTGGTCAACGGATCCAATGCTAGATAGGATCCTGGATTTTTGAATCCAACCGACGTCTGACGGTCACAACTTGGACCACTGAACCCTTCATGGCATTTGCAAGTGAATTCCGAGGAGTTCGCACTAGTCACACATTCACCCTAAATGAAAAATGTAAAACTATGAATACCATAACCATTCTTATAGGATGAGCTCTCCCTTATCGTTCAACTTTGAGCCAATTTATCTCGGTTTCAATAGAAGATATCAAAAGGTGGACAATTAAAAAAATATTTTTCATTTTATACTTAACATTTTGTCAGTTGACCACTTTTTGATATCTTCCACAGAAAGTGAGATTTACGAGCTCAAAGTTAAAAATTTGGGCATCTTACATGTCCACAAGTTGATTGCTGACACGAATCAGTTTTTTGATATTCCATATCCATCATTGGTGATACTTCACAGTACTGACCAGCATAGCCAGGTGAGCAGACGCACTCGTAAGACAGGATTCCATCCTAAAAACGAAACAAATTAGGACAACTTTTGTATATTAAGTTTTAATCAAAATAATACTTACCACACATAATCCACCGTTTTGACAGTTGACATTTTTACAATCATCTTCATTTATCTCACAATTCTTTCCTATAAACCCAGCGGGGCATATGCAACTGTATGTGCCATTGGCTCTGATGCACTTGCTATTGTTTTCGCATGGATTGAGTTTTTTAGTACAGTACTCTAGTTTATCCTCACAATATTTTCCATCATATTCTCTTGGGCAGTCACATCGGTACGAATTGACCTGAAAAAAATATTATGCAGCATAACCACCAAGTACAGTAATCTACCTGATCGACACATTTTCCACCATTCTCACATTTGGAATCCACACAATCATCGATATTTTTCTCACAATAATCTCCTTCGAAACCTTTTCTACAGTAGCATGTGAATCTGCCAGCTTGGGCAACTTTGCATGTCGCATTGTTCAGACATGGAGAGCCATAGCAAGCATCAATTTGATTCTCACAGTGAACACCATAAAATCCGGGAGTGCAGTTGCAGGTGTACTTTCTACTGCTGGTAGTTTTGCAGACTGCGTTGTTTCTACATGGGGAATTGAGACACAAGTCGCATTTGGTAGCGAGTTTTGTTGGAACTGCCGTGTCGCACCTGAGAAAGTTGAATTTTGGAAATGAAGCAATTAAGATTTCAAACAGTAAATCTCACGTGAATTGATAATATTGCGCTGTGAGAAGAAGCTGATTATTCAGCTTTGCAGGATACTCGCATCTAGCAATTCCAGCTTCGATAAACTTGGACTTGATCCATTTTGAAAACCATGCCATGTTGCAGTCACAGTAAAGTGAATTGCTACCAACAGCGCTGAAAATGTAAATAAATTTATCTGTCCGCGCAAAGGGAAGAGTTACATATGAGTGATGCTGGTCAGGTTGATGAATGCGGATTCTGGCAGGAACGAGATATCATTTCCATGCAAGGAGAGAATGCGAAGAGAGTTTAGTCCGTTGAATGCAAGAGGTTGGAGGCACTAGAGGTATTCAAAGTTGTGGAATTCGAAATTTGGAAGATTGAACTAACCCGCAGTTTGTTGTAACTGATAATGAGTGTCGACAGCCGGGTCAGATTTGAGAATGTATTGTTTTCCAGAGAAATTAAACGATTATGGGAGAGATCGCTGGAAAAGTGAATGTTGGAACATTTGAAACGTTTTTTTCTCTAAAATTTCAAGACAAAAACTCACAGTTTCGTTAAGTAATACAGCCGGTTCAGATCGTGAATTGGGATCTCATTAATATAATTCGCATCCAAATAAAGTTCCGTAGTATCATATGGAATCCGTGTTGGGAAACTTGTCAAGTTCTTATTCGAGCACCGCACCACACCATCCAAGCAAGAACACTTTGGTGGGCAGAGATTACTGTCATCCGAGCACGTTTCTTCCGGGTACCCTTTAAATTACAGGTTGTTAAGTTGAAGTAGCGCAAAACATGTAATAGAATGACCCTCATATCTTCCGAATCTGGGCACATATATCTCAGTTCCTGTTGAAATTAAATAAAAGTTGTTCACTGATGAATTGTTTATCATAATGTCACTAACATTTCATCAAACGACACAATTATGTTATCTCTTACAGGAACAGAAATAAATTAAGCTCAAACTTGACAATTAGAAGTTTCACGTTAGGTCTACGCTCTACAGCTTTATACCTGCACACTTCTGTTTATCCAGCTCGTCGGTACTATGTTGAAATTGCTGACATGGCGGGATATCAATTGTATGACTGGTATTGGAACGGAGCCAAAACATAAGAGGAAGTATGCGACAATCGCAGAGCAAATCATTCCCAAGAACTCGACTGAAAAATAAATTTTTAGAATTGGTCTTGAGATGTGTAACTCACATTTCCTTGATTTTTGGTGCCTTGTCAAAGAAAACCGACGAGAAGCATTGAATGTTGTTGTCAGAAAGATCACTAAAACAGGAATAGTACTGTAGTGAATGAAAAATAAAACTTACAGAACTTCCAGATTTGATTTCTCATCTAATACAGAACTCGAAAAGTGGTGAAGTTTGTTTTCGTTAAGCCTCCTAGGAAAATATGAATTTGTAAGCTGACTTTAAACAAAACTTACAGCTCCCTAAGCTTTTCCAGTTTTTCAAAGCTCTTATCATTGATATAAGTAACTTGGTTGCTTGAGAGATCCAGAAGCTCCAAATTTGTAAGCACGTGGGTGTTTGAACTTAAGTCTACGGTAGAGATATTGTTTCCGGATAGAAGAAGATGTGTGGCAAATTGAGGGATATCAGCGGGGGTGGTAGTTAGTCCACGCTTACTGAAACATGATTTTAATATTAATTTGTGGTCCAGATTTTGATGAAAACTACAATATAGACTAAGCATAGCTTATCTAGACGCCTCTGAAACTTCTGGGATCCGCTCGCCAGTTTCTGCCGAGTTGTATCAGTTTCAGTACTCAAATTCGTATTTTCAGTCTAATAAAGCAACTTCATTATGTTATTACAAGCCATCAATTGCCACCAATATTTAAGAAAAAGCGAGGGGACACTTCGGGTACTTCCCTTGCTAGAATCAATAGGAATTTCATATTGTAGACATTTTCTCGACTTTTTTAAAATTTCATAAATCCGGAAAATCGGTTAAAAAATCCAAAGTAAAACGTATTTTTTGAAGGAAATGTCTCAAATATGAAACTTGTCTTAATTCAAGACATAACAAAATAAATTGTATGTTTCAAAACGTTCTAGACATTGAGAAAATCGTCTTTCAAGGCAATTTTTGGTTCTGAAACTCATATAACTCGGCTGAAACTGACTAGCATATTTAAAAATTTTTAGTAGCGTCTAGATAGGGTATTCTTAACCTATCCTAAAATTACGAAATATCTGGGTATACAAGATAATGAAGTTTTCTTGTCAAGGGAGCTTACTTGCAATCGACAGTGGTACCATAGCAATCACATTGGGTCGGACAGATTGAATCGATAAAGCAACTATCCGAGAACTTGGTGATGAATGCTTCGGATCCTTTGCACTTGAACTTGTTTGGCGGAAGAGTAGCGAACTTTTTCTTCCTCAGACGTTTTGGTTGCTCACATCTAGCTCCACTCGTCTCAATATTCTTCTGGAGATTCAATTGAGCCAACCATTGCAAATTGCAATCACATATCAATGGGTTCTTGGCAAGATGAAGAGTTCCCAAGCTAGTCAAATTTCTGAACGTGATCTCACTAATTGATCTGATATTGTTATCATAAAGTGATAACATGTTCAATTTTGGGACATGATCAAAAGTCCCCCTCCGAATACATGTTAGTTGGTTGGCATTGAGCAGTAATAATTGTAAACTTCCAAGTCCTTCAAAAGTATCCGGTTTCAATTCGGTGATATTGTTCCCGTAGAGCACTCTGGAAGATTACATTGAATTTGAGGGGGATGTCAGTTTGATTGATCTGATTGATAAGTATTATCAAAATCATGACAACTCACAGGGTATGAAGATTCTGAAGGCCGTAAAAAGCTTTGGGCATAATTTCAGTTATAATGTTCTTGCTCAGATCCCTGAAACATAACAATTATGAAAATCAGCTCAAAATGAAAAAAAATTTTACAATCTTGTCAGGTTTTTCAAGTTTTTGAACGAGTGGGATGGGATTGATGATATCTGGTTTTGCTCTAGTCGGCTGAAAACAAACGGTTTTTTTTGTGAAAAAAACAGTGCTGACTCACATTTCTGTGGTTGCTGGAGGCAAATTGGTTGGCACATATGTCAATCCGGAGTCTCGGCAATCTACAGTAGTCCCTGTGCAACTACAAGGGAGTGGACAGATTTCAGCGTTTTCGCATGTTTTCTTGTAACGACGTTTACGGTTTCCGGAGCATGTCATAAACTAAAAAAATAGAAAAAAAACTTGATTTTTGAAAATATCGAAAAGTTTACATTTCGAAAAACCTGAAAAATCAAAATTATTTGGACATTCAAAAATTAGAATTTTTGAAAAAATTCGAAAAAATGAAATGTCAAGTTTTCTAAAAAATCGAATTTCAAAAAAACCCGAAATTTGGTTTTTTATAAAACTTCCGGAAATCAAAATTGGGAAAACCTTGAAATGTAAACTTGAAGTTATTTCGAGTTTTCTGAAAAAGTTTTAAAAAAAACTCCAAAACTGAGAAAATTTGAAAGTTTTAAAAATCTCAAAAATCCTTTTTTTTCGAAATTTGAAAAAGAGATACCTCATCTTGCAAATTTTTGATAGAAGACCCTTGCAAATTCATTGGCGTGGCACAAACTGTTTTATTGACCCCTTCCGTTTTTTCCAACCATTTTTTCATCCATCTCAACCGACAGTCGCAGTTCCATGGATTGTTGAATAGATCCCTTCAATTACCAAATATCCCAAATTTTCTCTTTTTGTAGTTTGAAAAAAGAAAAACTCACAATTGTCGGAATCGCGCATTCGAGGGCTCTTCAAACGTTGTTAATCGGTTTCCATTGAGGGTGAGCACTTCCAAAGAAGCCCATGAAGAGATTACATTGCTTTCCAAACTGCAAAAAAGAAAAAAGTAGCAAATGAAAAAAAAAACAACCTAGCTTACCAGAATATGTGGTTTTTGTCTAGGTTAAGAACTTCTAGAAATTCGGACCCTCCAGTTGAGAATCAGTGACAACTGTCAAGTCATTTTGACTCAAGTCTCTGAAAATTAGCATTATCGTATGGGTACTGTACCTGCCAATAAGCAAAAATTGATTTTTCAGTTGATTTTTGGACATTTTCAAAAGTCTGGTGCTTGGCTGTCAATTTTCGATCACTTTGAAAATTCTGGATGGTGTAAAAAAGACCTATATTTAAAACTTTGCATTTTTCCAAAATCCCTAGTTTTACATCTTTTGCCTTTTTGGCGCGGTTTTGCGCTGAAAACGTGAAAAAACAGGTGTTTTAGAAAATTAGCGAAAATCTTAAAAACTAGGAATTTCCTAAAAATTCTGTAAATGCCAATTTTCAATCTAGGTTTGTTTTACACGCTTCAAAATTTTTAAAGTGATTGGATACTAGACAGCCGAGCCCCAGACTCCTGAAATAGCCAAAAATTTCAAAATTTCATGAAAACATGTTTTTTATACATTTTATTAACCAGTACTGTATCTAAGCACTTACAGGTGCGTCAGTTTCACATTATGCTGGAAAATGAAATCAGGTAGTTGGCGAATACGATTTCTGTTTAGTCGTCTGCAAAAATCTATAGGCTTGCAAAACTGAAAAGTTAAAATGTTATAATACACACAGTTTTTGAAGAAAACGAAGAGAAGATAATGCTTGATTGTGAATCGCAACTAGCTGATTGTCCATAAGTTGTCTGAAAATTCGAAATTATTTAATAATTTAAAAAGAGTTAACAATGATCCTTGATACTCACAAAACTTTAAGGCTGGTCAACCCTTTCAGATCCTCCACTCCGATTTTTGTGATTTCATTTTCTTGAAGCTCCCTATAAAGATAATCTTTCGAAATGTAATCATCAAACTTTCAAAACGCAACTAACAATCGAACAGTATCATTTGGGATACCCTTTGGCACTTCTGTGAGCCCTTGTCCGATACATGACACTGATCTGTCTATACAAAGACAATCTGTGGGACACGTGGCACTTTCCGGTATGAGTAGTATGAATATGAAGCAAATCAGCATTCCGGCATCCACAATGACTTGTCTCTTTCCGAAAAATTAGTCCTGTCGCGCGCTGCAAAACGAAATGAAAAGTTTGGACAAGTGGCGGTGGTCCTCTAATGTTTTATGAGATGTTTGTCTTGTCCCCCTCTCGTCCGGTCCATTAACACAACCTCGTGGACACAATTTATGTGGAATGGCGTGGTGCGGTGGTTGGATGTGAAAAAGTTGAAGATAAGACCGGCACAGCCACGACCAGCAGACCCACAAAAATTTGGATGGGGACAAAACGACAAAAGAAAGGGGCCGTCAAAAAGTTTTAGTGTGATAACGAGATAGAAGTCCCACTTTCGTGCATCTTCCATCTTCCACACACCACTTAAACCAACACAGAGCGAAACAGATAAAAGAAGAGTTGTAGACTTGTGTGTATTTCATCAAAGAGGGGGGGGGCGAAGAAAAGAGAAATGAATACTGAGCGGGCTTTGACATTGAACACAATGATGATAAAGAGATTCTGTTCTCCGTGTTGTTGGGAGCAAAACAATGAGATGGATGAGATGATAGCTATACTGATGGATGTGTGTGTATATACTAACTAATACCATGTGCACTCTTCGTCTATTATTCAGCGGGAATGATAGAGTAGATGGGGGGAAACGAGGGAGTGAGGAATGAGAATAGTTGGTTGAAAGAGTTCGCACATTATTTAGTTGTCTCAAGTCTTGAAGAAGATCGTTGTTTAGACTAATTTATGAAACTGGAGGGAAGAATGAGTCTTAATTCTCTATCAGTTTGCATTTGAACCGAGAAGATTGGGGGAAACGCGTATAAAAGGTTTTATACGAAGGACCTATGATGCTGATTAGAAAAGATCAACGTTTTTACATAGTTCTTGTCAAAATACTGAAAAAAAGTTCCAAGAATGAAAAAAGGGGATCCCTCAATTTTTCGAAACTTTAGCGACTGTTTACTTTTTGGTGTGACATTATGCTATTTTCGAAAAGTGGTTCATTTTTTAAAGTTTTCGGTTAAAAGTAATAGATTCGTGAAAAAGTAATTATTCCACTTGCTGAATGTTCAATTTTGTAAAAGTACATTTTCAATTAGAAACGAACTGCCCAAGTTCAAATTACCGTTAAAACTTGTAATCGAAGGATCCCCACACTGTGAAGTTTGAGCTGATATATCTCGGTTACTGAAAAAGATATCAACAATGTGTGAACAAATGAAATTTTTGTGATATTACGACAATCAATTTATCAGTTGAGAACTTTTTTATATCTTTCACAGGTATCGAGATAATGTGGATTGAAGTTAAAAGTTAAGAGGGCCGTCTCATGTTTTACGGAATCCGTCAAAACTGTTTTGAGCACTTGAAAAATAAGAAGTAATTCACGTAACACTTTAAAAAAACATTGAGTAGAAATGGAAAAATGTAGTGGCGTTTCTTTTTTTTTTCATTCCAATTTTAAAAAGAAACAAAAATTCAAAAACATATTCTGAAAATTCAGTCCTCACTACTCAATACTAAAACAAAATCCACAAAAACTGCGGAAAAACCTCCCCACTTCTCCTCATTTACCATTCAAAATAAAACGCTCTCTGAACTTGACAGGAACATAGTATTCTAAACAAACTTTTTCCCTCCTCCACTCCTAAAATGTTCGCAAAAATTGAGAGTAAACACTTTTTGCCTAAAAAGCAGCTGAAAGAACACATTTGCCGAAGCTGGGTGAAAAATCAAATAGACGGCACACGCAGTTTGTTTTTTTTCGCGTTTTTCTATAAAACTTCTCAAATTACACATTTTTTGTTGGTCACATCTTTTGTTACAAAAACTGATAGACGGAATTGGGAAAAATAAAAGTCAACAAAAGAGAGAAATGTGTTGTGTTGTACGACGGAAACCGTTTACTTTTACAGGTTTAGCATATTTGATTAGCTAGGCTTTCATAGTTTTATACTCTAAAAAACGGAGTATTTCAGAAAATATCATTTTTCGAAACAAAAAGTGTTTTTGTTGTCAAAACTAAAAAGTCAGAGACACTGTCGTTTGAAACCGAAACCATTATAATTTGCAGCGATTTGTCACAAATTGAAGTTTTCGAAAACTGCCCTCTGGTCCTCAATGAGTGCAACCCCCAACAGTTTTGTGTTTACTGTACGTCTGTGTTCATTCATCCGAGAACACACTAACCGATTCTCACTGTACATAACCTATTCCGCGTAAGTTTCGATAATGGCCCTCACACAGTGTGAAGTATGTGTGTGGAGGTGAATCCATTATGTGCCTATTGCGGATGCTGTGCTAAGCTGTCTGTCATGTACATTCGACGATAAATACTGGTTAATCCATGAATCGGTTTTGTTGGATGATGAAGATGTAACCTTGTAACAGTTTTAAAGGATCATTATATTTAAAAATTTCATGAAGAGAACTATCACAAATTTATTAATCCACAAGACGGTTACTAATATGTAAATTTCAGGTTTTAGATACATAGTCATGTATAGTTTCATAATTTGGCAGTTTTGAAGCAAATATCAATTTGGCGAGAAAGCATTTGGATGTGTTGCAAGGGTGTTGCATCTAAGACGGTCTAGTTTTCGGATTATCTGAAACTTTGTTATTTAGCTTTTTTTAAATCCATTTTCGAAATAAAGCAATACATAAAACGGTCAGGGCCTTTTTTAGAAATTTCAAGGTCCGTTTGGTCCCGTGTTAAAATAATTTTTTACAGGATTTTTTGAGTATGTAAATTACCTTTTCCAAAATCCCCTTCTTCTTCATGTAGAATGAAAATACTATAGAAACACGCCAAAAGCGCTGAAAGCAGCAATAAGAACTTCTCGAAGCTTCTGTTCAGATGCGGCTATTAAATTTCTCTCGATGATGATCTTTTCGACTGGCTGAAAATAAAACTATGGATTTCTGGTCGTTTTTTTGGCAGATAGTTCGGAGAGTACAAAAATTTTGGGGTCCTTGGGATACAAAGCAATTAAGGAGTACAACATCCTCAACTGGAGGGTACAAAATACCTGAAAATATTCAAATTTTATACTCCCGAATCGTGGATTTTGTACCCCTGAATCACTTTGTACTTTCATGTTCCCCCTCAAATTGTTGTACCCTATTATGTGTCCGTTATTCTCATTATCAAACCTCAAAAGCAAAGTATCGGTACAAATCATTGGTGTTCACTTCATGTAGCGCATTTTGGAGTTCATACTCCCCATTGTTGAGTTCACGGTCAAATTGTAATGCAAATGTGACCACTGTTATGTTCAGTGATTTTGTGATATTCTCCACCTGGAACCAAATTTTTCAGATACTTAACTTTGAGTCAATGTTTCACGGTTCCTATTGAAGATATGAATAAGTGGTTAACTGACAAATTGTTGATCATAATATAAAAAGTGTTTTGCCAGTTGGCACTTTTTTGATATATCGTTTATAGAAATTGAGATAAGTGAGCTCAATGTTAACAGTGTGGGATCCCTTCTATTACAGATTTTATGGTATGTTGTTTATCGATTTTTCGCATCATTCCAAAAAAAAATCACTAACTTTGATAGGTACACCTGACGTGTCGTCATCGTAGTTCGTTGTACTATATATTGTATTAATTTCTGTCACATTGGTCATCGAACGTTTTCGGCGTTTCCTCAGTTCCGTCGAAACGTCTCGAACCAGTCTTCGCAAACTGGATGTGATATTTTTCACGAATTGCGGCGAATTCACATCGACATCGGCGGGTACTTTCAGTTTTAAGATCAACATTTGTTCTTCTTGGCTGAAAAATTGATTTTTTGGTCGAACGAATTGAATTCCAGGGGTAAAGATCACTCACGGTGGAGGACTAGTTAGTGGGAGGTTCGAAGGTTCTTCAATGCCATCTTCCGAATTTCCAATTTCCAAGGTAGAACTGACAAGGGGGGAAGCAGTAGAGCCCAGGGATATTCCAGGAGTTACCTCTGAAAAATTAGCAATGTCGGAAAAATTAGCTCAAACTAAACAAAAATGTACCTTGACCAACATTGAGATCTCCAGGTCTCGGGACGTCATCTTCAGTGGAGGAAGTTGTGGCAAAATCAACATTTCCCAAAGTAACAGTGATACCAATTCCAGAAGGTTCAGTTGTAGTTTCTGAATTATTTTTAGTGATCAAAAAATTGATCAAAATGACTTACCAAATCGAACCTCCTCTGTACTGAACCAGTGACCAATGACAAAATCATCTGAAGGTAGAAATTATTAGCTTAAATGACAAATACCATAAAAACTCTACTAGAATGGCGTACAAACCGACAACTTTGAGCCAATGTATCTCTTTTTCTGTAGAACATATCAAAAAGAGGTAAACGGACAAAATGTTTACTAAACCGTAAAACTTGTAATAGAAAGGTCCCCACACTGTCAACTTTAAGACAATTTATCTAGTTTCCTTTAAAAAATATCAGTAATTTGTCAACTAATAAAGTATTGGTGATATTATGACAAACAATTTATCAGTTGACCACTTTTTGATAATTTTCAAAGTAACCGAGACTGAACTCATAGTTAGAAGTTAGACGGCTCTTCAAATACAGGTTTTACGGTTATATCGAAAACATTTTGTCAGTTGATCACTTTTTGCAATAGTCCACAAGAACCGAGATAAACAAGCTCAAAGTTGGGGTAAAGGTGGACATTCCGTTCCCGGCACATTAAACTCGCCTGTAGTGAATTCATTTGGCATTGGGAACGATTCAGTTGTCATGATAATCGTAGTAGACTCTTGATTTCCTTCTGTCGTTCCTAAGTTGTACACTGTGGTCTCTTCTGCATTGCTTCCAGTAGTCGTTTCAGCAATTCCAGTTGTCAATTTACTTTCCTGAGTAGTCAGATAGGTTTCTTGAGTTGAAGCCTCAATATTTGTAACAGTAGAGATTTCAGTCTCAATGCTGGAACTTGTGGTTAGTAAAGCTTCCGTTGTTAGCTCCGAGGAAACTGTTGTTTCGCTTGTTTCTGGCTCTGCTGTTGCTGCTACTGGTGTTGTGGAAGTTTCTATAGCTATTGTAGTACTATCAGTAGTTAGTTGGGTGTTATCAGTAGTTGATATCCAAGTTGGATCCATTGTCGAAAGTCCCTCAACTGTAGATGTTTTGATGGTAGATTCAACAGATCCCTGAGAAGTGGTCAAGTCAATTGGGGTACTTGAAACAATGTCCGTTGACTCTTCTGGGGGTAATTGAGTGCTGCTAACTGCATCAGATGGTGTCGAAGACTGTTCTGTGGTGGCTATCTCAATGGTTACTGTAGTTTCTTCGGGATTAGCGACCGGATGTTCGGTATTGGTGGGATTAGTGGTCTCCATTGTTGTTGTTGGTTCAGTTATCAAATCATTATCCGTGGTAGGTGAATTCGTGGTTGTTTCTCCTGGGACTCCAACTGTTGGAAATGTGACTAAATGATAACCAGTGGAGGTTTCGACGTTGTTAGTGATGTTGAAATCAATTGTGTTCCCTTTGCAGTCAGTGGCAAGTTTAGTATAGTTCAGATGAGCAGGATCGGGGAATATGAGTGGTTCGATAGTGGAGTTGTCTACAAAGTTATGATTAAAAAATGTCATAGGCTTACTAATAGTGACATCTTGCTTCACAAGGGAATCTCAACACCTAGGAAACCCAGATTTCAAATAAAATTTCAGGATATGTTAGAATAATTTATCATCTGAAAATTTTAGAATCGATTCGCCAGTTTCAGTTGAGTCAAATCAGTTCTCAGTACCAAAAATCGCCTATTTAGTGCGAAACAGCGATTTTCTAAAACAATTTTTTAACTTATATAACGTTTCAGAACATGAAATTTGTTGTGTTATACTCAAAATTGAATGAAATTTCATATTTCAGACTTTATATCGAAAAATTATTTTCGGAAAAAAAAAATACTTTTTTTTCTGTGAAAATGCTTGAAATATGAAATTCATCAAATTCTGAGTATAGTGAAACAATTACCATGTTCTGAAACGTCCAAAAATTGTACCTTGACCAACTGAGACAGATCGGCTGAAACTGGCAAAGGGATTCTAAAGTTTGCAGAGGCTATTTAGAACATTCTCTAAAAATTTCATCAACACTTGAATTTACAAGGAGTTGAGGTTCCCTTGTAAGGGTTCGCAGTAGTGACATCATGCTCCAATTCAATTCGCAAAAAAAAACATTCATGCAAACATTCTGAAAAATGTACAACAAATAATATTCAAGGCTTTTTTGTAGATGCTGCAGTTGTTGTACTATTCAGATTTTTCTTCCCATCCTCATCCTCCTCCACCCGATGCTTATATACAATCTTCGTCTTGACTTGTCGCCGGATATTAATGAGTCTCGTCACAGTTGTGCCGTTGGGATAAGTGAATGTTTCCGTTTTGGTGTCGCCGTCGTTGTCGACGTTGTTCTCCTCACTTTCCCACTCACGATACATTTTCTCTTTACGACGCTTCGCCTTGGCTTGTTCTTTTTCGGTCATCTCATCGTTCTCCTCGTCGTCTTCATCTTCGGGTTTTGGTTTCTTCCTTTTTTTCGAAATTTCCGAAACGGAAGGAATTGGTTTTGGAGAAGTCGTTGTTGTAGTAATAAGAGTCGTAGTAGTTTTAAGAGTTGTGGTGGTTGATGCCGTAGTGGTAGTGACAGGTGTAGTGGTGGCTGTGGAAGTAGTAGTAGTGGTGGTGGTGGTGATTGGGATCGTTTTGGTAGGTTTCAAAGTTGTGTTACTTGTGGAATTGTTCTTCTTAGGTGGTGCAATATCAGCGGCAAACTTCATCAAATCTGGTGGAAGTGAAATTTGAGATTTTGGCTGCAGTGGAGCCTCGTCAGGAATCGGCGGAGGTAATAAAACCATATGTGGGGGTGGTGGAGCTTTTGAACCGGGTGCAGATATAACAATAGGTGCGACTATGACTGGTTTGAGAACTGGTGGAAGAATTGGAGGTGGTAGTGGTGGGGGTGGGCGAGCATGCAGATGGAATTTTCTACCTGAATATGGTCCAATGTTTTCGAAACGGTCTTCTGGAAGAGAGAAGCCAGGAAGGTAGGTGAAAGCCATTGGGGAGGAGAGTTTTGTGATCTGGATATTTGGTTGGGTGGAGGTGAATGGTTTTAAAAACTTTTACCTCAAACCGGGCATCTCCTGACTCTATAACTAATCCAGGAACTCCACCAGTGATTCTGATTTCTTGGTGGCCAGTTGTGAGGCCAACCTGAAAATGATATACAGTACCAGTCAATAAGAAATACAAACATGTATTGCTTTGTTTATTTTTGTCCAATTTGACCAATTTCAGGAGTCTGAAGCTCGCCTGTCCTGTTTTCGATAGCTTTGAGAACTTCAGAGTGTGTAAAACAGATCCAGTTTAAACGCACTGAGTTCACAAAACTTTTTGAAATTTTCTAGTTTTTTAAAGTATTTGCAGATTTCCGAAAACACCTTTTATACGTTTTCAGTACCGAATGGGCCAATGAAGTGTGTCTTTCAGAAATTGGCAAATAGCTGAAAAGCTAGGAAATTTCTAAAATTCTCTGAATTCTGCTCAAAACTTTCGAAATGATTTTAAAGTTGACAACCGACTTCCAGGCTCCTGAAAATGCCAGAAGTCAACCGGTTCCGTACTTACATTCTGAATAGATGTTTTCATTAGCGTCTCCGATCCAGTAGCATCTGCATGCAACATTCCATCATTGTTCAACTGCAGAACCAGCATCATCGAGTTTACTGTAACCCCAGTTTCATATACTGGAATCCCACTGATGAAGATTGGACCGTCCCCTTTGTCAAATTGGGTTCTGAATAAATTTTAAAACATTTTTTTCTTATATGACACTTACTTGGACAAGTATCTAGCATTCACAGTACAATCCACAGGTGAAATAGCCACGTCGAAATCGCTAGTGCCGGATATAAGATTTATCAGGCCGTTTCCAAAAGTCACCTGCCGAATAAATGTAGTCACTTGCTCTTTAGGGAAAAAACTCACTCTCAAACTTCCTGGGGCTTTGCTGTCTAGGCAATAACTATAATGATCGTTGTATACTAAGACTTTTTTGAACTCGGGATCAATGCTGACTACATTTGGGCCGTATTTGACGAGGAGTTCAGCACCAACAAACTTTACGCTTGTCAAATGGACAGGTGCAACAACTGAAACATATACGTAATGGAACTTGAAAGAGCTAAAAACCCTACTTGTCAGCTCGACTGCATTTTCTCCTGTTGGTGTATCGTTACTCAGACCTAGAGTGATAGTTTTCTCCACAGGTTTCATCCAAGTTTCACTTCTCACATAGATGCGTTTGCCGTTTATACCCTACAACATCATCGATTTCTGAGCCCTCCTAAAATTTTTTGAGCAATACCTGAAACTCAATCCCTTCCTCGACAAGCGTCATATTTGCATTATCATACAACGCAAATGTCAGTAAACTATGACCATCGGAAGTTCTGTTGGTTGTCATGAAAAGCTGAAAAGAGACAATTTATCATCACTCGAGATTGCGAATTCATACCAAACTCTCGAGGGAGTTGCCAAACAAAAGTTCACACTGCGCAATGTTGATGTGAAAGTATTCCGAGTTGAAAGAGGCATTGACAAATGAGTCGTACGCGTCAAACTGCATTTTCGAGCTGCTACTCCAGAATGTACCGTTGACGTTTCTAGAAAAGTAAGTATGGATAGTTTTTAAATACCGTGTCCAAAGTTCCCCAGTTTGGGATTCCTGGGTCCAGTTGTTTAAAATTTCTGAATTTTTCAGAATGTCAAGAACTCCGATTTCGAAAAAAATCAGGAGTTCGGAATTTCGGAATTTCGAAAGAGTACAATTTTGGGAAATTTGGAATCTTCGGAATTTTCGTAATTCCTTGACATTTTGCGTGTGCTTTTGGCATACTTTAAAAAAAACACTTTGTTGAGTTTTTTGCGTGCCTCTTTGACGTACCGTAGTCCAACAATTTCGAATCCCAACAAAAGCTACGGAAACATTCCTTCCGGACTGTGCTACCGTAACCCTAGAGCATAAAATGGTTTTGCAGGTTTCGACGCGCTGGGAGGATACTGGTTTTGATTGTGCGAAACAAAAATTCTATGCATTCATGTGCCTGGGCCCAGATATTTCAGATTTAAAAATCCTGGACACGTCCTACAGTACCGCTAATAAGGTTAGGACCTTCCTATCATTTTTCCGCCTGGCAAAAACTAGAATAGTTATTAAAAATGATATCTGTTTGATTTTAAATGTAAAATAGCCCTTGGGTGTGTTTTTTGGGCATCCCACTATTTTAGAATCCAAAATATCAAGAATTCATCCATCTTAAAATTTCACCAACTTTTCTAACAGCTGTATTCTTGAGTCCATTGATGCTACATTGATAAACCGGTCCATGTTCACTTTTGAGTCGACGGAATGTATCTAAAAAACCAAAAATATGGTTTTTTGAATCCCCAAAAAAAACTCACCATGATATGTTGAGAAGGGATGACTTGTCGTTTGAATCTCCTAGATAGTTTCGAATCTACTACTAATAAAAGTAAAAAAAGAGACATGAGAACATGTCTCTTCATTGTGACTCTGAGTGTAACTACCTGAAACGATCAACTGGAGGGGCCACTCCACAAGCTGATGTAGGAGAGAGTAAGGAAACGAGAAAAGATACGAGCAAAATTTCACGGATGCATATGTGTGTGATATGGAAAAAGGAGGGCGCAGTAGAGACAAAACGTACAATTAAACATAACACAGAGAAACCATGGAAACCACGGGCGGCACTTCGTTTGGAGAAATAATTTGCTTTTTCTCTCTTTTCGAGGTGCACAAACTTCCCTTCCCTCGGCGGCTCACTACCTCGCCTTCTTTGGAGCTAACTATACTAAATGTGTTGAGGCATTCGTGGCTTATGAAAATTATTTGATGAAAATAGAAAGGGGGAGAATGAATTGAGATTGGAAAAGAAAGTAAGGCGTGTTCTTTTATTTTTCCAATGATAAGGAGAGATGGACTATCAAGAAAAGTAATGTAATGGATGAAAAAAAAGGAAAGAGAACAAAGAAGAAGATCAGTGTAAAACGCGTGATGTTCCTTTCTTATATTTTTTTTGTTCCAAAAAGATAAGGAAGTCGATTTTTTGAGGGCGAGTGAACTTATTCGGCAAAGTGAGCGCTGGGTTGATAAAATATTCATTGAACAGTTATTTTTAGGTGAATTCCAGGAAAATAATTATATGAAAGTCAGAAGGCATGAAAATAAAAAATATATAAAAAAATCAGAAAAGAGGTTCTAAAAAAGTAAGAGAATTCTAAAAAAGTGAATAAACCGTAGTCAAGAAATCATGTAAACTTTTTTTCAAAATTTTATAAACATTTTCTGAGGCCTTATCTCCAAAATCAGATTTCGGAATTGAAAAAATAAAATTTTACATAACTTTTTCTTTTAAATTTTATCCGAAATATATGTCAATTGAAAAAAAAAGATAGTTCGAAGTTTGATAAAATTCCAAGATTCAATTTCTGATCTAATAGTTTTTTCAATAAATTTTAAAAACCGTGTTCAAGTTATTTTTCAATTTCTGGGAAGTATAGAAAATCCAAAAATTTAAAATTAGATAAAATTCTGAAACTCAATATTTTTATGAGTATTTTGTTTTATTTGGGACCATGTCTTTTTCAAATTCATCTTCAAAATATAGGGAAAACGACCACAATGAGCAATGGTAGGCCTTTTTCTCAGTAATGGAAAATTTTTGAAAAAATTCCAAAAATTGTATCCAAAACTTGTTAAACTGAACCCGAAAACGTGTGACAAAAAAGACCAAAAACAGTAGCATAACCACTCCACAAAATATCCATAGAACTTTTATTATAAAGCAATTACATCTCTATCTGGTTGGCCACCAACGCCATTGTCATTACCGTAAAATATAACATGCCGTCATTCTATTCAATACGCTAAACATGAATACTTGAAATACCTTTTTCAATGATATTTTTGGGACAGTTTTGTTTCTAAAAGTTTTAGGTTTTGGTTATTCACGTTACCTGAAAAAAATATTTGGTCAATAATTTAGATATAAATTTATTGAAATTTATAAAGAAAGAAGGAGAGACAACGAAGAAATAATTCTCTATCAATTTGATAAAATTCAATTTCAATAAAATTAGAATAAAAATCATCGGAATGTACTTTCAACACTTTTGACTGTGTTTCGATTCTCCATACTACATAGAATTGTGACTTGATTTTCTTGAGTAACCCGCAAAGTTTGATGAAAATTGGATAGGGGGACAAATTTGGCAAAATGAGCAAAGGGGGGAGGAAAACGGAAGGTAAGACGAGGCAGTGGAGGCAAAAGTCACCGCCAAGAAATGAAATGAGAAAATAATAATGAGCTCGTTCTAAACAAGATCTCCGTCGAGCTGCGCGTAGTTGATTGGACCCGCTCGCACTCCCATCGGATTGATGAAAGTGGAGAGATGATGTTGAGGACTTGTGTTGTTGTTGGATTGCCTTTGAAGGGAATTCCAGTTAGAGTGATGGTGATAACTGGGTTGTGGAGGTTCCTGAAAAACACTTGTTTAATTATTCTGATTTCAGAATTGAAAACCAACCGGGTATGGAACATTCGCATATGTTATATTTCTGCCAGTGGTACCTTGGGAGCTGCCCATGTAACTTCGCCCTGGAATTTATTTATTTGAATCAATTTTTTTACAAAAAACTATCTTACCACTCTGATAATCATACTCCAACAAACCAGTACTTTCATAAAGCATTGGTTCAATAGGTTGCATGTACCCATTTGGTGAGACTTCCTGAAAATAAAATGAATTGTCTCAAAAAATTGTTTTCATTAGGTCAAACTCACAATCATCGTTCTCACTGAATGTTCATCTTCACTCATATCCGGTCGGTCGTCAATGTCGTGACGCGTCATCCCGTCATGACCCATCATCGTTCCGTACATTTGGACTTGACGGACATCGCCGCCGTTAATTGCTGTTCTTGCCATCTCGGTTTTTTCTGAACACAAACGTGTTGAGTTGGTTTTAGTTTAAAGAAGTGTGTTTTAGATATTTAAAAGAATTTTCATTTGAAAGATTTCCAAGGTTTCATAGAACACTGACAACATCAGACTAAGAATTTTTAAACCACAAAAAATCGAAAAAATTATTTGGAAAGTCGATTATTAAGATGCGGTCTAAATCTTTTTGGAATTCAACTACTTTCTGAAACTTAGTTTCAATTCAATTTTTCCGGTTACTACTACTGTTATGTCTCTTTTATTTTTCTCTAAATTGATACACAGTACCGGTCAATAAAATATACAAAGTCGTATTTTTTCAGTGAATTTCGGGCATACAGACCATTTTCAAGAGTCTGGCTCTTGGCTTTCAAGTGTCGGCTCGCTTTGAAAACTTCAGATTATGTCAAACAGAGCTAGATTGAAAATTTCGCATTCACATAATTTCTTGAAAATTATTAGTTTATCAGATATTTTCCGATTTCTGAAAAACACCTGTTTTTGTACAAAAGAAAAGTGCAAAGACAGGTTCATTTTCAAAATCGAAAAAAGCTGAAAAACAAAAATTTTTCGAAAAATTCTGTGAAGACAAATTTTCTAACCTAGGTCTGTTTTATACTCTTTGAAATTTTTAAAGTAATCCGAAACTAGACAGAGGAGCTTCAGACTCCAGAAAACGTCCAAAATCTACTAAAAAACACTTAAAAGACGCGACTAATTTGAAGGGTGCCAAAAAATACTCCAAAATTGTTGCAACCACCAAATTTTTTTTCTTAAAAAGACTTAAATGAGTTCACAAAACATTAGCAACGCGTTTTATCAAATTTGATAATTTGATAATAGATAATTTTCAAAAAAATCCTCTTCTCACCTCTCAGCTTCCTTTTCTTGTTTCGACTGCATAGGAGACAGCACGCGACCAAAATGGCTATCAAAATGCAACAAATGGCAATGAGCAAAACTGGGAAGTATTTTATATATTTCATTTCTCGATTTTGGACCATTGCAATATTCACTCCATCTTCATTCAGAGTTGCGAAAATGACAGGGGACGTCCAACCGGATGCGAAACCTCTCGCGTTAATTGCTCGGATTTGGAAGTAATATGTATTGGCAATAGCAAGGCCGGAGAGGCGAAGGTTCTGAAAAATTTAATTATTGAAAATTGGAAATTATAATATGTAACTTACAGTATGACTAGTATTGACAAGGTGGATGAGATCATCATTTTGTTTCTTATATTTGATTTCAAAAATTTGGTCTGATCCACCATCAAATCTAGGCTCCCACGCTACAGAAATTGTATTCAATGTTGAATTTGTCATTGTCAAATTGAAAGGCTCTTCTGGGTTGGTAGGTGGGATTATTGGGATGGAAAGATAGTCGGTTCCAAAACTGTTTCTCGCAATACATTTTACAGTTTTTGTATAGTCATCTGGCACAATGTTCTTGATCCACAGGGTACTCTGAAAATGATGAAAATGAGGAAGTGTGTGTTTTCTGATTTTATGCAGGTTCCAATTTCCGAAAATATTATTACCTCATACGTGGAATAATCAATCTGTGTATTCACAATTGAGTATTTTGAGCTATTCTTCTTGATCAATTGCTCATCTTTTTCCCACACAAACTCTACTGTTGGCACCGCATAAACTTTGCATCTGGCCTTTGCAACACCGCCCAAAATTCCAGCTGTCTTGGAATATCTCGCAACCGGAAGCACTCGTGGAGCAGAATTCACCAGCAAAAAGGTCTTTCCTTCTGCAGGAACTCCAATTCCGTTGTCAGCTCGACAGATGTATTCACCGGATTGTTGCTCGGTCGCATTCAGTCGGAGGATGGCTTTCTTGTTGCCTCGGTATTGGGTTGGAAGTGGTTCACCGTTTTTGTACCAATTGATCATGTTCGACTTGCTTGGTTCTCCTTCAGCTTCGCATTCTAGGAGGATAGTGTCTCCGGTGGCGGCAATTGCTGGGGTGGAAATGCTGGTGATCTGAAAAACACTTTCAGGTGAAACCGGAAGGAATGAAAGAAGGAGGCGTGATTTCTTTATTCTTCATGAAGAGGGGAGTATAGGGCTCACGAAAAAAGAGAGCATGGAAAAATATTATTCCTAGAATTAAGATAATTATTTTTTCAATTTTTGCAGTTGCCTCCATAAAATCCCAGTTTCTGAATTTTTTTTATGTATACATCAATTTCGTTAATTTTCAATGAACCTCATTTCCTTTAATAGAAGGCTACGTTAACTGTCAAATTTGAGCTCAATTATCTCAGTTCCTATGACAGATATGAAAAATCTGTCAACTGAGAAATTGTTTTTCGTAACATAACCAACATTTTATTTTCTGGCAAATTTTTGATATCTGTCACAAGAATCGAGATACTTGAAATCAAAGTTGACGGTTTGGATGAGCTATTTGGATGACATTTTAGATTTCGATGCTGTATTAGAGGAAACACGGTATTTCAGCAGTTATTGAGCGACAGTTGACTAGACTAAATTTTCCTATTGCTTTATTTCTACTGTTCTCTTGTGTGGCGTGATTGAAATATATCCAATTAATAAAATCAGATAACCTTGTTCCCCGGAACCTCCTCTATGTTCCTAACTTCTTCTATCCAAGCCACAGGTGTTTTTAAACCAGTCCATCGGAATGCTATACAACAGTTGCTAACACCTCCTGTCAATACGAAAGGTCAAATCCACACCAACCGAGAATAATGGACCGTGGCGTGATTGTGATTTATGACATTGGTCAAGATTGCCAACTGGTTTTTGATGAGATAATGGTTTAAAGGGATAGGTGAGAAAAAAAGTGAGAAGTATTATAATGTAACAGGAGCCAGGAAAGTTCGAATAATACAATTTGAAAAGACACTCACTCTCGCACTGTACTCCACTGCCAACTTGATAGTAATATTTGTACTTCCAACACTGTTCGTTGCCGTCAGAGTGTAGACTCCAGCGTCTGTGCTTAATAATTGTTTTCCGGAAAGCACTGCTCCTCTGGCGAAGACTCGTCCAATGGTATGGTCAAATGGAACACCGTTTTTCCTCCACTGCCACAGAGATACTGCAGGATTACCGCGAACAGTGAGATTCTCTTTGAAAGAATCTCCTTCTGACATTATTACAGTAACCGGATCATTAACCAACATCTTTGGGGGATCTAAAGAAGTCAACATTTTTGAATCGGTAGCATACATTCATCAACTTACACATGACATTAAGTGGGAATGATGTGTTCACAGAATGCTTCCATTCTGGATGATTTGCAATGCAATGAACTACAGTACCATCGTATTCTTCAGTTGGAACAAAAGACAAAACATTTTCAACGTTGTATCCGTTATCTCTTGTTCTAAATACGTTTTTTAAATTGCATTCAAATACTGAAACTCACGTTTCATTCAAGCTGACATCTCCAGGATGAACTTTGCCATCATTAGCTCTTGAAAATTGCCACGTTATCTGTGCAGCTGGATTGGAAGATAATGTTCCACAAACTAGTCTAGCTGGCTTGTTGATTAGCAAACGCTGATCACTAGACTCGGCTGGTCGGATTAGTACTCGACGTGGTGGGTCTGGGAATGGGGAAGCTCTATTAAAATATTGATTGATTTGGAACTTACAGTAGACGGAAAGATACTGAGATTCGATCAGTGGTTCATCAAGTGCCGCATTTGTGGCTTCACATTTTAGACGCTGGGTGTTCATGGTGCGGTCCACACGGAGAGCAAGGGTAGAGAACGATGAGAAGCCAGCAACTTCATTATGAGCTCCATTTACCTATAATAATATGTATTAGAAAATAGTTATCTAAGAAGACATGAAATGTCTCAAGCTTTAAAAAAAACTCCAGGCTTTTGGAAAAATATATTCAGCTAAGAAAAAAGAAGAAGCAGAAAGAAAACTGATAGAAGCATGGGACCACAAGAAGCTTATAATACACAATATAATATGTTTTACCTGTGACCATTTCATCTTCTTTCTTCCTTTTACCAAATGCTTCAAAAATATTTTCAGTATCAAACTTTGTTGTTCAACTTACTTTCTCACTTCCACGGTACCATGAAAGCTCGGCTAGAGGGTTTCCACCTTGAGCTTCACATGTGACGTTGACAATGTCACCTTCGAAGAATTTCCGATCTTCTAGACCTGTTATTCGTGGTGCTTTGGGTGGTGCTGGAATAGCCACATTGCAGTAAAAATGCAGAAAAAAAGTTTTACCAATGATTTTAATCAAATGTTGTTTGGCTGAAGAACCCTCCGGATTGGTTGCAATACACTCTACATTAATTTGATGAGCGTCTTGGGACAATTCATTTGAATGCACGGAGATATTTGAACTTGACACTATTCCATTTTCCATGAAAAATTCTCGCTGCGTTGGTGTTGGAACTGTCCGGCCGTTGATGACCCACGTGATTTGAGATGCTGGATTGGATGATCTGAAATGGACTTTTTAGATTTCTTTATTACAGTACCGAGGTTTACAGAAAACGTTTTTTCAGTTGATTTTTGGTCATTTTGACCGTTTTCAGAAGTCTGGAGCTCAGCTGTTAAGTTTCCGATCAGTTTGACAGCTTCGGAACGTGTAAAACAGATTTGGATTGAAAACTTCGCATTAATAGAATTTTAAGATTTAAAGAAAGTTCCTAGCATTTCAGATGTCAATTGTTTTTAGGAATTAAAAAAAAATTTTCTCTGAAAATTCATATTTCACTTGTCCACAAAGAGTACAAAACACAAAATTAAAGCTTTTATTATTTTCCAAAAATTCAATTTTTCATGATTCCTAGCGATTTTACATCGAGAAGACGGAGGTTTAAGCTGCTTTATAACTCAAAATTTCAATTTTCGCGCATCAACTTGTCCACGAAGAGTATGAATTTCAAAATCAATCAATACCCACTATCGGTCGAATTTCTATGGATTTTTAAACACTTCTCACGGAAAATTTCAAATTTAAAACTTTTTTCACGTTTTCAATTTGAACACGGCTTTAAGGGATCGGAAAATAGCTGAAATACTGGAAAATTTAAAAATTCTGTGAATGCAAAATTTTCGATCTAGATCTGTTTTATACTTTCCAAAGTTTTCACAGATCGGAATTTTGACAGCCGAGATTTGGACTCTTGATAATGATTGAAGTCAACCGAAAAAGACGGTACTGTACGTTATTTTTGCTTACAGTGATTTGCATTGAATCATTGCACTGCTACCGTATCGAATATTGCTCTCACCAAACAATTCAACACTTGCAGGTGGGTCTGTAACAGGATTCTTGAAATCTAAGTTTTTCCTCTATTCAACCCACAATTCACTTCAAATTTTAACGCTTTCCTCTTAGCGTTCCCTGAGTGACTATTATTTGCGCGACACTCATACTCGGCCATGTTATCGTTTTGCGTTGCAATGAATGAATAGACATTTCTGATCTCCTGTAAAAATAAAAAAATACAATGAAGAGCTAATGGTAATTGATGGGCTAGAGAAGATTACGCAACGAACCTTGGTGCGCGTGTCGAGCGTCGAGTGCGATTGCAACCTTTTGTTCTCGTGGTACCAAAAAACATCTGGCGGCGGATTACCGCCTGTCACCGCGCATGCAACCGTTACATTATCTCCCGCTCTCAACACACTCGGATTTCCGAGGATCTCCACAATTGGCTCGGATGGTGGGACTGAAACAAGTCGAGATATGCATTTTCCCTCTGCTCTCTAAACTCACAAAGAACATCTAAAGTTGTATTAGTGGTGATTCGGGTCTCCGTTTCTTTCTGAACCACTTCACATGTCACAATTTTCCCATGATCACTACGACCGGGTTGAATGACGAGACTAGTGTAAACTGTGAAAGTTTTATTGAGGTGCGGCATCGACGCTTGCTTGACATCCCGGCTCATCACTTTTCCATCCATGTACCTATAAAAAATGAGATAAAAAATGATTTGATGGCTTCAGTAGTCGATTCTATATGATTTATAATCACCATGAAACTTGAGGATCCGGCTTCACATTTGGTACAACACATGTGATGTTCAGTGGAGTGTTCTCTTTGACAGCGATCACAGAATTTGGTTGGTAGTTGGAGAAGTAGACGAGTTGAGGTGGAACTGGAATATTAGATTAGAACTATTGAATTCTTCGAGTATTGTTTTGTTACAGCACATAGTTCAGAGGTTATAACGATTATGGGGTACAAAGGGGAACAAAATAATTCAGATGTACAAAATCCACAATTCGGGAGTATAAAATCGATTTTTCAGGATATTTTGTACCCCCGAATTGAGTATTTTGTACCATTAAATTGCTTTGTACCCCAATGACCTCGAACTGTTTTGTAAATTCCAAATTATTGGTCTTTTGTTGTAACTCTTGTCCCAATTCAATACCCGTTTATATCAGACATTTAGTTGAATCATTCTTAACGGCGGAAAAGAGTACTACAGTACTTTTGAGCCAATTTTAAAACAATTTTCAGTTTTTTTGGTGTAAATCGCGAAGAAAATGAGTCAAATTAAATTGAAAAAATGAAAATTTGGACAATATTCTTTGAAATGGGCTAAAAAGATACTTACCGTAACTCCTTTAATGGAAGTCCACTCGAATCATCAAGTTTGAGTTCAGTTATCTCAATTACTGTGTAAGATATCAAAAAGCTTCACTAATTAAATGTTTGTGATGTTATGATAAAAAATTTATCAGTTTACAAATTTTTGATATCTTTCACAAGAATCGAGATAATTGAGCTCAATGTTGACGCTTTGCTTAGGCTTCTATTAAAGAGAATTCAGTATTTCAGTCCCTATGCCTTTCACAACAAATTGAAAAAATCCTCTACACGCATTTGTTATATTTACGTTTTTACCCTCCATTCATCAATTTATCAATATCTGCCAACCGGCTAACGCATCATTTTTGCACGGCGTTTAACACCACCCAACTCACCGAGAATGTTTAAAAATGCCTTGGCGCGTATTGGTCCCTCTTCCGGGTGTAACATCTGACACTCATATTCTCCATCATCATCAAGATTGACGTGAGTGATCTTGAGGTGAAGTTCTTCCGCGTTTTGCTGAAATAATGGGATAATTCGATTGCTCATGGAAGTTTTAGGAACGGAATATGGCTCAGGAAAGTGCTTTTGAAATCAAATCATTTTGAAAATAACTCACTTTGACATAACTAAACCTTCCTTGATGACCTGGAAGAACACCTTCTTGATGGTACCCCAGCAATGAGCCCGTATTCGACTTCCATTGACTGTATACTATGGGTTCTGGACTTTTCTCAGCTGCACATCGAAATGTTATACTTTCACCAGCGATAGTTGATAAATTTGAGGGGGACTCGAGAAAAAGCTGCCTAGTCTGGTGGATAATTCCAAGTAGCCATATTACAGTGGCTAGTGGAATCATTTGGATTAACCTCCGAGTCTGGAAAAAAAGGAAAATTTATGAATTAAAAAAACAGAGAGCCGAATAGGAAGAAAAGAGAAAAAAGTGAAATGAAGCGGAACAATACTGTTTTGGCGGGTGGCTTCTCGGTTCACAGGCTTTACAAGAATAGAATCTCAAGAGAATCGTATAATAAGATCAAAAGGTAGCGACGCGCCGCATTATGGAAATATCGAGCACACGATTTGTCGTCGTTAGCTGTGTCCAGCGATGGGGCGGTCGGAGGCAGATGGCTGGGGTAGTGGTGGCTGGTAAGAATAATGAATACGCGTCATCAAGGACCAGATGATTCAAAAAGTGATATATTTACATAAAAAGCTGTATTTTATAATGAGACGTGGGCTTCTTCTTTCTCATTCATTCCAATCGTAAAGCCACCGACAGCTCTTCTGTTTGGTCCCACGGCGACTTCAATCACCAGATGTACATTTTTTTTTGAATTGCTTCTTTGTTTTCTAGTTATGAATAAACTTTTCTTAATCTATTTTTTAACTTTTTGTAAAAATATATCAAAATTATTGGATTACTGTACGTGAACAATTGTATGAAGAGTTAAAAAATGAGTATATTAAAAAATTATGGGGATGTGGTCATTAGTGGGCGGGGAGAGATATAGAGGATTTGCGGGAAAAGAAAGGCAGCTGGCAACAGTATGCCTTGTACAGTAGGATATACGGAACTTTATGCTGGTATTGTAGGAACACAAGCAACAAAAACATTTGGATAGTTTGGTTCGCATAGAAATCAGCCGACTTACAGTACAGGTCAATAAGAAATACAAAAGAAATGTCTGCTGATACTCGGCAATTTCAAGAGCCTGGAACTCGGCTGCCAAATGTCTAACCACTTTGAGAATTTTAGAGAGTGTAAAACAGACCTAAATGAAAACTTTGCAGCTTACAGAATCTTTGGGAAAATCTTAGTTTTTCAGCTATTTGGCGATTTTTGAAGGACCTCTGCATTTTTTCACGTTTTTAGTACAAAAACAGATTGAAAAGAGTGTTTTTCAGTAATCGGAAAAAAACAGAAAAACCAGGGATTTTTAAAAAATTCCGTGAATGAAAAGTTTTCGGTCTAGGTCGGTTTTACACCCAGCAAAATGTTTTAAGTGATCGGAAATTTGACAGTCGAGCTCTAGACCCCCGAAAATGGTCAAAATACCCGAAAATAGAGTGAAAGTCATCCCTTTGAATAATTTTTCAAACTGTACTGTAGGAAAATATACAAGATTGCTTAGGATTCTCAAGAAAGTTCAAAATAAGGACTCATGATCCGAGCTCCAACTTGATATCAGTAGTGGTCACATCGATCACATTAACTCAGTGTCTTCAGTGTCTTGTAAAACACGAAGTTTACAACCACGGAGATATCTCTCGTAAGAAGTGATCAGTATTGACAAGATGAAACAGATGAAAGAAACGGAAAACCTCGAACTTTGACGTCAAGGAGCAATGAAAATGAGACTTTAAGATAATTTGGCGGTGATTTCAATACACGGAAACTGATATAAAAGAAAAAGATCTAAAACAAAAGCAATGTCGGCTCACGGAAAAGAGAAATGAACTCATCGTGGGACCTCGGCAATTCGAAATTTACTCGAGGGCTTTTCGAGAGTGGACAGAGCACCGAGAGAATTAATGTGGAGCTACGGAGGTGTTCGAGGGTAAGCAGCTGACGGTGTTTCTCATCCTTTATCTCGGGAATAGAGGACAACTGCTGCACCTTCCCTCCTCGACTTCTACTTCTTCATCTTCTTCGGGGTTGCTTCTTTTTCTTACTGCTCGCAAATTGTGCACATCTCGTTACTTTATCGCAAAGAGAAAAGCGGGTTTACTGCGTGAAGAATGAGGCGAGGGAAAATAGAAAAGAAGAAAAGGTCCCCCGATCGTGACAATGATTTTGTAACTTTTTCATTTAGCAGGTATCAAACATTTTGTAATTTGTGGTGGTTTTATAGGAAAACAAGTAAAAAGTTGGAAGAATTGGGAGAGTGTGCATGGAAACCAGTAGACTTACCAGGGTGTGATCAGAGAAGAATGGTATGGCAAGAGAATAAGGGGTATAATGAAAAGGAAAATATGATGTACAGTGCCGGTCCATAAGAAATACAAAAACGAATTTTTCAGTGGATTTTTGACCATTTCAATAGTTTCAGAAGTCAGAAGATCGGCTGTCAAGTTTCCAACCAATTTGAAAATTTTGTAGGGTGTAAACTGTCCTAGATTGAAAACTTTACATTAACAGATTTTTTTGAAAATTCCTAGTTTTTCATCTTTTTGCTAATTTGTAAGCTTACCTTCTTTTTACGTTCTAGTACAAAAACCTGTATGTTTTTGAAATCATACTGTTTTTATAAGAAAAAATGTTAACAGGGAATTTGAAGGCCAAAGAGCAAATTACAATACTTTTTGATATTATTTTGAACATTATTTACTTGTTTTTATTCAATTTATCTACGACTCTTATTGTTTTTCGATGAAAATTGGACTAAACTGATTCAAAATGATGATAGTCATTGAAAAAAAAACTTTGAAAATCGTCAAAAATTGAGGAAATAAGTAAATGATTTTTTAAAAGGTCTTTAAAATTACGGCAGCTCGCTTTTGAGCCTTAAATTATACATTTGGACTTTTGCTTTTAATGTGTATTAATTACAGAAAAAAGTAATACAGCTCAATTGATAATCTAGTTTATGAGAAAAAATTGATTCAAGTAATTATAAATAAAAAAGTTTAAAAATCCGGTGAAATTGGGACAATTAATACAACCCAGAATTTCCCTTTGAAACAAAAAATTTAAAAAAACATAACTTGAAAATTGAAAATAATTGAAATGAAACAAAGTGGAATATTTTTCAGGTTTTGGCTCTCGTAAAATATGAATCTCGAAATTCTACTAAAAAAAATAAAAGAAACCGAGGCTTATAATCGTTCCCACCAGAAGGTTTTCTGCCGCCAAAAATGAATGGGAATCTCATTGCCGAAAACATAAATGGTTTTTACTATAGAGCAATATCTGAATAGTGGTAATTTTTGTGGTATCAAATCTACCAACTGAGGCGTTGGTTCACAGATGATTCAAAAAAGTCCAGTATTCTACTTTTCAGATTTTTGTAATTCTGGAAAAAAGTCATGTGAACACCCAGAAGAATTGCACACAAAAAAGAAAACGTCACGGTGTGGTTTATGAACTCATCAAAATCAAATACCAGAATGGAAAACCTTGAGTCAATCTAAACTAAGAACTTGAGACGACGACCTCACAGAAAGGGGATTTGTCATCACCAACGCAATTTAATTAATTTCTCAAGTGCTAGTAATTTCCCAATGCTCTCACTCATAACATACCCATGAGCTCAAGAATTTGCATATAATTGAGAAGGAATGAGGAATAAGAAGTATAAGGAACGGTGCGGTTTTGGATTTCCTCCTTCAATTCCTTTCTTCTTACTCAAACATAATTTATTTTCACGTAAAAGTATTGTTTACTTTAGAATAAATTGGATAAAAAGGTAGACGGATTTTGTTTGGCTTATGTCTGTCTCACCGTTACGATTTAGATGAATGGCAGCAAAAAAGTTGATTAAAACAAATAGATATGCAAATTGCTTTACGAGAAGCAAGTTGTTTGAGCAAAATTATTCACAACATTCGGGGAAAAAGGATGCGAGCGTGAGGAGTAGAAAAAGCTTAACTACGCTCAAAAACGGAAGAAATTCATGAATGAAACATCCAGAAAGCGCCTCACACACAGTTTGATTATGGGAACATGGAGAAGAAGAGGTTTGTACTTGAAGCAGTTAGAATAAATAACAAATGTTCAAAAGGGAAATCGAAACAAACAGAGAGAGAAAGGGACCAAAGAGTTTTGATGCAGCAAGCCGTGAATACATGATTCTTCACCGAGTAAATCGCAATTTACGCTTTGCCAGACTAGCCAAGAATAAAGTTAGATAAAAAGGACGCGGGGACGGGTGGCGGGTGGCGAATGCAAAAATGCAAAAACACACACATTCCCCCGTGCCATCAAATGCTCATCCATTCCGTTTTAAATACATGAGCAATCGTTTCTTCTTCTTCAGCGAGAACTTTTTTTTTCTAGATTTTCTCTGGTTGAAAAAATGGAGAAAAATGTAATCAGAGCTGGAATTTTTCCCTCCGGATGTATAGAAAATTTCTCATGTTAGATTTTAAGATTTTCTTTAGTTTTTTCTTGATATCAATGTCAGAAAATTTGAAGCGAAAACAAATCGAATGTATCTATGCAGAGTTTTCCGGAAATTAAAAGATTTTGGTTTGGAGAAAAAAAATCGGAAATATAGAAATCTCGGAGAGGGAGGAACTTTTCACAAATCACAAATGAATTTTGGAAATATGGAAATTTTAAGAAGGATTTTTTCTAAAAAAATTACCATTTTCTATTCATATCGAGATACTGTAAGAAACTGTAAATAATACAATTCAATTTTTTTCCGTGATTTATTGAGAAATAGATACCGTATTTTCTTTGATACCACCGAAACTGTCAGCGTTAAGCTCATTTATCTAGATTCCTGTGAAAAATATCGATAAATTTTCAACTCATAAAACGTTATTGATATCGTGATAAATAGTTTATCAGTTGACGAATTTCGATATCTTTCACAGAGTTTGAGATAATTGATATCAAAGTTGACGGTTTCGGTGAGCTTCTATCAAAGAAAATGCGATATTTAATTTTTTTAGAAACTGATAAAAATTTGAAATTATAACAAATGTAACAACTTGTAATTATGACGAAATTGCGATAAACACAAGTAAACAAAATTAGACTGGGAAATCGTTTTCGAATTATTTGGAACAGATAATTAAGACAGATAATGTGCCTTTAAATAAATTTTTGGTTCATCGCCGACAGACGAAAATAATAAGAATACATAATAAACAAACATTCTAACAATATAAAAACGAAATATTGAAAAATGGAAGTTTTCAAAAACAAATATGTAAACCAACTCTTTTTTTTTCCGCAACTCTGCATATACATTTCAACCTGCACCTCCAACCCTATCCATGTCCGTTTTGGAAACCAACTTCCATTTAAAAACATTTTGAAAAGTGTATCAAATGAAAAGTGCTCTTTTCTCTTTTTTCTCTCTGACTATGTTGTTGCTCACAAAATACATTCGGTTAGTCAACCTTAGAGTTTTGTGGTTGAGCATTACATTTTCATTCGCCAAAGATTTGTTGAGCGTAAAGGGAAATGCTGTGGTTATTGAATGAGTCCATTGAAAGAATTGCCTAGACCTGATTTGCATAATAAGCTTTAGCAGTATGCCCCTACTCTCTCTCTCCCACTGGGGACCGTGATTGCTGACCGCTGGCGACATAATCGAATCAGTGAAGCAACGCTGGTTATTGAATGTGCCTCATTTGAGAATTGAGTATTACATCGTCTCCTCTTCTTTCTACTTGCCCCATCCTCCCACAAATAAAAATGTCGCAATCTCTGCGGTGGTGTTGGTGTGGCGGCAGGAAAAAGAACAGATGGGATGGGCCCCCCGAACTATTGGGTGGAAGCGCATTAATTAGTATTAACAATGAGTTTTATTGTCGGATGAGGATTTTCGACCCTACATTTGTTCTTGATGCTGATGAGCTTGACTTTTGAAATAACTCGGGAGAGAGAGAGGGAGAAAGAGAGGGAGTGGTTAAGTTGGAACATGAAAAACAAAAAAAAATGAGGCTCTAGAATCAAGAGACTCGAAAATAAGGGTTTGTTGAGACATAAATATTTTGAAAAATTACGAAACCGTTGGAGATGGTGTAAATGACAATAATGGTTTGTTTCGGGAAACATTTGAACAGAGATAATAAATCATGTAAACATTCAAATCATTATGGTAAATTCAAAGAGGAGAGAGTATCAATATATTTCAAAGATACTAGAGAAGGATTTTTAGTTGGTTTTTTGATCATTTCGACCATTTTTAAGAGTCTGAAGCTCGGCTTTTATGTTTCTGATCACTTTGAAAAACATGAAGGTTGTAGAACAGACCTCGAGTAAAAATTTTGCATTAGCACAGTTTTTTTGAAAATTTCCTATTTTACCCGCTATTCGATGTTTCGAAAAACACTTGTTTTTTTTGCGTTTTCAATTTAAAAAACTGGCCAAAAAAGGTGTTTTTCAGATCAGTTCACATTTTTGGGTTCTTTGGAGCGATTTTTCGAGGTTTTCAAATATTTTTGTTTTTTGTTTTTATGTGAATCTGTATAATTTTTATTACATTTTGATACAATACACACTTTTGGGTTTTAACTTAACATAAGGAAAAACCGATGACATGTGCAAAAAACTCAAAATTTGGAATTCTATGCTTAACTTGAACGTGCATAAAAGCTTAATCTCATTCCTAGAAATCACCTAAACACTTTCGAGCTTTTTTTACTGAACCCAATCTTGTATACTTGATTGAAATTAGAGTCGATTCATATAAAAAAACGTGTCACTAGGCAACCGTAAATAATGAAAAAAGAAACGTTTCATAACCAAAAAGAAAATATGTTTGACGATTCGTGAACCGTGAATACATAGTCACATTTCTTGTTTTGCAAATCTGAAAAACAGAAAAATGCGAGTGTCAGAGGGGTAGAAATCTCAGAAAAAAGGATTTCAGATTAAAAAAACGGAAAACTCTGGTCTATGTTATATAGTTCATATCAAAATCAAGAACGCTGCTCTATACCTACCAGTCCCTTTTTTCTCACGGGGGGATCAAAATCCAATTTGTGTACATACGGAGAAAAACAAGGTGTTCGGACGGGGGCAGCACGTTTTAGTTACAAAAAGTTTGCCCTACAGTAAACACATGTACAAAACATATACATATACAAAAGTAACATCAAGTATACACGCACACAAATATACGCCTCTACATTCTAAAAGATTTCCTGAGAAAAGAAAACGGATCGTCGAGACGAGAAAATTTTTAGTGTGGAAATTTTCAAGTGTTTTAAAATTTGTCGTGTTTCAAACATGGATTTTCACGCAAAAACTCCCCAAGGAGCATCGGAAGGCGCCGGCATATATTTTTGACATTGCCATTTCTTCAACTTTGAAACACTAGCCTGTAGGGAAATAGGGCGAAAAACTGAGCAGTCTCGAGAAAAACTTTGTGGGGGTAGGAGAAGGGGAGGATAGGACGAAAAAAAAAAGAAAAAAGGATGAATGAAAGTTTCAAAGATTTTCAAATCTCGATTTGTTTCAACTGACGTTAATGCAAGTATGGTGATGCTTCCTTTTTGGTTTTTTTAGCCCGATTTTTTTTGAAATGCTGATTTTTTGAAAATGTTTGGCAATAATAAATTGTTCTGTTTTTTGCTCCCTCTAGCAAATTCATACAGGTTTTTGTAAAACTATTTTTAAAAATATTTCACGATTTTTTGGTTCCATTTAATTTTCCGCTGAAAATATGTAAAAAATTATCAGTTTCTTTTCCAGTGTTGTTTGGAATGGCTTTTTCGGAAAATTTTCAAAATGTCTAAAATTCCAATTTTCGAAATTTAAGACATTTTCTGAATTTTAAAATATCCGATTTTCAGAATTTAGGATTTTTTGGAATATTGAAAATTCCGATTTTCAAAATTTAGGAATTTTTAGAAATGTCGAAAATTCCGATTTTAGAAATTTTGGAATTTTAGAATATTTTGTTTTCCAAATTCAGGAATTTTCCGGAATGTCGAAAACACCGATTTTCAAATTTTTGCAATTTTTGAAATTTCGGAATATTCCGTTTTCGAAATTTAGGATTTTCAAAATCTTCGGAAGTTATCAACATTGAAATTTTAAACAACTTTTCAGCGTGGGCCTTCGATGTACCGTAGTCCAACAAAATCTTTCGGAAAAATTCCGATATTTTTTTTCGGAGTCATTCCGGTCGAAATTTCTGAACTTCGAATACCTTTCCGTCATCCCTGGTCCTAATGAATGCACTTTTAAAACTTTTATGATTTTTTTTTAGTTTCTTTTTTTCAAATTCAACCGGTATGTATTCACAAACCAATCAAACTAGGCTGGTCCAATTGTAGACAGTATTGTTAATTAAAAATCTGCCAGACACAATCCTCGACTTAGAAATTCTCGATAAACCAAGAAGACAAAAAAACAATACAATTTACATATCGCTTTCAAAACTTGATTTCTTGATTTTTTCTATTCTCTGCCATTTCCAACCGTTCCAAATCGGATCACTTCCACCTCAAAGACCGTTCTAGCTGATCGTTCATCTGAAACTCCCAGCTTTTCCCTCCTTAGCGATTCTTCATCCACCTATTCTTCTCTTTTTTTCATGCGAGAACCGTATACTTATCCCTTTGAAAACTGTTCATTTCCTCCCTAACCGCTTCTTCTTTTTCACACCTACCATGTTTTAATGCGGTCAGTTCGCTCTCTCCCACTGTGTTTCTTCATTTCCTATTCTTGTGGTCTTTGAATGCCAGGAAAAAATGTTTGAAAATGTACTTTTTGTCCGGTATACAGTAGATTTGAAGTTGCGAAAAGCTAATTCTCCCTTTCCGTTGGATTTTTTTTTGAAATTTTAATTTTCGATCCTCAAGTTTCGATTTCGTTCTCTTCTAAACCACTCGGATCCAGAAACATGCTGATAGACAATGAAAATTCAAAATTTCAAGAGGAATTTCGTTTTTTTTCTGGCTGCTGCCTCCTCCGCAAAAGCCAAGTTTCTTAAGGAGGCGATAGCGGGCACTAAACCACATCGAAATTTTTCAAGGAGATCACTTCAGTGATTGAACAGGAAATCGAAATCGAAAGAGAGACATTCCTAAAAAACGATCATTGTAATATCATTATTCATTCTGAAGTTTTATTTCAGCATTGGAACATTTTGAACCTTCTTCCTCTCCATTTCTTGATATTTTTTTCTATTTCACAAAACATTTCATTTCAGATATGTCATTCGCTCTTCAATTCTTATTAGCATCTACCTTAGTTTATGGCGTTCTATCAACGCATCGAAGAAGAGCAGTGCCAACTGTTATACCGAGTATTTACGAATTTATAGCAGAAAATGCGTATATTTGTGAGTTCTACCACTATACACATATTTTTCCAGAACTCACTCATTTCATTATATTTTTATTTTCAGGTTCTCCTGTGCAGCTGCCAGACGGATCATTAGTTACTTTTCTGAGCGAAGAGAAAGGAGCAAAATGTGAAGAATGCAATCATGTCCGGATTCTTATTATTGAGTTAATCTATACGATTTTATTTCAGGCGTCGCTTGGATTTGGAAATGCTTGTGGAGTGAGGGTGATGGGGAATGTGATGGACGAGGTTGCATGTTTTGAAGGTGATTTGAAATTCTGAAAGTTTTGACCTTTTTTGAAATTTAAAAATGGTTTTTTTTTTCAAATTTTTGTCTCGTTGCTGGAATAGTTACAGTACCGGTCAATAATAAAAGGGTGTTTTTCAGTTGACTTTGAACATATTCAGAAGTTTGAAGCTCAAAATTTTCAAAAATTCTGTAAATGCAAAGTTTCCAATCTAGGTCTGTTGTCTAATCTAAAAGATTTTCAATGTGATAGGAAACTTGACAGCCGAGCTCCAGTCTTTTGCAAATGGGGAAAATTAACTGAAAATAGGTTTTTGCATATATTATTGACCGGAACCAAATAAGCATATTTTAATGTTCTGAAAATTCTCTAGAAGAAGGTCAGCCTATACCAGCACTTTGAACTTAATTATCTAAATTTCTTTATGAGATATCAGAGATGAATCAACAGTGGAAATGCTGCTGATTTCATAAAAAACATTTTATCAGTTGACAGATTTTTGATATATCTTATGCAAAGCGAGATAACTGAGCTCAAAGTTCACGTACAGCGTGGCCTCCTATTAGGATGCTTCCGGTAGTGTTTTTTGAATGAGAAAGTTCGTAAGAAAATTTCATCTCGTTGGTTTTTTGGTCTAAATTTTAGGATTTTAGAGAAGGCCAGAAATGTTTTGATTTAAAGAAATCCGTAGACTTTGATTGATAAATTTTGAATTTTAATTATCTTGAAATATTTTTTTCAAATCCAAAAGTTTCTTCAAAATCCGACATTTTTCTCAAAATCCAATTTTTGTCAATCTAAAGTTTTTTATTCCCCATAAGTTTTCTAAACCCAAGTAACAAACAAGATCCAAAGTTTCAGATCCCTCTTGTATTCGAAAATCACATTGTAATTAATTTTTTGCACACTTCATTAAATCTTAATTCAATCGTTTTTTTGACCAACTTTCCACCCTTGATTCCCATTAAAGATAACGTGCATCTGACACACTACGAACATCTTAGGCTCCCCTCTTATAATTACTAAAAAAAGCATTTTCAGTCCCCCCATTGTGCATCGAAGCGTTCGAATTGCGTTATATGGCACAAAAACGACTGCCGTCAACAAGAAAGCCAAGAAAACGTCTGTCATTTGTGAATTCAAAGGAGGAATGGTAGGTATAGATACAATAGGAAGATTAGTGAAATGAAATTATTGCAGGGAACTGGCAAAAAGTGCTCGAATGGATGCACCGAGTACGACAACCATGACAACAACGACGACACCAGTACCAATAACTACAAAGACTACAACGATGGTTACTTTTCCACCTTCAACTTCGCCAACTACAACTACTACAACAAATCTACCCCATCCAACTTTGATTGATGAAGAAATAGAAGACTTTACTATCACTCCGATAGCCGTTCCACAGTTTAAACCTAAAAAGTCTAGATTCACTGAAAATATGGTACACATCTAGTCTAGCGATATCTACTTTTTAGAACACAATAAATTTTTTTCAGTCCCCTATCTCCAAACAGCGATCTGGAGCATTCAAAATTTCAAAAATGAACGATCAAAGAAATGATGAGATGGTTCGAATCGTCAAACGTAAATTGAACTTTATCGGAACCACCACAACTACACAGTCACCAGCACCGACACCAAAAGTTTGCGAGGATAAACATAGTGTATGTAATAAAGTAATGTAGTTTCTATGAGTTATGAAGTTACAGCTCTGCTGTTTCTGGGCAACCACCGGCGAGTGTACAAGGAATCCGTTCTGGATGAATATCAACTGCGCGAAGACTTGTGGAACCTGTGATTGTGAATGTGAGTATTAAAAGAAATTATTTGAGAAATAGAGAAGCGAGGTCTTTCATTGTTTTGGTTGTATGGATATTTAGATGCCGAATACCGTAAAACTTGTAATAAAAAAGACCCATTTCCAACCTTGAGCCATTTTTTTCTCGGTTTATGTCAAAGATACGAAAAAGTTATCTACTGATAATTTGTTAATCACAATATCGGAAGTGTTTTGTCAGTTGATACATTTTTGATTCCTTGCATAGAAATTTTGATACCATGCATAGAAAATTATCGTGAATTAACATTTCTGATATTGTGTTGAACAATTTATTGGTTATCAACTTTTTTTATATTTCTGAAAGAAACCGAGAAAAATTAGCTCAAAGTCAAAAGTAATTATTGTTTTTGTTATGACATGAACTTCGTTTTTTACAGTTTAAAAATGTAACAAATCGTTTAGTTACAATTTTCTCAATTATTCAATTTCACAGTAGGAACAGCTGATAAATGCGTTTCTTCGGGAATCAACTGCACACTCCCCACCACCACAGTCGTTATTACAACTACAACGACAACTCCAAAACCCACAACCACCACAACCACTCTGCCAACAACAACTACAACTGTAAGTAATTAAAAACTCATTTTGATATTAATTTGAATCTATTAATCAGAAGAAAAAGTACACCCGACCCTACACTCCACCTGCTAGCGGATTCCGAAGAACTCAATCCACGACAGCTAACAAAGCCAATAGAGTGAGCATTTTGTCCCATACTTCCTGTGGCGCATCCCGTCCCTCCTAATTGTGCATAGTCGTCGACTTCTTCTTCTTTTTTCCAGATTTATACAACAACAACTCCAACTACAACTACAACAACAGCAACAACGACCACAGTCCCAACGACCACCACTGCTGACAAGTGCAAAGATTATCATAAAGAGTGCAACTTCTGGGCAATGTCCGGAGAGTGTCACACGAATCCATTTTATATGAGACCAAATTGTCAAAAAGCTTGCAACTCTTGTGGAGAGCTGGTTGGGACTGTGTATGCTCCGACTCCTCGGCCAGGTGACTAGTTTTTGGGAAACTCTTTGAGTTATTTTGGGAGCAGACAAATCTAAATTAACAACGTGAAATACAAAATTTTATATTTTGGAATCAATTTTCTTACAAAATGACATCAGAGAAACCATTCGAGATTTTTCCCTTGATAAACATCTTTAGTGACTTTTTTTTCCAAAAATCTTCCGCGGACTTATTTTTGTTTTATTAGTTTCTTCCCGTGACCCGAGTCGTTTTCCCCCGCAAACCCAATGCCTCGCATTCTTTCGGTTTAAAATAACGATGCCAATAAGATTTATGGCATAACCTGACAAGATAAACGTGATGTCAAGTGAAGGATGCTCAAACCGCATTACACGCTTATATCGTGGACTTTTGAATTTTTGAACATTTGATTATTCGGACAAAAAAATGAATGTCTGCACTTCAGTGGGAACACTTGAATCCTAAACTTTGACATTTCATGCCTATCCAAATCCACTTGAAAATTTGATCCGCTTCAAATCGGTGTCGTCATCGTGTTTTTTTTTCAAAATATCTACAGAAAACGTCCTTTCCAGTTGATTTTGACCATTTTCTGAAGTCTGAAACACTTTGTCAAGTATCGGATCACTATGAAAAAAACAGACGTAAATTTAATACTATGCATTCACAGAACTTTTTGAAAATTCCTAGTTTTTTAGTTATTTACCGTTTTCAGAAAGACACCTTTCTTATCTTTTTAGTGCTGATAACATGAAAGAAACAGGTGTCTTTTAGGAATTGGCAAATAACTGAAAGCTTGAGTGCTTGGCATTTCAGAACACGAGATTTTAGAACCCGACATTTAAGAACCCGGAGTTAGTGGTTTTTTGCACACCAAATGAGTGCTCATTTCAATTTGTTGTTTTTCTGATTTTTCTTTTTAATTTATTATCATCTATCGTACTTTAAATAATCATACGTTTAAACTCGGAAACTCTGAAAAATCGAAAAAATTGTATATACGAAAAATATGGTTTGAAACCGTTGGGTTCTGAAACGTCCAGGACCAAAAAAATCAGGAATTCTCAAAAAAAAAACTCTGTAAATGCAAAGTTTCAAATCTAGGTCTGTTTTACACCTTCTCGAACTTTCAAAAATATCGGAAACTTGACAGCCGAGCTGCAGGCTCCTGAAAAAAGTTAAAATAATCGTAAATCAACTGAAAAAGACGTTTTTGTATATCTTATTCTTATCTTATTGTCCGGTACTCTATTTCCCAATTTTCCAGGATGTGATAATGGCCATCAACTGTGCAATTACTGGGCTCACATTGGCGAATGCTCATCGAATGCAAACTATATGCTGCCAAATTGCCGTTTAGCGTGCCGTGTCTGTTAATTAATGTTCACCGAACCTACCAAACGCGCTAGGGAAACAGAGAAAAAGAAAATGCTATATGTGTCTAAATAAATATTTTCGAGAGTATATATCGGATCATTTAGCTACTCTTTCCTCTTTAACCACTTGCTAAGCTAGCGGTAAGCCATACAAATAGAGGAACAGAGAGAGGATTTGTTTGTCGAGTTTCATCGCGGCGCATCTATCGGTAGCGCGCCTCCTCATTTTTATTGTTTAATCAGTTTTTGATTCTACATCACAGGGGAGAAGGTGATTGACGAACTCTGAATTTTGAGATTTTTATTCCTTGGAATTTGACGCTTGCCAAGAAAGAACAATGATGATGACGAGCTGGTTCTGACAATCTAACACCCCATTTCCCGTTTTTTTTTCGTTTGAAAATTTTATCTTAGTTCTCAAATTTCCATTTTCTTGCCACTTCCCACTCTTTATGCAATTCTCCTCTTGGACTTCTTCGGTTTTTTGCCCGGTCTTCTTCTTTTTCTCCTACTTCTACTTCTTCTTTTTTTTCCTTTCTGAGTGCTCACGGCCCGAAATTGGAATTACTGCTCAATAAGTAGAAAAAAGGCGAGGGGATGAAAGAAGCAGAAGAGCACAAAGAAATATTGCTCAAATGGCAGTGAAAAAAAAAGAAAAAAAAAGAAGAAGAAAAAGGAAAAGGGAGGGGAGTTGGTTGGAAAAAGGAGGGAAAAGACCGAATAGAAAATCTCCAGCGCGTCTTCTTCTTTTTTCCATGGGTCCTGTCGTCCCGAAACACTTCTCTGGGAAAAACATTCTCTCCTCTCTTCTTGCCCCCTGTCAGAGTAGAGCAACAGAAGTAGTACATGATGTGTTTTTTTTTTCTTGCTCAGTGAAGGCCCCATGAAGCAGCTCTGTGCTGCTCACTAAAACGTTGCAGTATTTTGTTGAAGGGATGGAGAGATGGAAAAAAAATCGAGTGAGAGAAAAAGAAAAGCCTGCTTTCAACCGCAGCAAAAGCGTTTTATCATTCGGTTGGTTTTGGTTTTGGTTTGGTTGTGGTTCGCCTTTCATGAAAACACAATTTAGTTTGAAAAATTTCGCTTTCCACAGGACTTGTCTCTTGGGAATAATGTATCGTCAGTCGTTTTTTTAACGAAATTGAATGACTAAACTTTTTCAAAAGTGTAATTCGGCTCAAGTTACAGATAATGGAGGTTTGAAGTATTTCCTATCTTTTTACGTTTAATAACTTGTGGTAAGAATGTTTTGCAGTTTCTGTTCTAAATAGATGTGGAGTTGTAGGATTTTCAAATTTACGGTATACCAACCTACCGTATCTGCAAATCTGCACACGAACCTGCCGTATATGCTCAAAAAGGAGCCGGTTTTTTTATGTACACTATGCGCACCATTATCTCAATTCTTGGGAAAGATATCAAAAATGTGTCAACTGACGAAATATTTTTGATAATATAATTAACATTATGTCAGTTGACCACTTTTTTGATATTATTCATAGGAAATGAGGTACAGTACCGGCCCATAAACATTTCTTTAAAAAGTGTTTTCAATTAATTTTAACCTTTTTTTGGACTCTGGAGCTCGGCTGTCAATGTCCCATGGAAAGTGTAAAACAGACCTTTATGGAAAATTTCGCATTCATAGAATGTATTAAAATCCCTAGTTTTTGACCTATTTGCCAATTTCTGGACGTCACCTTTTTTTCACGTTTTCAGTTCGAAAATGATCAAAAAATAAGTAAATTTTAGAAATTGGTGAGTAGATACAAAACTGGAAACTTTCCAAAAATTCTGGTAAAGCGAAGTGTTCAATCTAGGTCTATTTTATAATCTCCGAAATTTTCAAAGTGACCGGAAACTTAACAGGCAAGCTACAGATTTTTGAAAATGGTCGAAATCAAAAGAAAAACACGTTTTTGTAAATGTTATTGACCGGTACTATATATGAGCTCAAAATTGGCAGTTTGGTGTGATGGACACATTATCAGTGTTTACGGTAAACATGACTATTGAAAATTTTTTTGCTCACAACTACCAAGCGTATTGTTTTTGTGATACCAGCCAAAAAAAACATTCTAAAAATTTGCTCTATTTCATAACTGTAGTCATTTCTGCTACAATTTTAACTGGCACCAAATTCCCTTTGCTTGTTTTCCGGTCCAGATCTTCTGAACCATTACACAAATTAATTATTCATCTTGCCCCCCGATATGTCGGCTCATTCTGCTCCGATACAACTTCATTGACATCATTTTGCGCCCCCGTATTACAATACTAGTACACGAATTAACACACCACAATCCGGGTGAGGTGATACATTTTTGAAATTGAAATCTAAATTTCCAAATTTCCCTACCGAAAATCTATGAAAACTAGATTTGCCAATGGAATTGGGTGTATGTGTGTGTCTGTGACTCGATTCAAATTCATTGTCAGTAATTGGTAATTGAAGCGGAGGCAATGGTGCGCCCAAACCCCCCAACACAAACAATGAGCTAACGGGATATCGGTTACGTTTCACTATTCAGAGTGTCAACATTTTTTTTTGCTCTTTTTTCTTTTTTAGGGAGGAGCGGCGTGGCTTTTTAGGCATATTGTTTTTCTTTAAAACACGTTTCTTACTGTCATAATTAGCATTATTATTATTTCAACTATACTGAATAGCATAACTATCTGAAGATATGTGTGTGAAGACGTCGTAAATACACCTATACATCTTTTTTGTCTTGCTTTTTTGTTTTCTCATCGCTCTTGTGAGACACTATCATAACAAAAAGCAAGAGAAAGAGGTTAGGATGGGATTTTCATCTGTTGAAATTTTTATTATTATCTCAGGTGTTTGTTTTAAGGTGATTTTTTTGGGGAACTACCTTCAATTGAAGCCCACCCTAGTTTGAGCTCAATTATCTCGGTTTCTATGAGAGATATAAAAACATGTCAACTGATAAAATATAGACAATATTATGATAAACAATTTATCAGTTGGAATTTGTTGATATTGAGTTCAAAGTGCATTTATTAGATATAGTTCTATTAAGGGAAACAGGCATGTAGGGTATAACTGAAATTGCCAAAAAATCCTGTAATTCTTAGATTTTCAATACATTTTGTATGTTCGGTGGTGTGTGTGCAAGCGAGCGGTTAGAAATCTTGCATTGTGGTGCGGTAGTTTGACGATTGGATTTTTAAAAAATCTTGTCAGATGTTTTCTTCAATTATGAGGTACGGTAGGTCTTGTAAGCTGAAAGTTTGATATGAAGATTACTGTAACTGCGAAATATTCTAAACAGTATTTTTTTCCAAAATTCGTGAATAATGGGTGTGCATTTTTCTACAGTAACCCTGAATCTTATTGAAAATTAGCCAAGAAAGACCTTAAAACTTTAAAGAGTGTGCTGTTTGAGTCTCAATCCCGTAAATTTTTAAAAAATTGTCTGGAAGATCAGGTTAACTGCAAAACATTCTTACTTTTTTTTTGGTAAGTTCGAAAATTGTTGAAAAAATAAGGATTTGCAGTTTTCAACAGTAACATGACTGTCTCCAAAAAATTAGTCAAGCCATGTCAATCACATAAATCTTTGAAATTCAATTGTTCTCATATTCAAATTCTGAATTAACGTTGAATCTGAATATAAAAAATGTGCTCAAAAATACTTGAGACTTTTTGTTTTCTGATGATTTCTTGTGTGAGAACGACTTCAGTAAGTATTTGTTGATGTGTGCGCGCAAAGCAGACGACTCCGAAGAAAATTACCACTCCTCCTCTCCGGTATATCCATCCATTGTTAACTCCATTATTGTATTATAGTCATCATCATCTAGACGACCCACTCTCACACCCGAAAACACGAAGACGCCAATTTTGGGAGTTCTGAGTGAATGGTGGTGGCGTGAGAGCGCTATACTACATTGGGGCAGATGTCTGTGTATGGAAACTGGCCTCTCGGCACTTCAATTCAGACGTCTGTCACTAGCTCATTAGGCTGTTCACCCACTGCCTTCGTCGTTGCTCTTTTCGCTGGTGCTCTTCGGGTCCCCCCTTCTTGTGCTCTCGTCCCTTCGCCCCCCTCCCTCTCAACTCGTCGCACACGTCGCTTCTCTAACCACTCCTTTTAATCTCCGTCCTTCTTTTTCTTCTTTTTCTCCTTCTACGTCGTCTTCAATCCCTTTTTGCCCCTTTTCCTCTCAAAACTTCTTCTTTTAGCACTTGGCCTCTATGCTCGTTCTATTATATCCTCACTATTTTCCACTATTTTCATGCAAAAGCCGTCAAAATGTATTCACAACTTTCTTATGACATTTTTATTCATTCACAAGAGTTGGGGAGGACTTTGATTTGTTACTTTTTCTATTTCTATATTCGCGCAAATTGTACATATTCGTTTTAAATCATAATTAAATGAATTCAGATTCGACACTAAAATAAACCAAAATGAACATTCGATTTTCCTTCCTATGTTCTTTTCTTCTGATTGGCCACACATTCGCACAGGATGAAGTGTCTCAGGTTTGTATATCTCCTTTTTCTGCCTCTCCAAAACCCATGAACCCCTTTATTATGCTAATTCCTCATAATTATCTTGTCACTTTTTTTTTCCAGTGCAATTACGTCGGACTTGTCAAATGCTTCATAAACATTTTGGACGAATGGGCTTGGACACTTTACGAACTCAAGGAAAACGTCGTCACGATTAGACCGGATCAATGTGAACACTTGAAAGAGTTGGACAAATGTATTAAGGTGAGTTTCGGAAAGCAGGTTGACGCGGCGAACCTAGGAGGGCTATTAAAAATTGAGTACCGACGACAAGTTGTGTGTTTGAGTGTAAAATTGGGTTATATACCAGTTGAGCCTATTGCTTTGTAGTTTTCTAGTTGTAATAATCCTGGTGTAAAAAACAGAACAAGAGAAATAAGATCTAAAGATAATAAGCCGGAGCAAAGCGCTCTTCACATTATGTTTTTGATTGTTTTTCTGAGATTTTCCGGTTATCCCATTTCCGGAACATATGGTTATGTCAGATGAGTCGAGAGTGGGAGACGGGTGACCGACAACAAAAGACAGAAGCCTAATCCGGCTACTACTGGTCGACTATCAAATTACTGTAGTAAGCCATTAGGTTTTTGTTTGTGTTGTGCATGTGTCCTTGTGGAAACAGCGGATTAGAAATGGAAATTTATGATTTCTTTTGGCGGGGGAGGGTTGAGAAGATGGTTTCCGGTTGAGTTACAATTAGGAAACGGGGTGTGAAACGGGAGGGCAAAAGAGCCCCGGGAATAATGAGTTTTGGTTGGTAGGAGAGGGGCGGGGGAAGACGTTTTCAACTTCCTCTGAATTATTTAGTGCTCAAACAGGGACGGTTGGAATCACTTTTTTTAAATTTTTTGTTCCGTTCCGATTTCTCAATTTTCAGAATATAAAAAATTTCCGATTTTCAAATTTTCGTAATTTCGGAATTTTTGGAATATTTATTTTTTTTTTGAGTTAGATAATTTCGAAACTTTTGAATATACCGGTTGTTAAATTTTAGAACTTAGTAGTTTCGGAGATTCTGAATTTTCCGATTTTCAAATTTCCGTAATTTCGGAATGTCACAAAACTCCCATTGCTAAATTTTTGTTTTTTTTTCGGAATAATGGAATATTCCGATTTAAAAAATTTTGGAATTTTGGAGTAAATGTTTTTGAATGTTCTAAATGTTGAAGTTTTCGGAACATCCCGATTCGTAAAATTCCAAATTCTTGGAATTTTCGGCGTATTGCAATTGCTAAAATTCGAAGTTTCGGAATGATATTTATTAACATTAAAATTTTAAAGTAAAAATTTCATTTTTCCCATTACGAAAACGCTGCAATTGGCGAAAAATTGACAAAAATATGTCGAAAACGCAAGACAAATTCAAAGTAATTCCGTACGAAACCCTCAAGCAAATTTTCAGTGTGCGCCTTTGACATACCGTAGTTCGAAAATTGCTAATTTCAGAAAAAAAAGGTTTAGGAAAATTCTGGTCAAAATTTCGAATTGAAAAACCTTTCCAGAAATTCGTTCCGAATTTTTTAAATTTTCAATATTCCGAATACCTTTCCAATCATCTCTGAATGTTTAATATTTTCAGGATGACCTCCCAGTTGCTCATTCCTGCTCCCACAATGAAATCGTCCAAGTTTCTAATACCGTATCCGATTTGCTCACCCACCGAAAGGATTCTGGATCTTTCTTGAGAGTGAGTCAGTTTTATATTATTGTGGACTAATTTTATTTTTATTTCAGAGTTATTATCTTCTCACTTACGCTTGCTCCTCCGAAGGTCAAGAGATCCTCAGCAAACATCGTGACTGCTTGAAATCGGTTAGCGTTTTTTTACTTGGTCACCAGATTAGCTCTCCTGATCCCCTGCCTAATCAATTCACCCTTTCATTCGTTTTCAGGAGAAGATTGGAGAGATGACCCTGTCTGCTGGAACCTACTTGAGCGAGAAATTCCTGGAACACTCAAAAGAAGACGTTTGCGATAAAGTGAACGAGAAGCTTCAACAGTACATTTCTGCGCTTGGTGGACTTTGCAGCAAGCACGAAGCCGCTCAGCTTATGTGTCAATCTTTGAAAAACATGTTCTCGGTATGTACCCAGACATATTTGTACCAAAGAAATGCGTTTTTTTTTCTTGTAGGGACTTCATGCCGACAGATTGGAAAACTGCGAATTGGACTGCAAGATTCCGGAGAACACTGACGAGGAGAGCAAGGAAGAGGTGGTTAGTCGGGGGTGTAGAAATGTGTCCGAAATTTTAATTGAGATGATGAAAATATTACGCGTCGTCTCTCCAACTTTTCCATAATATTTTGACAATTTCCGCTCAAAATGCGATATCGGCAAGCGTTGCCACTATACAAGTGCTTAGCATTATCAAATTTCGCGGCTTCACTTCACTCTCTTTTTTCCTTTTTCCCTCTCCTCAATATTTTATGCAAAGTGAAGTAGAGGGGGGATGGAGAAGTTCCGATCATTTCCTGTGGATAAGAGAGTAGTTTGGAATGGCATGTGCTGCCTTCAGAAGGCCTTGCTATCGTCCTCCCATCTATGAATAATTTGAAGAGAGAAATATAATCCGAAACGAGTAGAAAAAAGAGGATGCGTCGCGCACTTTTTTTTGACATTTAATATTTTTTGACATGATGATCTTCGACTCTGCTGTTGACGAGTTTTCAATTTTATGCATTTCTACTCCTTTATTTTTGAAAGGAAAGAAGGCGAATCCAGGGGTTTCCAAGAAGAAAAGTTTTCAACAAAGAAGAACTATAAGCATCAGAAATCTCTGTCTGTTTACGACACATTTTTCTCTGAAAATATGAAAACAGACAGGCTTAAAATCTAGTGTTTAGTTTCTAGAACGTCATCAAATCTATCCAAATGATCATTGGTACAATTCTGGTCAGAAAATATATGAAAAACGTGTTTTCAGTTGATTTTGTCCCTTTTAAGAGTCTGGAGCTTGGCTGTCGTGTTCGATCTTTTTGAAAACTTTGGAGGTTTAAAAAAAGACAAAGATTGAAAACTTTGCAGGCGGGCCGGCCGGGCAGATAGTGGGCCAGCTGATAACTTTTTGCTAGAACGAGGTAATCAGACAGTTTTGGTACCAATTGATATATCTTGCCTAAGCCTAGCACGACTATATCATTTAAGCCGGATTCCATTCCAGTTACATGGAACCTGAGCTTGAATGACAATTTTCGACAAATTTGATTCAAACTATGTTTTTTGTCCTTCAAACACAGGTTTCGACATGTCATCGGGCCGGTATTCGGTTCGAATAATATAGGCGTGATGGGCTCTGGCGAGATCTATCATTTGGTACCAAAACCGTCTGAATATCTGGCTTTTGAGACAAGTTATCCGCCGGCCCGACACCTGCCCGGACCGGCCCGCTTGCAACTACGACCAGAACAGGCAAAAGCAGGGCATCCTTCAGGATTCAGCAAATACCTGAAAAACCAGAATTTTCCAAAAAATTTGGTAAATGCAAAATGTTTAGTCTAGGTGTGTATTACAACAGCCAATAATTTCAAAATGCTCGGACACTTGACAGCCCAGCTCCAGACTCATGAAAATGTTCAAAATTAACTGAAAAACACGTTTTTTTGAATTATTTATGACCAATACTGTATATAAAAACTGTTTCAGCAACTGACCTCTGATGCTCAAGATGAGGAAAATCTGGAGCAACAGCAATCGGAACAAGATGCTCTTCGACCAGCCGACTCTTCCAGCATAGCCTTTTCCTTCTTTTCAATTGTATTCTACGTTCTTCTCAGATGAATTTGTATGCTAAGAACTTGTAACTTTTGAGCTTGCTCACTTTTTCGATAAGCTTCCTGCTCTTTCTTTTCACTTTGACATTGATAAGGTTTTGAAACACTATTTAGTTGTCATGTCTGTTTTTTAATCTAAAAAATTATTCCATAAAAACATTTAGGCATTTACTTTAGTTTGTATAATATAAAAGTATTTTTGAACGATTTAGGATCATCAATTGTACTCATTTGTGGTGAATTTCTTCTCAATTTCCAATTCGAATCCCGATTTCTTTTTTCCATATGAGCTTTGCTTCTTTAATTTTTTTTGTCTTATTTGTCTCAATTTTCAGGCGTCTGGTATTTTATTGTAAGTTTGAAAACCCCTTGCCTGTTTTTTTATTCCCCATTTTAACCTAATTTTTAAATACCGCCCATCTTTCATAAGCAAATGTCAAATAACCATTACATTACATTTAGGATGTCATATAATTTGAACAAGAATTTAGATTCATTTGCTGATTTAATGAATTAATTTAGAAATTTAAAAAAATATAATATTTGAAATTTAGTTTTTTTTGTATACTATAATTAAAAATTTTATATTGCCATTAATAAATTCTATGATAAAATCTTTTCATTTTTTTTTTACAAAATGTCGAAAAAGATTGTATGACATATAAAGAAAATTTTCAGAGAAACGGGGAGGAAAAATGCAAATTCAATTAAAGAAAATCGAAATATCCCTAAACCCCTTTAGGCACATTCAATTTTCCTCTGCAGTTGTACGAACTGTCTCAATGAGAAATTCAACATTTTGCTTTGATAGTTTTCAACTTGTTTAAAACTGTAAGAAATGTGTGGTTTTACCGTACTGGCTCTCATAGAAATCCACCCTATATGTTCATTTTAAAATCACTTATCTTGCTTCCTTCAAATGATATTGAAAAAGTTTCAACTGATAAATTATTCATTATAATATCAGTAATGTTCTATCAGTTAACAAATCACTTTTAGGAACCGAGATAATTAAACTCAAATTACACGTAGTAGATATAGATTCTTTTGACAAATCAAATTCCACGAAATCAAACATTCGCCCCCTTTTTTGATAACTTTCTTTATTATATACTAGTTATTTGTTTATCTGCATATCTACATAGAAGAAATAGGAAGTTCTCGTGATTGAGGAAAACCTAGACACACTATTGGGAATATGTAGACGCACTGAAAACAATGGCAACAACAGGTTCAATAAATGTGTTATCGAGCATACAATAACTGCAATACGGGTGGCCAAATAAATAGAAGCCGCTGTATTTCCTATAATTCCCGCCCAAGCAACTTTGAGCTTCATTATCTTGGTTCTTCCAAGAGATATCAAAAAATGTTCGACTGACAAAATGTTTATTGTAATATCAAAAATATTTTATTAGTTGACAAATTTTTGATATCTTGGAATCGTGGTACTTTGGCTCAAAGTTTAAAGTTATTAAGGTAATCTATTAGAGTGTAAACGGTATTTTTCTTTTAAAAAACCACAATAATCAATATTGCATGATATTCAAAAAGATTGTGTTTCAGTAAGACGACTTTTTTTGTTATCGAAATTTTTTGTTTTTTAGCTTTGAAACTTAGCGTCTTACGGTAACTGATCATTTCGAATGACACCATTCAATTAATGTGGCAATCTCAGTTTTTAAAAATTATCTTTGAATCTTTACTCGTGGAACAAGAGATGACACATCTAGATAAACTTTCTGAGAATGAAAGCTCAGCTTGCACACGTAGGGCGTGTAAACTAAGCCAATTAGTTTCGTGCAAATATTCAATCGTTTGAAAAAATGGAACTCGATTTTTTTTTGCTCTTTCCGGTTCTTTTGCTTCTTGTGCTCTTGATTGGAAAATCGAGATGTTCTTTGAAATTGACTTTCTTACCCTAACGTCATTTTGTAGTTGCTTTCGCACCATAGTTTTATACTTATTTCCAAAATACTATTAATTTGAGCCTGTTTTTCTTTGTTTCTGTCAATGGTATAAAAAAGTTGTCAACTAATAAATAGTTTAGCATAATATTACAAATATTTTATCAGTTGAGACCATTTTAATAGCTCTTATGAAAACCGAGGTAATTGAGCTCGAAGCGCCCGTATTGGGTCGGCTTCTATAATCTGTGTTTCGTGATTTGACAGGATTCTGATATCTTGTATAGGAAGTGAGATGACTTAATTTAAATTTAAAATGATCCTTCTATTACAGGTGTAACTGTGACTATGGTTTTTTGGCTCAATTTTGAAATATCCACTTTTTGGCAGAAGTTTTACCTCGAAATTGGAAGAGAGATAATAATTGAGGATATCCGTTTCCTTTTTCACAGAAATTTAGGGCCGTTTCCGTATTTTCTTTGCACCTTTGCAGCCGTATTGACATTCCATTTCCAGCGCCCAGAAAATAGAGAACTCCTCAAACCAGAAGTTTTTTGATTCTGAAATCTTTTCCCAATCTTCCTCCCCCCATCCAATAAAATCTAATTTCCCGAGAGAGGTATCCAACACCTGTGTGTGTAAAAAGTCTCTGCCCTAGTCAGCTGTAACATGAAGAACAGAAATCATTGAAGTAAGATTTATCTGGTTAACATGCCCGTTTTTCCAGTCTGGCACTTTTGACACTAAAGTCTTCCGCTTCTCCTTGGTACTCATCACTCATCAGTGAAGAATTTCTGCTCTCTTTATATTTTTTCTTCTTCCCAATAATCTTGCGCCTCCTTTTCAACATTATATTCTAGAGATTTATTCTGCATGATGAGAGGAGGGGAAACCAATATCTTCGAAATCCTTGGATGCGTGTGTCGACTCGACAAGAGTTAATCCTTCTTTCTACATGCTAATAAACTAATCTCTGCAAAAAAGAGGAGATAGGACTGCCCATCGATTTCGGGAAGAGTGTCCTGTTGTGAGCGGATAGCAGAACGCCTGCTCGCTTTTTTTCAATCCTACTTTATTCTTGAAATCATGAAGCATTCCACACTAATTTGGCCCGGTGGCGATTCTGCTGTGGGTATGACTATCCATTCATTCTACTTTGTTATCATTTTCATTGGATTGGTCCTCAACATTTATGTGGTTTTCCGGATGCGTAAATTCTGCAGAACAGATAAGGATCAAGTAAGTCTGAAAAATTTAAAGTCAATTTAATTAAAATTGGCGCTTTTCAGTTTTTAAACGGAACAGGACTATATCTAATGTCTATGGCATGTTGTGACGCGGTCAATCTAGTTTTATCCAGTGTGGAAATGGTCACATACCTTTTACCAGTGGCCGCCAGCGAAGAAACTGCTCATATTTTGTGTAAGGTAAGCGGATCGATATGATATCACTTGGTCATGAATTGCTGTATAATCTCTGGTTCCTACCGGATGTATAAGATGATTTCTCGAGGAGCACATTAGCTATTTTTAGGTTCTCAGTAGCAGAAAAAATCTCATGACAACCTTATTAGATTCTCTATAGAAGTTCAAATTAATTATCCCTCAATAATCCCTGTTCCTAGACACTCTCACACCTCTAAATTAATGTTCAGTAATCCCCTATGGCTTCCGTTCCAGACTTCTCTAAAGAGAACTCATAATCTAGTGTTAAAAAGCACACCATACGAGCTGAATCACTCGAAAAAAAAGTTCATAGTGATGAGTAGATAGTGATAAACTTGTTGCGGTGATTCACATAAATTCCGGAACTTGACCAGAAATTAAATTGAAGATCACAAAAAAAAAGTTTTCAGGTCCTAGAATTCACTGTCCGATGCTGCTACACCTATAGTATGTATTGCTGGCTGTTCATGTCTGGCCTACGGTATCTGGCTGTATTCCAAGCCATCCATTATACTACAGTGTGGAGGAGCCCATGGCACATGGTCATTCCTTGCTTCATTGTTGCGCTCATTACCAATATGTATCTTTTGGTGGCAGTAAAGCAGGATAACTACAGATGTGCTTTGACAGTTGATGTATGTACAGTACCCGATATAGAAAAGCGTGTTTTTAGTTGATTTTTACAATTTTCAAAAGACTGGAACTTGTCGGATCACGTTGAAAATTGGGTTTAAAACAAACCTAGATTAACAATTTCGCGTTCATAGAACTTCTCGAAATTCAATTGTTTTCTTCAGTTATTAGACAATTTTTAAAAGATACACATTTGGTTATGAGAGAAAACGAATTTTTTTGAAAAAAATTTGGATTGAGACTTATTCAAAACATGTTAACGTTTTTCAAGAAAACATGCTTAAAAAATTGTTTAAAGGGAATCAGGGTTATTGTAGAGAAGCTCAAAACATCCCATGTATTCTGAATGACACCCTTTGGCCCGCTTTTCTACTGAAAACATGAAAAAAACTGATGTCCTTCAGAAATCGGCAAATAGCTGAAAAATTAGGAATTTTCAAAAAAAATTCAAAAAATGCTACATTTTCAATCTAGATCTGTTTTACATCCTCCAAAACTTTCTAAAAGATCGGAAACTTGACAACCTAGTTGTAGACTTTTGAAAATTGTCGAAATCAACTCCTTTATTGGATTTTGAAACTTTCTACTTCAGACTTTTTTTAGGACTACTCATCCTTGTACAGTAGCGTTGATGTATTCATCTCCACGTTGGTTCCAGTATCCTTCGTTCTTGCGTTGGACCTTCTTGTCCTATGTTTCCGTCCAACACGCCAACAAACCGATCCTCTTCTTCAAGTCGTCTTCCATAAACTTGACGAGGATACTGAGAAGGTAACTTACCAGTATTTAATTTCTCTTTATTGCTCATATTTCCAGAAACGACAACAAACAACACGAAAGTTCATGTTTGTCACTTTTCTCGCTATCGGCATGTCGGCTCCCGATGGAATCCTCCGAGCCGTCCGTCTTTATTTCGATGGGGATGTGGTGTTCACGTTGTTTCAAATCTTCAAAGGATTATATTTGATACGGGTTAGCCTTGTGCATGCATAATTATTGGACTTATTAGTTGCGGGGCTTCCTGTGGTGTTTCCTGAAATAGATTAAGGGCATTTTTGGTGTTGGTTTGGTTTTGTTAAGGAAGGAGAGGGAGGAACACAACTTGCATTTTCAAAAGTCTTGAGCTTGGAAGTCCAGGTTCCAATCACTTTGAAACTTCTGGAGGTGTAAAATAGATATAGTGTGAGAACTTTGCATTAACATAATGTTTTTTTTTTGAATATTTCTGTTCTTTAGTTCTTTAGGTTTTATACTGACTTTTGAAAGACCGTTTTGAGAGCTATGTTGGCTTGCGGGCCATCCGAATTTTTTGAATTTGGCGCCAACATGCGGGTGGTGTATTAGAAGGAAAACGATGCGTTTTTCCCTGAACCTATAACTACAAACACAAAACAATAAAATTTTGGAAAAATTGCTCTCGAAAAAGAACTGAAATTGAGAAAAAATCACATTTCTCACTGAAATTGTTTTTCAAAAAAATTTTTTTTTTCTTGTTCAAAATCATATGCTTAGGCTAAAACGCATTGTTTCTGTCTTACTGTGACATCCGCAATTTTTCAAAAAACTTTTCAAAAAATTTGAGTGGCCACCCCCAACATAGCGGAAGTTTTATCAACATAGCGGAAGTTTTTGTACTGAAAACGTGAAAAATACGTGCTTTTCAGAAATTCCAAAGTTATGTGATTTCTAGGAATTTCCCAAAGATTATGTGATTGCAAAGGTTCCAATCTAGGTCTATTTTGTAACCTCCAAAATTTTCAAAGCAATTGATAATTGGACAGCCGAGCTCCAGGCTCCTGAAAATGGTCATAATCGAAAATAAATCAACTGAATATTACGTTTTTGTACATAAAAAGCTAAAAAAAATAATTTCAGTTCACCTTCAACGCCTTCTATCTAACCCTATTTGTTTTCGACCGGAACCTTCTTTCGAAAGTTTCCTCATCCCGTCATTTGTCTGTGTCCATGCGCCGTCTCGAAGAGGAACCCGCAATTGTGCCACGTGAGCGCAGCCGAACCCTTTCCTGTCAACGGCCACCATTGGTTACCCAGCTAACCAGAAACGCCTCATGCATTATTTATAATGAAAATAAAGACGGAAAAGAGAAGGATAACGAGAGATCAACATCCTTGTGGGTGTGAATTTCGGATTCGTCTGTTTCCTTTTTTAACCATTCCATTGTTTTTTCTCCGCTTTCTTGTCATTTTTCTCATTTTTCTCACACATTCGAGTTGTTTATTTTGTATCGCATTACCAGTAATTTACGATTTCCCTTCTCAGAAACCGGTTAGCTGCCCCTAAAAAAGGGACTTTCAATTTTAATCTCATTTCTAACAAAATTCGTAGAACATGTTGTATTTTCAACATGACGACGAGACAGTGAATCACTGAGTTCTTAGAAATAAATCCCGATTTTTTTCACTTCCCCATTCATTTTTTCCCTCTCTCTCTCTTTTGTTCTCACTTGAACTTTTTGTCTAGAACCAGTCAGACAGATATAATACATGTCTGTTATGTACCCATGATATGTAAGTCCGATGTTGTTTACAAATTTTCCTGTGAACTGATGACGTTCGTCCTTTATGTGGACGTTGCTGAAAACATGTGTTGAAATTTTTTTCACGGATTTTGATGTTTTAAAATAAATGAAGGCTTATGTCTGACATCTAGAATTCACAAGTTTATTGCATTTTGGAATGTTCTCCTTCAAGGGGGCTTATGAAAATCTTCTAATACAAACTATGGGGTATCTTTGCAGATTACACAGTCAGGCGGGAAAAAACTAGACAATGAATAAAATTCTTAAAATAAATAAAGCACAATTCAATACAAATCTCACAAAGTCTGTAGATTCATTATTTTTTTGACAATTCTGACACTAACCATTTCAGGATGGGGGGGGGGGGGGTTTACTGGGCTTTGTTTGGCGGGGTTTGGGCTGTTGGAAAGGGGGAAGGTTCAATAAATTCTGGCACAACGAAAACAAGTGAAATGGAATTACACATGTAAATTGAAGAAGAACTGGGAGAAGGGCAGGGAGCGTAAGTAGAAGAAAGTGCTAGAAAGTCTAAGCTGAGTTAGCAGTATGGCGGATGAAGTAAAAAAAAAGGATAAAAAAGATAATAAAGGATAAGTTAGATGAGATTCGTCATGTTGAAAATAGATGGTAAGGTTCGGAACTTGAGCGAGGCGTCAGCACCACACGAGAAGAGGCGCATGTTTTGATCGATGAAAAGTTGTTGGACTCCTTGGACAGACGATTGGCCAACTAAAAAACAGACAAATCTCAATTTTAGAACTTATAGATATCTGGTGATTGAAAAAACAGGGATGTTCGGAAAGGAAGTCGAATTTTGAAAATTCAGATCAAAATACTTCCAAAGATTTTTCGGAATTAGAAATTTTTGGTCATTGGTATGCTTAAGGCGCACGCAAAAGGTTTCCATGAGGGTCTTGAGAGAACAGTCAAAGGTAATTATTTCCGGAGTACTGTATCAACGGCGCATGATGTTATTTGTAAATACGGCACCTGCTTTCGCTTTAGGGCCGGCGATGCGCTGTTTAATAAATTTTCGTCAGCCAGTTGCATCGCTGTCGGACAAGAATAACGTCTTTACATTTTTGAATTCCGAAAATGTGAAACTCTGATTTTCGATGTTTCGAAAAATTCCGAATATGGCATTCCAAACTTCTCTGGTCTTAAACAATCTTAAACAACCGCTCACCTTGTCTAAACGAGAATCCTCCCTTCGCCGTATGCTCTCCAGGCAGATTGTACATCAATTGAGGATTCGCATCGGCCGACCAAATCTTTATATCTCCTTCACTGGACCCAGACACAATCAAATCTTGTGCCGAGTCTGTCGCCAACGTCTTCACAATATGCATCTGATCGAAAGCCTTGATGGTGTGTCTCAACTGACGTTGTCTGATATCCCAAAGACAAATCTCTCCATGTCTTCCTCCAGAGAAAATGGTCTGCTGGTTTGGCACGTAAAGTGCGCATGTGGCACCTTCCGGATGGGCAGCCCAGGAATGAACAAGAGCTCTGTTGGTTGGGAGAAGAGTGTCCCAGAGGCCAAGATTGTAGTCGAGAGATGAGGATCCAGCGGTGAGGAGAACAGATGATGAGTGACCAAGGAAACAAACATCGGCTGCTGATTTGTTGTGACAACGTTGACTCTGAAAGATAATTAGGATAATTGAGGTATATTCATTCACCCAAATAGCTGAACTCACAAAGAATGGTTTCTTTTGTTCAGTTGCCTGACTGGCTTGCCAGAGACACAACATTCCATCTCCGTCCACAGCGGCAAATTTGTTCCCATTGCACGAGAACGCAATTTTAGCAACTTTGGCGTGTTGTCCGGCAACTCTTGCAGTGTAAACCGTATCCTTGGCTCCCCACTTCCAGACTTTAATAGATCCATCAGAAGATCCAGTCACATAGAATGGAGCGTGTGGATGGGAATCGATACGTCGGACACCAGGGATGTGCCGTTTGATCATCTGAAAAAAATTCGGGTTGTTATAGAAATGAACATCCTACTAAAGCCGATCCAATCATGCCACAAGCACAAGAGAACCCCAAAAATAAACATTACGACCATCACAACAGTTTTACTACCAAAATGAAAACGAAACCTTATTTAATCCCCTACGACTTCGATCAATTATCCAAGGTGTAAGCTGAACATAATTATAGGAGTTTGTGGATCATCTCCAGATACAGAACAATGAGGTGAGTGAGTGTTCTGGTGTCAAACTAAAAATACAGTGAGGAACTTACCACGTTAGTATGCTTGGCATTGTGGGCGTTTGAGTCCGTGAAAATTTGATAATCATCATTGTCTCGCAATGCGTCTCGTTTGGAATGAATGTTCTTCATCTGAGAAATAAAAATAGTTGAAGGAGGACATACAGAAGATTTTTTTTTTTACGGTATGTATTCTGACGTGACGCGTTGCTAACCTGCCACGTTTCTACAGTACCGGACAACAAGATACACGAAAATGAATTTTCTGGTTGACTTTGACTATTTTCAAGAGTTTGGAGGTATACTGAAAAGTTTCCGATCACTTTAACAATATTAGAGGGTTTAAAACAGTTTGCAAAAATTGGCGTTTCGCTAAAAGCATTATCCTAACAAAGAAATTGAAAAAATCGGTGAAATTTCTGATTTTTTCAGCTGTAATAAACCAGTACCGGGCCTTAACGAACCCTGACAATGTCCGGCCTGGTCCGGCCCTAATTTTTCAAGTATGGGATAAGACAATTCAAGGTTTCAAACTCACATCCAACTCTGCTCGATTCCACATCCAAGAAGTCTGATCATATTGATCCTTAAACACATTGGACATATCCATCTCCTGGAGTTCTCGTCCATTAGAGACCACAATGAGCCCTGGGCTCTCTTGATTGCAAGCGAACGCAACAATGGGTTCGCTATCCTTCTGAACAATCTTGAACGCTTCTGGAAGAATTGGGTTGCTATCAATTCCAAAGAACGCGTCGACCGGTTCTGGGGCGGATTCCTGAAAAAATATATATAATTGAAGGATAATAATTTTCAAAAGGGGAGGATTACCATGATGCTGTGTTGTGAGAAGATGTACTTGATGAAGATCTCTTGAAGATGATCTTCTCTCACCAAGAATGACCATAAGCGGCGAATAGTTTGGATTTTCTTATCGTCAGATTCAAATGGAGTGTTATTCTTCTTCACCAATGCTGCATACTTCTTCATTGTGGCGGCAAGATGTTGATCACTAGTATCAATGGTCATATCCGGCAACAAGTCATTTGGAATTCCACCAGGAAACGTTTTCAGAGTCTGATGTTGTTGAACAATCCAGTTGCTGAGTTGTTGAAGGACGGCGTCGATTCGAGGAGCGACAGTTGGAATATCTGAAACTGACTCTGTTATGCAGGAAGACTTATTCATTTTTAGACTTACCTCTGGGATCAAATCCAACCAACACCAAAAACTGCTTGACACGATACAGCTGTTGTTGGATCAGCGCGAGTCTGAGCAATTGCCAAGCAAAACTAGAAGGTGCTGCATTCTCACAACATTCGTCCTCGTTGTCTTCGTCGTCTGAATAGCCGGTTCCTTTTTCTTCTTCATCAGAATCGTACATAGTCTCATCTTCATCGTCTTGACGACTAACGTTGGGTTTGTCGGCAAACAACTGCACAATATTCATTTGTGGTGGAACCCACTTTGAATAGGATTGCTCCGACGGGAGACTATCTTTTGATGCCGTTGAGAATTTTTCGTTTCCAAGAATTCGCAAATTCAAACGACTTCGAATTTGTTCCCCATTGTTTTCGACTGTTGAATCTTTTGGAGTTGGTGCGGCAGGTCCTGAAAATAAATAGCGAATTTTCACTTTAAAAAATAAAACAGCTTACGTGGCGGTCTGGCTGGTGGATGAGACGCTTTCTTAGTTTCACCACCTCCTCCGAAGATTTGCCCAAATTTGTGTGGATCGATCTCATGAACGCTGAGACGGTACAACCAACGAGAGTCGTAAGCAGACAATGCAAAACAAAACAGTGACATTGAGATAGCAAGGAATGACTCGATGATGAGCAATCGGAGTTGTGGAGCATCATCTTCCTTCTCACGTCCTAACAACGCCACTAATGCTTCTACACCAGGCCATTTTACAGGTGGGGTCACAACATGATTGTCGGATCTTCCAATTGGAGCGGGTCTTGGCTCCAAATTGAGCATCGAGGAGTAGGTCTGGTCGATATCCGTCAACGATAGATAGATGCAGCAGGAGAAACCTTGGCAGAGATTGTAGAGCATGTAGCACTGAAAATATTTGATTTATTTAAAGATCCGCCAGTTTTTGAAATTCTCTCTCACCTTCTGCAAGTCACCAGCCATATTCGGCACATTGTGAAGCTCGCTGATAGAAGCAAGAAGATCATTTCCTTGATTCTCAATATAAGCCAATGGAGACGATACAAACATCTTCGGAGATGAAACGGCTGCATCGAGCAGAGGGAAAGTGCTCACACCGGAGGCTAAGAGTTGCTCTGTAAAAATAAATTTTGGCGTATTTTTAAAAAAAATTTCTCCTCACTTGGCAAGATGTCATCCTCCGCATCACGTTGAACATTGAGCAGAAGTAAAAGCAATTCCATAAGAACTGATGCCAAACGATGGTTGTGTGCCGAGTGAAGCGTGCAAAAAGATGTGAAGGATCTCAGTAGCTTTTGATTGGCTTTCAACCATATTCTCCGTTTTGGTGTGAGTCCTGGACTAGCACGTGACAACTTTTGCTCAGCATGCTCATAGTTTGCTCCTGTAGAGCTCCAGTAGTCAGAATCTTGATTTTCTTCATGGGGCAGTGTTGGTTTCCGCTCCGCATTGTAGTCGCAGTTGGTTTGGAGCACTTCCACTTCTCGTTCAAGCCAGTTCAAGAGCTAAAAAACACGGAAAATTAGGTGATTTGTAGGAAAGGAATGAAGAAGTGCATAGATTTGATGAGTTTAGAAAAGAGAATGTTATTTTAAAGGGATGGGGATAGTTTTTGATAGCTGCATAAATCCCTCCTCCATGTTTCCCTCAAAAACATGCCTCACACAAATTACCACTAATCTATCGCAACTTTCGAAAGTAGGTAGCTGAATTCAACGATATTTTCAACTTTTTGTTCTGAACAGATTGCTTTATTTACTATCAAAACATACCTGATTTCTCAACTGTCCACCATCGACATCAAAACCACTAGCCAGTGTTGACAACTCCTCGGTGAGTATCCTTAGAGACGCCACAAACTTCATATGCTGCGCAAAAATGTCAGTTGATCCTACAAGTTGACTTTGCAACACTGCAGAGCTGTCCATGCCGTTGACAATCAAAGGTGCAGGTTCTTCTGGCTTAACCTCCAGCTCAGCAGCTCCTTCCTCGTCTTCATCATCACTCCAGTCTAATTTCAACTCATCCGGCTCATCAGAAGTTGTAGGTTTGCTCCAATCAACTTCCACAGGCGGTGGTGGCGGTACTGCTTGCTCGGTTCCTCCGAAGATAGTCCTTAGTGCCTCGTCGTAATCCTGCACGATACTAATATTCTTTGGTAGCATTGTGAGCACATCTAATGAAAGCATTGGACATCCACGAGCCATGTGTTCAGCGGATGTTCTGAAGAACAAACGACGTTCTGGTGGGGTTAGAATATTCTCGAGCTGTCTTCCAAGTGCCAGAAGTTTCTCTGTGGTTCCGACTTGAGCTCCAATGTTGTTGAGTCTTTGGCGGACAACCAATGGATGTTTGCGAAGATAAGAGTAGAAATTGAAAATGTCAGAGAGGCTGGATAGAAGGCGGTCGGATTGTGCTTCTTGTACCAAAGTGTGTGCAGATCTTGTGTAGTCCTTGAGCATCCAGAAAGCCATAGATCTTTCGAATGGTTCTTTGGAGGCGTGAACACTAACAGGGGTGTCTTCGTCAGTGCGACCACGTTGCTGCTCGAATTCTTCGTAGGTGATTCCAAGAACCTCTCTGAAAAATATCATGATTATCAAAAATTTTATGAATTGCAAAATATTACCTGCACAACAACTCATTGACCATTGCTTGTTGAGATTCTGGATCACTTTCATACATTCTCACGACAACCAGAGCCAATTGAACGTCATTACACTTGCTGCACAAAGTCTGAACCGCATCTTTAAGACTTCCACTCAACAAGAAGAATGCTGCAGCATGTTGGAATCGTTGTTTTGACATCAAGACGAATGCATTCTTAGCGGCGACCTTTTGCCAGTGCTCCTGGTTGAAGTCGTTCATGAAGAAATCAGCCATTGTCTGGTTGCGGACAGTCTTGAACAAATGAGTAAGCACATTTTTCTTTCGAAGAGCAAGATAGAACAAGGAAGCGTCCATTGGGTCTTGGTTTGCTTGGAATGACGCTTTGGCAATCTGAAAATGGGGATATATTGAGCTCAACTTATAAAACACTGAACTTGTAAATCAGGCCTTTGCCGGGCTTTCGCGGGCCCAGCCATTTTTTTTGGACACACCAAAAAGGATTTGATAGAACTTAACGAGTACTACAAAATGAAACTATTGAAAAAACTGTGCCTTGTCTATGGATAAAGTTACAAGCCATAAGGCTGCAGAGCCAGGCCAGGTCTGTTTTTTGATTTGTAACTTTGTTTAAAGACAAGGTACAGTATGTCAAACACCATAATATTTTAGTACTTGTCAAGTTCTATCATAACTAATTCAGTTGGTCCGAAGATATTGATTCTAAAAAAAAGACTATGACAGGACCCGTGAAGGCCCGTCAAAGGCCAAGTTCACGAGTATTTAAAACACTAACCTTTTCAATGCAAATTCTCAAACTTGCGGTATTCTTCAACCACCATGCCACTCCAAGGCCTCTCAATTCCTCCCACGATGGACTTGTTTTATGCATCCCTGGAACCGCATTCAACAACTCGACTTCAGTTTCCGAGTGCTGTGCCCAAATGATATTGGCTGCTGAGAGTCCAGTCTTCTTTAGTTCCATTCGCTGTTTCATCGGAAGACACACCAAGAGATATTCGTGTTGCTTCATAGCCATCAAGTATCTCAATCCACACTCGTCGACAGTTTCCACTCCGGCAGCTGCGGTTGCATATCCGCCAGCAGCATTGTCTCCAAGAACTGATCGCACAACTGGCTTCATTGCTAAAAAAAAACTCAATTAAGAGAATTCGACGACAGGATTCGAATTCTTACCTGCATTAGCTTGTTCCACCTTGTCCTGAGCGTCACTGGCAAAGTGACTCAAAGTGTCAGCTATAGCCAACAGATGCATTTGATCTACACTGGATAATCCTGGAAGATGAGTGTGAGTGAGCAGCTCGGTTAGCTTTCTGTAGTCCTTGGCAGTGAACGTTGCGGTGACGTGACTCTCGTTTCTAGCAGCAGAATCACTTCCAACTGATAAATGACGGGATCTTCCACTGTATACAGAATCTGTATCTTTCAATATGGCATCAATGTCACCATCTTTGTCATATCCATTGTCAAACAAGTCATCGTACTCATCAGTGTTCTTCACTACCAATTCTTCTTGCTTCTCGTGAACAACTGGAACTTCATGGTCAGCTTCAATCAAAGCATACAAAGGTAGCAGTGGTATGTCGTCAATCTCATCGTAGTCCATCGAGTCGTCATCCATTCTCGCATCTACTGGCATTGCTGGTACAGAGTCACCACGGTCTACAGTAGACATTCTTTTGATAGAAGCTGCTCGACTGAGTGGGTTGTGAGCGGCGCACTTTTTCTGCTTCAGACAAGACAGAACATGATTGAGAATCGCTTTGACACGTCGTTTCTTGCCGGCATTTAAAAGAACAATAAGCTGTTTGGGATGGTATTGTGGAAGGATTGGTGAAGCCATGCGAGCTGTCTCGAAGACTCCTTCGCTCTTCAGAATATCCAAAACCATTTGACTTTCGTTTTCTTTTGGATGTGCTCTGGAAAGAGGAATTTTGAGTTATATACAGAAATAAGATTATCAACAACGCATTTTTCAGTAGATGTAAGACTTTGAATTCGCAGAATTTTTTGAAAATTGTTAGTTTTCAAGATAATTTCCGATTTCTGAACGACACCTTCTTTGACTTTTTTCCACCGAAAAAAGTAAAAATAAAACCGTAATCGTTTTAGAAATCGGCAAATACAGTTATTACGCTTACGATTCTTCAGTTTTTGTCCTGTCATTTGGTCCGTTTCAGATTTCAAATTACCGAAATCATTTTCTCATAGTACATTCAAATGCTGATTACGATTCTGCTTTTGGATTTTCAAAATAATTGTGATTTTCAAAAGTTATAGCTAATTTTATGAGGTGGCTTCATACTCATGTTACGCAAACACAGTAGCTGAAAAACTGGGGATCTCCAATGATTTTGTGAATGCAGAGCTTTCAATCTAGGTCTGTATTACACCCTACACCGTTTTCGAAACGATTAGAAACTTGAGCTTCGGACTCTTGAAAATAGTCAAAATGGTTCAAAATCAACCGAAAAATATTTTTTATGTTTTTAAAATTTTTCAATCAACTCACTTGTGCATAGTGTTCACAAACTCTAGGAAAACTCTGCTACGACTGGATACCAATGCCTCCTTCTTGCGAGTCAATTGATCCAGCATCGAATGAGATGTGGAGACTGTCAAGCTGACGATATTGGGGTTGGCGGCTCTGAAGTAAATTTTATAAAGTTTTTTTTATCAGATCAACTCACGGGATGGCCTTCTTCAACTTATTATTATCAGTGGTTTTGAAATTCCACTGATTATACACTCTCATCTCACTTTGCATTCCAACAATCAGAATACCGTCGCGCACCCAACTCAAAGCAGTTGGAATCGGTGGAAGTCCGTCGGCAGTGTCCAAATTAAGCACACGGCAGCAGACCCAACTGGTGAACCGACTATTTGGCTGGATGTTCGGGAGAAGAGATGACGCTTTGCGAATTGATGGTCTTCGCATTGTTGTCTCACTTTCTCTCATCAATGTGACATTTTGTTGAGCAGGATCCTGACCGATTTGTGCATAAATGTATACTTTGGTACCCATTCCGACGGTAAGCATGTGAGTTCCATCCTCCGTAGATACCCAATCAAGACGAACAATGTTCTCAATGTTCACTGAAAAAAGTTCCATAAGTTTCGAAATTTGTATATTTTTCTTACTTTGAGCAATATCCGTAACCGATGGCGATGAATTCTCAATTGCACGAATGAGCTCATAAGACGGTTTGGTTGGTTTTCCAGTATTGATTCCTGAAATATCCAAATTATTGACACATCGTATGCAATAGGAAGAAAAAAGCCACTACAAAGGGAGATTGACCAACAGGAACAACAAATAATTCAAAGTGGTTATCCCCAACTATCTAACAATTAACACAAAGTTAATGCGACAAAACGTGAACAGTTTTGTTTAGTAATAAAAATGAAACAAAGAAACTACGACACTCATATTAAGTAAAACGGATAGAGGAAAGCGATAGAACAGGTCACGAAAAACAAACGAGAAATCACACCACGTCGGAAACTAGCACGCAAAACTTCCGTACGCTGTTGCAGTAGATTCAGATGCTCCTGCTCGCCGGAGGAGGATCGTTTGTTGTGCGCGTCTTGATAGTGTCTGAAATTTTGGGTTATTTCTGAAGAAAATGTACAGTATAGGTCAATAAGATCTACAAAAACGTATTGTGCGGTTGATTCGTGGTCATTCTAACAATTTTCAAGAGTCTGGAGCTCGGCTGTCAAATTTTCGATTACTTTGGAAATTTTGTAGGGTGTGAAACAAATCTAAATTGAAAAATTTGCATTTACAGAATTTTTTGAAATTTTTTTCAAAAAAAAAATCTAGTTTTCTATGTTAGCTATTTGCCGATTTTTAGAACACATATGATTTTTTCACCTTTAGTACAAAAAAGGTCAAAAGGGAGTGTATTTCAGAAATCGATAATCTATGTCTTTTTTACACCTTCCTAAACTTTCAAAGAGATGGAAAACTGAACAACGGAGCCCAGATCCTAGAAAGTCCTCAATATTGCAAAAACTCTACTGAAAATTATGTTTCGTATATCTATTGCCCGGCACTGTAAGGATTACTTACGGTTTCGAGAATTCATAGAAATGATTCTGTTGAATACTGAAGGAATCCTCACGGAACCATTCCACTCCTCCTGATGATTCACATTCAAACACTGCAACTTCAATGGAAATATTGGGGTCGGACGAGTTCCTGTTTGGTTTTTGGTATGCACAGGCGATTCTTCCGCTGTGCGCTGCGTTGACTTTGACGATGGCGCCTAAATATATGTTTTTGGATCAAAAGGTTCCTAAGCAAGCACCGTACCTTCTACTCCTAATTCACTTGGATGATTCTCGCTAATCATGTTCCACTCTCTCCATTCAAACTTGTTCGGACTCACTTGATCCGTCACTTTGATGCATCTCCAGAATCTCACCGAGTCATCATTATCAGATGACACCAAAACGTATGGGGTCTCACATGCTGGGTAGATGGAGGAAGAGGAGAGGTGTCCAGCGGCTGGGACAACGTTGGTGAGACGAGTTCCCTCTGGAAGTGGCATGACTTGTCGACAAACAAGGTCCGCTTCAAAATTCAATTTCGCCATGGAAGGAGCCAGAGGACTGGACGGACGGAGGAATCCTTTCTCGCCGGGTAGAACTTCAGTGTCAAAGTTTGGAATGGATTGTGGCGGTTGGGAGGAGATGGTAAGAGAGAACATCATGATTCTGAAATTTAATCCGTTGATTTTTTCAAACAGACATCAACTTACACATCCTCATTCTCCTTCTGATCAACAACGACAATGAAGAATTTGTCCTTGAAAGTTGGAGTCTGACTTCTATCAATGACACTGCTCATCGCACTGATCTCACTTGCATCTTCTTCATCATTAGCAATCACAATTCTCGATTGGAAAACGTGAAGGAACATCAAATTCAACTCATTCAGATTCACGTCTTCAATTTTGCCAACTTCTAGCACACATCCTGGTTTTGCTGTCGATTGTGTAGAAACTACATTGAATTGCTTCAAGAAAGTTGGTGCACGATCACTGCGTGGTGATGGAGTCCGAAGAATTTTATCGCTGTAGCTGAAACTAGGTAGGCGGTTTGAGCCAGCTCAAAGTACTAGGACTTACTTGTCAAGAGTTTCTCTTCCGGAATATGCAGTTTTGGCGTTGGAGAGTTCAGAAAGAAGTCCACGAGCGTCGAGAACTGCTTGGTAAATGATTAGTTGGCTTCCATCACACGAGATGAAGCATGAGGATGGCGAATTGCAAACTGTTCCGAGTGTACAGCTAGGGAGAATTGCAGGGACCCATCCAACAGTAGAGAAACCGCTGATAATAGGACTAGCAACACGCGCCAGCTCCTTCACTCCTCCATTTTTGCACAACGGTCCGACTGGGGTAATTTTCCAGAGAATAACTTCAGAGAGGACATCCATAGTTGAGTCTACTTTCACTTTGGGAGACTTGAATTTGGAAGTGGTCAGTAGGAGAGGGAGAACCGGGTGAGCAATGATCTAAAAATTAGAGAAGACTTTTTGATTTATTCACATGAAATCTTACCTGTTGCATCTGGAATCTATGTCCACACATTCTGGAGATATGGGTCATACTGACGACACAAGAGAAACTACTCTGATCATCAACAGACATGTGCCATAGGTTAAGAGTTCCGTTATCGTGAGAAGTGAGCACATGAATTGTGTTAGAAACTCTTCTTTCCAGTAGCTTGTCATGCAACATCACACTTGTATCCTTGTCCTCGGAATTTCTCAACGCATCCAGATAAATCGGCTCATGTGGATTGAACGTATTCAATTTAGACTGCAGAGACATTGAATCACTTGAAGGCAGTGCACCAGGAAGTCGAGAACTATACGAGATGACTGGTTGACGGAAATGATCATCTAACCACTCGACAGTCCAGGTTAGAAGAGATCCGTCAACTGGGTGAATGGAGAACAACACATCGTTTGATTTTGTCCATTGTCTCAAAAGAATTTCCAGTTTCACATCGAGAATATCTTTGGATGAAGGAGCATCCGACGATGTACTGCCTGCTGTCTTAGAGCTGTCAGATGGAGCCTGATCATGGTCCGTCGTTGACTTGATCTCCTCCATCGGCGATTCTTCTTCAGGCACGTGGTTCGCAGTAGGTGTACCTGAAATTTTAGAATATATTTCGAACTTTGTCAAGCTGTTCAGCTCACCATCAAGATCTAAGAGCACAGCTTCGGCGAGCAACTTCTCCGCTCCAACACTGAATACCAACTCCTTATTGTTCAACCAATGCACACAAAATGGTTTCCGGATGTTGGTGTCATTGAAAGAAGGAACCAAGAGACAATCTGTTTCGGCATTGATGGTGGCAGCCAAGTAGAATGACACCTCGGACTGCTCGATTTTGTCTTTTTCGCTTTCTTTCGACAATGGTGATGGGAAATCAAGGAGTGAAGGGCTCTTGCCAATTTGTGCGCGGAGCCCGATAGGGTTGGAATCGGTTTCCTGGTGTTTTTCGGGCCTGGAAAAATAGATTAGTTGAATAACCTGTTACAGGGGGAACCTCAACACCTTGTAACCCCAGATTTTGTTGAGAACTTCAGGATAGGTCAAAAGTAACCTACCTGAACATCTCCGAATTTCTTTTGAGAAAATTTAAAAAATGTGGAAGTTTATCCACAATTATGTAATTTTCATTTAGAAAATGGTATTTGAAAATCGCTTTTTTACACTGACAACGGTTATTTGGTACTGAAAATGATATTATTCGGTTGAAACCCGCGTTCGGGTTCTATATTCAGTGGTGTCTAGATAGGTTATTCTTAACCTCTTCTGAAAATTCCATTAAAATCTGAGTGTACAAATTTCCCTTATTAAGCAATACTCACATCATTTTCCGTATCTTGTTCAAAATCCTCGTCTTCGTCTTCTTCACTCTGATATATTTCCCCAAAAACTTCTTCTGCTTCTGCCGATCCCACAACGGATCCCCACCACCTTCACCAGTCAAATCAATGATCGATCCTTCAGGTGCTGGTGTCTCCTTCCAGATGCGTGACGTTCGATCCTCACACCAGGACATCAAAATTGGTGAGATGCATTTTCTTGGCATATATCGTCCGGTTTTTCGCCATTCAAAGCCACAAACCGGCGCTGGATGGTTTAGGATTATTTCACAAAAATCCAGCTCCGAATGTTCCAGTGTGTTTTGATGGAATATTTTGATAAAGCAATCGCGGTCGCCGGCCAAAGCCAGATAGTATCCATCCGGTGAGTATTTGATAAATTTTGGCTTTGATGGAAGTGCGGTGGTCCAAATGACCTCCCAAGTGTGCCGCTCCTGGAGATCCTGAAGTAAAATAGTTTAATTATTATGAATAAACTGTTTCTTTAATCTTCTGAACAAAATATGATAGACGAGCACTACAAAGTGAAACTATTTCGGAAACTGTGTCTTGTCTATGGACAAAGTTACAAGCCATAAAACTGCAAATCCGGGCCGGGTCGGGCATTGACGGTTTTTTTCGGCCCGTTTGGTATGTAAAGTTGATCTCGGGTACGATAAAGTTTCAAAAATAATTTCATTTTGTACTGCTCGTCGAGTTCTATCATAACTAACTTAGCTGGCAAAAAACAGTGATCTTAAAAGAACGAGAGGACAGCCTCCGTCTTGGGCCAATCTTCAGGTTTGAAAACAACTCACTTCTTCAGAAATGGAGAATGAGACTGGAGTGCTGGTGAAAGATTTGCTTGTGCTACTGACACTTCTATGCTGATGAAGTACGAGTTTGTTTCCGATAACGAATAGAAGACGCAATCCTTCCATGGACCATTGTACCGAACTGATGGGTTCCTTGTGAGTGAAAGAGTAAGTCTCCACCCAATGGAACTGGAAAATCTGAAAAATAGAACAATTACAGTACCGGTAAAAAAGATATTGGAATCATTTTTCAGCTATTCGCCGATTTCTGAAGGACATCTTTTTTTTTCACGTTTTCCGTACAAAAACGAGCGCAAAGGGGTGTCTTTTATAAAAAAAGGCTGTGTCACGTTCGACTGTAGCATTTCAGTTTAATTCACGTATGGGATCGGTTTCTGTACTGCTGGTTATCGTGTTTTCGAAAAAACGAACTGCTTGGTCTATGGCATACATACTTGTCAACGGGCCGGCTGATAACTCATTTCGAAATTGGGATTGTAAGCAAAACAACATACGAGATGATGAAGCTTGGAGAGTTCTACAACCTCCAATAATTGACCGGCTTCGAGAGCGCTATCATGGACCTGGCTAAAACTTTTTTGCCGTGGTGACGATTTTTGCTCGGCTATCGAATGCCGGCCCGCACCCGATTATTCAATCAAGTGCTGGTAAACGCTTTAATGAAAATTGTAGAGCTTGCCGAGCTCTATCTTATGGTATGTTGTTTTGCTTACTATTTCAATTTTGAAACGAGCTATGAGCTGTTCCGTGCATTGCCGAATTCGGTCAGGCGACAAGTAAGACGGCAACCAAGCCATAGTCGCAATTTGCACAATTTTTGTATTTTTTCTCGTCGCAAAAAACTTACAAGGCTTTTGAGCTTGCTCTTATCCACAACTGAATTTGTGACCTCCAATATTTTGACAAGGTTTCCATAAGTCACCGCAATCTTTCCTGTCTCCTGACAACAGCTCAAACTACTGACTATCAACTGATTCTTCGATTCGGGAATAATTTGTACACGATTGAAGTCCGAGTCCAAAATAACGACATCGGAGCCGACGGCGCATGCCTTCAATTTTGAAAATGAGATAAAAAAACGGATTAGGTGGGAAATGTGGAGAATGACTCACCGTGAATGTTAACCCTTCGACGTTTCCTAGTGCATATACATTTTCGCCATTGTTGAGCGCTCCTGTGATCACCTGATGAGCATTCATGGGTCTGATGTTTCAAATGACCTTCAACAAAACAAAAATATAGATTATAGACGGATGTGAATATAATTATTATACGGTTTCCGATGACTCGGAAAAACGAAAAAAACAGCGAAACTACGGCGCCGAAAAGACAAACGATCGGTCAGAGTAGCTAGAGAAACACAGAAAATGATGTGGTGTTGGTTTGGTCAAAGTCAACCATCGAAAATCGAACCAAATCAAATGAAGAATCAACGCAAACATACACTTTTTTGCTGCTATCAGAAACGGAAGATCAGACTGGTTTTGTTATACCGCAGTGAGAAAAATATGGTTACGACTAGCAAATATAAACAGTACATTTCTGATAAGATGTTTATAACTTTTCCGGAAATCAGACGCTCTTAGCTAAATAGCTGTGAAAATGATGAGCGAGAGCGTTTTCTCACTTTTTCTCACTTTTTAAAGGTGGGAAAATGTGTAAACAGGTTTAAGAAATTGTAATGATTTACTGTGTGTTCGTTTTTTCTTTTTTTTTCAGTTTTTTTCATCTGTCGCACTTTTCCGCAACACCTGCGACGGGTAAAAAAACTAAAAATCGCGGTTTTCACACTACAATTTCGCCATATATGCTGAGAAATCTTTTGTAATAAAAAAGCAAAGCCCGAGAGCTAAAAAAGCTGCGGAAAAGGTCGATAAACACGTACTAAAAAAGGCAAATGCACGACGAAATAATGCGCGAAAAAATATCGGCCTCGCAAAACAAGAGGAAACAAGAAACAAATGGCAAGATAGGAGGGCAGTGAGGAATCTTGGGCATAGAGAGAGAGTGCACGCGTCGAGAAGAGACGCAGACGCGTTTGTGTTTGTTTCCTGCGCGCGCAGAGAACTCAACGTTGTGCGGCCGTCTCTTTCCTCTCTCGTTTTCCTAGGCCTCCTCTCTTCTCCCTCCTCGTTTTTCTGTTGCGCTCTTATTTTGGTCTGCACTAAACCCCAAACGCGGTCTTTTGTCCAGTAGTTGTCATGTAAAAATGAGCGATTGCGAATGGGAGAAGGAAAAAAATGAACAAGTTGTAATAGCAATAGGAATAACAAGTAACACTGAAATATTCAGAATATACCAAAAAAAAACCTTGTATCTTTTGTACGTGAAAAGAAACAAAAAGGAAAAAAAGAGAGAAACCAAAAAAGGCAAACAGAGAACTCTAATCAAATTGTAATAAAACATTCCCTTAGTTCTTGACGTCACTTCTCCCTCACAATCAATACAAGAAGCTAGTTCGATGATTCAACAACGAGATAACGAATGTCCGCTTGAAAACTGACGAGAAATCGATGGGCAAAAGCATAAGGACCCAGTGGGGCTTTATGGCAAAAACAAGAAAAAGAAGAGAAACGAGGGACGGGGAGAAGTTACTCTTTTTTTCAGACTGGAAAAGGAAAATGCGCGGAAGAGAAGAGGGACCACGAAATTTGACCGCACAAGATTGATGTTTAAACGTTTTGAAAGAAAATCTAGGGAAATTTAGAATAATAATCATTTTGCGCTTTGAACAGCAAAGCCAGACACCCTAGCAAAACCTGGATATAAAAAAACGGAAAGCTAGAAAATCAATCCAAAACAATTTTTGACCTAGTACAAACGATGTTGAGTTGATGAATTGAAAAAAAAAACGTCAGAAACATGCAGAAAACATGAAAAAATCAAACATTTTTTCCGACAAAAAAAAGTAGTGCGATCGGGAAGATTACGTTGAAGGTCAAGATGGCATTTTTAATGATGATAACCCTGCCCTTGTCGCCGCAACTCCGTGTTTGCTTTACCTCTCACATCTCGTTTTTTTTCTCTCATCACGGAATTTTGCTACCCACCAATCTGATCTGTGCATGGAAATTTTATGAGTATTGATTTTGACTAGAAGCATCTTTTGTAATAATAATAATGTTCGCGTAATACAAAAGTATCAAAATTTGCTTTTTTATTATTAATTCATTTTTCGGTTGAAAATTGAATTATTCAGAGGTTTTCCAAGAAATTTCATTTTTTCTACCGATTATCCTCAAAGCGTTCAAAAACTAAAACAAGTTTAATTGTAATTTTCTGATTGTTCTGAGTTTTGGCGGCGCCAATATAATAATTACCTTTTCACAATCAATGATGTACTATTTCGTCGGCCCGTTGATCAATTTTTGCTAGTTTTCTAGTATTAAAATGATACATGTTCCAGTTAAAATAAACGTCAAATTTCATAATTTCATAATTTTTGAAAAGAAAGTTTAGGTAGCTGTAACAGAATCTAATCATTTGAATAAAAATTCGAAATTATCTGTGCGACAGTTTGTGTGCAAGAGTTTATAAGAAAGAGGTATCTATTTAAATATTTTATAATTTTTGAAAATTAATTGTGAGTTCATTTTCAAACTATGGGTAAGATAATCAAATTCCGTTTTAAGAATTTGGTTCAAAAGATAACTGAATAAAAATAAGGCTGTTCAGAAAATACTTGTTTAATCTTTTCCAATTCACAATTTCTGGTGTAATTCAAAGGTAGAATCGTAAACAGCGTCCAAAACTACCCCAAACAGACAAATTTTTGTGATGGAGTCGCACACCATCCAAAAGACGGGATAAAAATTACAAAAGTGAAATGAGCGGAAGCTAAATATTTAAAATTTCTAGCATGTTCTTGAATTTGTTAAAACGTTTCTGCGAATCCGATGTTATCAAAGTGATCAATATTTCAGTAAATTGAGAACGTGTTCAATTCAGTAAACTGAGTAATCATTCTTATAATAAATAAATTGAATTGCGAGTCTTTGTCTGTTTGTCAGTTCGCACAATTTTTAGAATATTGAAGTTAAAATACTTTTTTCCAAGAAGGACAAATCGAAAAAGTAAGAAAAGAGCGATAAAACATACATTAAAACGAACCGAATGAGCACCAACAATCTGTTTGAAGCCCCAAAAACGCTGCAAACAGTTGGCATTATTTAAACCATCATTAGACACTTTTCTTTAAAATTTTTCAGTTTTTCGAAGGTATTCATTATACCAAGCCGCATCATTTTGTTATCTGAGATACGTTGAAATTAAAATAAGATATTATATGTGAAAAAATAAATCGAACATTTTAATAATTTTTTTTTTGGAAAAAACAATGAAACAATCAAATAGTTTGCAATTCGATAGTTCCCGTAATATGTTAATTTTATTTGACTGTTCTCTCGCTCTACGTTTTTAACGCAATATTATTTCTAATACGCTTATTTTCCCCAATCACACTATATGTTATGTGTTTCTCTTTCATATGATAACCAACATAACAACACAAATTGATATGCATGTTTATTTCTTTGAACATTGCTTATATTTCAATTAGAATAGTACTAATGACAGTATTACAATCACCGGTTTCTTTGGCTTGAATGGAGGATGTTAAATATTGAATAGTACATAATTGAGACCACGTTTTGAAATTTGAAAACAAAGTCAAGAATAGAAAAAGAATAAAATGAGTCCTAAAACAAAAAATATATACAAAGTTCAATAAAAACAACGAGATGCATGAATTCAGGTAAGATCATATTATAGGATGTTATTTTCTCGTGATCGGACAGAAAAAAAGTGTTACAATATCTCTCTTTTCTCTTCCTTTCGATTCTCGTTGAGAAATCAAAAATCAGGAAATCAAAAAGAGATTTTAAAAAAAAGTTTTGGTGTTCTATTCTAAACTTCGCGGAATTCAGAGCGGACTTGGTCCCATAGGTGGAAATTCTTGTCGATGAGTTCATTCATCCATTTTTTGTCCGTTGTCGCCTTTTCCATCATTTCCTCAACGGACAAATCAATGTCGGTGGTTCCCAGTTCTTCCAACTGAAACAAAAATTGTTCAACTATTGAAGATATACAAAACTCATAAAAAACGGATTTTTCAGATAATTTTTAGGCTTTTAAGGTGTCTGCAGCTTGACTGTCAGGCCCCCTGATCACTCTGAAAACGTTGGAGAGTGTAAAACAGATCTAGATTGAAAACTTTGCATTCACGAATTTTTCGAAAATTCTTATTTTTCAGCTAATTGCCGATTTTTTGGAAGACACCTGTTTTTTCACGTTTTTAGTACATAAACAAGCAAATAAGAGGAGTAATTCAGAAATCGGTAAATAACTGATAAATGAGGAATTTTCGAAAAATCCCGCGAATGCAAAATTTCCAATCTAAGTCTGTTTCACATCCCATCACATTTTCAAAATGATCGGAAACTGGACAGCCGAGCTCCAGGATCCTAAAAACGGTCGAAACGACAAAAAGCAACTCAACAATGCGATTGCTACTGTATAAATTCCTTGTCCTTACCTTATCTCGACATTCTCGCAACAAGTGAAATCTCATATGATGCATTTTGTGTAGAAATTCCACCGCCATTGCACACCGTCCACATGAGATGGCATCAGCTACAATCGGATCTCTCCATTTTTCAATCGGCGTTTCTTCCGGCTTCTCTTCAACCGTCATATTTAGCGTGTATGGCGTTTTGTCGAAAAAATGAATGATTCTCCTTGGTTTTTTTCGTTTACATATCTGAAAATACTTTTTGTCTTTAATCAATTTTTATTAATCCTTACCTGACACTTTCCCAGACAATAATACGCTGATTTTGAAACAGCAAGTCTAGTATACGTTCCGATCCATCTTCTGTGCTTTAGTTCAATTGGTATACGCTTCTTGATCAGCTCTTCGCACTGCGAATTCTGACTTTCCACTTCATCGACGGAATGGATGTAGTTGAAATCTGAAACTGTCATAATTAACATCATGACGTTGATTTTTCTGTTTTACCATTTTTATCATTAAGATATTCAATGTGTTTCTTGTTGAAAACTTGAATAATATAAGCAGTGACAATTTTCTGCAAAGCAAGTTTTATCGGATTCGAGATTTCCGGATTCTCCGTTGCCGCTGCTTCATCAGTATTCTCGTTGGTGTCTTCTAAAAAAGTAAAATTTTGTGGATAAATTTGGAAATTATGTGATTTTTTACCTTTGATAAACACAGTTCTTGGATTTCTAAAAAATTCCACAGATGATGCGCAGAAGAGGTCGGCTAGCGGAACTTCGGGTTCCACAGTTGTTTCAGAACGATTCTGCTTTAAAATTCGCACGAGGACACGGAAGTAATGACATGCGATTTGTTCACACCATCCGGAATACTGAAAAAGAATTTCATTAATAGATTACTTATATTTTAGACAACTCACCGTACTACTACTTCTGTACACCAGCTTATTCGTCTTTGTATCTCGAAAAGGAGGAAACTTTTGAAGCAAATTCTGATTGTCGACCCTCCACACCGCACAGTCATCTTTCAGAATATCGGTTTTACAGACAACATATGTTCCTTTCTGAAAAATCGGAAAGTTTGAAAAATTGAGAACAAGGTAAAACTCACCGGCAGAATTCCTTCAGCTGGACCAAACGTCCGTACTCGTTTTTTGTCCTCATTAGATACGCACGGTCCAATTGGGAAGTCTACAACTTTCCTTTGAGAAATACCACCTGTGTCTCGGTGGATAGTGTACCTGCAAAATTTTGGATTCAGTTGATAAAAAAAACGCTACGTGATTCATTCAAAGAAGAACATTTTTAGGATTTATAAATTTTACAATTCATTTAATCTCCTTCCTTTTTGAAAAACTATTGTATATGACACTGATAGAAGCATAGAAATTTAAGAAATTTTATCTATTGCCGAATTTAAAAAAAAACTAGCACAGGAAAATCTCGGGGGTAGCTTTGATGACGATTTTTGGAGATTCGCCACCAAGTTGGATATTTTACTATCCGAAATTAATTACCGTAACATTTTTGGAGTTTTCTGAGCTGAATTCCGGTTTTGTTTGATAGATATATGATCGCTAGAACCTCTAGAATCAAATTTTCACACCAAAAAAAAACTAAATTGCTTAAATGGCCGGAACTAGCCAATATTCTTAAATTGCACGTGTTTTTGCCGCGCCACGTCGTAGATCTAAGACACATAGTTCGGGGAGTACAATGATTTTGGGATCATTGGGGTACAAACCGATTCACATGTACGGAACCCTCTAATCGTCAGTTTGTACCTCGTTTTACCTATTGTTCCCTCCAAATTATGTGCGCGGCCTCTACGCCCTGGGACCCAAAGAAAGCAAATCGTAGAAGTATGTCGCGTTCACAGTGATTTAGTCACTTACACTTTTCTTGTTGTTTTCCTTTTCCTGTAGGCCACATCTTCATAATAATCATAGTCCTCGCTATCGCTGTCATTCTTGTTTTTCTTCCGTTTTGTTCGTTTCCTAGTTGCCATTGGTTCTTCACTGATGGTTTGCAAATGATCAATTCGAATTATAAACTTGGGTAAAAGTGGTTGCTCCTTAGTGAACCTTCTTGTATTCTTTGCGCACTCCGTACTTGCAATTTGATTGATTTTGAATAGTGGACAGCTTAGTTCTTCGTCTCGTTCGGAGCGTAGTTTGTCTGCGTCCGTGAGGAATACTTTATCTGGAAAAGTCATTTTGTGAATGAGCAAAGAAAGTTATGTATTTACCTAGAAAAGAATCTTGGTGAACTACGATAGCCGTTGGTTTTGGTTGATACTTTTTGGGTGCTGGCTTTTCGGGACCTTGAATTTCAAATCCTACTCCAGGAATGTATATACTTTTCATTTTAGGTTGCTCAACAACTGGTTTCGGCAGATCTTGCTCTGGTTTTATTTCTCCTAATGTTTCTCCTCCTATCAATTCATCATCATCTTCAAATTCAAACGCATCGTAAGTCGGGTCTTTCTTTTTAGCGGTTTCTTGGGCGACCAATGACATCAACGCCGCCTTTTGTCGGTATACAGGAATCTGTAAAATATAATGAGTAAATATGTTATACTCCTGCTATTGGTAACTCACGGTATTTGGTTTCACGAAATTATTAATGAGTTCTTCGTCTTCCTTCGATAGAGCTAGTGTTGATTTGACAAGCGAGGTAGAGGTAGATGGGTCGGAGGAGCCATGAGCTGAAATCAGTTATTTTTGGAATATTTCCGTTAGCACTCGGTTTCTTACCGTCGAAAGTGCTAGTTGTAGGGCTATCACTGAATCTGGGCTCCATTTTTGGCTTGAGTGGGGCGGGAAGGACTGCTGGTTCCTTTTTGGAACTCGATTTTGGGTCAGATGGTAGACCAAAAATGTCATCAAGTGTGAATTCCTGCTGTGGTGAGTCGGGTGGTGTGAACTGAACATTTGTTTTGTTTTTGAGGGTTGCAGAACTTCGATAGAGCTTTTTGTAGATTTTTGGTTTTCCGAAAATTAGTGGAGCATTGGCTAATAATTATCATATCATTTATCTTCGAGTAACTTGTTGAAATTTTGACCAGAAACGGGGCACTCAGTTATAGCTTAAGAAGATAGTATTGTGCATTTTTCGTACGATAACGAAATTTCAAGTTTCAGATTTATTCATTAATTTTCTTCTTATGTATGTTCTACGATTCTAATTCAAACGCACTTTAGATAATTTCACCATTCTTGAAAAGTGCTCTGTATTCTGTCTATGAACGAAGTTACATACAAAAAGAGCAGAAAAACCCGGAACGGTCCGGATATTGGCTTGTAACTTTGTTTTTTAACAAGATACAGTATTCCAGCTAGTATTAGGGGTTTGCAAAAGTAATGCTGACGCGCAGTTTGTTGTTTTGTATCTCACCCAAAACAAACGGTTTGTGTTCAATTTTTTTTTTGTTTTAAAAAGCGCGTTCTTGGGCTTTATTTTGTTATATTATATTGCTGTTTCAATTTGACTTCTATGAAAAAAACATTCTAGAAGATATCCGACCAAAAATGTCGCCTTCGAGCATTTTTGTGGCACCAATTTAAGGAAGGAAAATCGGCTGCCGAAGCTCACCGCTCACTTTCTCCTGTATTTGGTGAAAAAACTATATCCGAAAGTCAGTGTCGCCGCTGGTTTCAGCGCTTCAGGAGCGGAGATGAAAGATTGGAAGATGAATCGCGCCCTGGTCGTCCAGAGCAGGTGGACAACGATGCCTTGAGAGCAGCAATTGAAGTGGATCCTTGCCAAACTACTCTCAGTCTCTCGGAGCAGTTCGACTGCGATTTTTCCACAATTCCCAGACATTTGCATGCAATCGGAAAGACAAACAGATGTGGAAAATGGGTCCCTCATGAGCTTTCCGATTCGAACAAGGAAAGACGTGTTGAAGTTGCCAATATTCTGATGCGTCGCTCCAAAAATCGTGGTTTCTTCGATTCGAATTTGACATCGGATGAGAAATGGATTTAGGACAATAATGGGAGAAAAAAACAGTGGCTGAGTCCTGGCGAGACCCCGAAACCGACTCCAAAACCGGACATCCACGGAAAGAAGGTGATGATATGTGTCTAGTGGAACACACGTATCGTGCATTTTGAACTTCTGAGACCAGGTGAAACGGTGAATGCGGATTTTTACAAAGATCAGCTGGACCGTGTGGACCAAGCTCTTAAACGCAAAGGCGTGGACACTTCGACAACACTCTTGCTCCATGACAACGCTCGACCACACACTGCAAAAATCATTCAGCAGAAAACTCAGGAGCTGGGCTGGGAAGTGCTGCCTCATCCGCCATATAGTCCCGATTTGGCACCATCGGTTTATCACCTATTCCAATCCATGCAACATCATCTGGCCAAGAAAAAATTCGAAAGCGGTGAAGAAGTGCAAATTTGGGTGGCGGGCTATTTCGAGTCACAGCCAGAGGAGTTCTTCAAGAAAGGCATCGCTGAATTGCGCACACGTTGGCAGCAATTAGTGAACAATAATGGAGAATATCTTATTGATTGATGATCTCTTGTTTTGGTTTTACAATAAAAGGAAGTTGCATCAAAAACGCGCATTACTTTTGCAAACCCCTGATATTATTCCGTAATACTTGTCGAGTTCTATCATATCTGTATTAGTAGATCAAAATTATTGATGCTATGAGAAACTGGGGCCCGCCAAAGCCCTTTTTCATATATGAATTGAATTCTACACTCACATCAATCGGACTTAATCCACCTTCCGCTGAGCTCGGCCTTCTATACAACGCACTTGTTCCAACCGCATCTTCTGGTAACGATAATCCAAAAATATTATCAACATCATCGTGCGCCTCATCAAATTCTAACGCCGATTGCGCTTCCGTATCCGCCCTCTCAGCTGTTGCCTCGCGCGTAATCGTCGCAAGGGTGGCGGTAGGTGTGGCCGTCGCTGCCCTTTCTGCAGATGTTATTTCCGCGGCCGGTGTCATTGCCTTTGCAGGAGTTGAAGTATCAATTGGCGTTGATGCTTCGGCGGGCGTTGATGTTTTGACGGGCATCACAAAATCGAGAGGCGTAGATGGTATTTCGGAGTTGGAGAGTGTTGCAGTTGAGGTGGAAGGAGTATCGGTAACATGGATGATTTCAACTTCTGGTGACGGCACTTGAGGTTGAACTGGTTCAGGAGCCGTAACTTTCGGTTGGACTACTGTCGGCTCCGATTGTTGTATCAATGATGACTGCTCGAATTGGGCTTTTATTAATTGTGATGTGTACTTGAATGCATCATTTGAAAGGGCTAATGACGACATGGGCGCAATTGGTGTGTTTAGAGACAAAGAGGGTTGGAGGGTGGAAGTATTAGCAGCCTTGAATGGGTCCAGCAAACTGTCCACGCGTATGTTCTTCATCCAATCTTCAACAACTGCCGCTTGCGTTTGATCGATTGTTGTTTGTGGTAGTTTCTGAAAAAATAGTTAGTTTGAGAATGAATTTTTTGAATTTCAAGTAAATTTACCATATTCAACGCTCCTCCCAGTTTTCCATCGAGCATTAGCGTACTTTGTAGAGCTAAATTTGGCAACGTTGATGCAGCAGCAAGAGCATGTTGAGATACAGTCTGAATCATAAAGGTTGTTAGATACAGCCTCAACATAAGAGTAATAAAAAACCTACATTTTGTAATCCTGAAGTAGATGGTAAGGAAGAGTAGAGATTCGTGGAGGTAGATGGCTCGGTTCCTGTCATGGTGGAGAAGAGATTGGGCTGTGAGATTGTGGCGAACTTTGAATCCAATTTTTGAGTTGTTCCATTGATAGTATTGTACATGTTCTGCATACTTTGCATGTTTTGCATATTTTGCATGTTTTGCATGTTTTGCATTGCTGTTAGCTGTAGCTGTAATTAAAAAGAGTTTGAAAGAGCTTATCTCATAAAATCATCAAACCAAGGTGATATACCGTAAAACCTTTATTAGAACGGCAGGCCTTTCTATTATTCCAAGGCCTCTCCTTCTAATTTTCCGGCATTATTTCCGATATTTTTATTGAAAAAAATCGGCGAATATTCGTTCAAAAGTTATCAAATGCTCTTAAAGGTATTCCAACCAATTTCTGCTAAATTGTGGAATTTCCGGAATATTTTCACATTTTGAGGAGTGCCTTTTTTTTATTACAGGGGACTTTAGTTTATTTCCAAGCCTTTCTCAGAAGGCCCTTCTATTAGAGCGTATCATCCTAATACAGGTCTCACGGCATCTCATAGAATCATCAAACCGAGATGACATAATTAAGACTGTTCGTAGTTCAAAAATTTTCGAAAAATAGACAAACCTGTTCAAGTAGAAACTGTTTTTGAATATCGTTATGGAGATCGGTGGAGGGTAACAATTGGTTACCCATACTTTGCAAAGTATGTAATGTGGACATGAGCGAATTCGCGTTGCCATGTGGAATCCCTGAAATTTGGTCTCGTGAGGAGGAAGCAATAAACCAATTAAATGAAACCAGTTGGCTGAGTAATTGTAACTTTCGCTCTAGAAACTAACCATTAAATTGCCCGGCGAAACTATTTGAAAAATCGGGCAACAAGGATTTTTGGTTACGTTGATCCATCGAATTTCATTAGTGCGAATGTGTGCTTAGCCTGCAAATTGCCCTTATTAGGTACAGTAGTTCTATCTCTCTCGCGACCAATAAAAAAAGATGCTATGGCGTGGGAAAAAAAAACAACGACAACGACGTCATACACATTTCGAATGACCGCCAGTTTATCGATTTTTTTTCTCCGCGTAAAAGAGGGGGGGGGGGGGGGTTGAGGCCAGGCAGTGCAAAAGAACACAGCGGTCGGAGGGGTGCTGTGTGTGTTTAAATGTGAGTAGTGGTAAAGGATAAGAGGCTCGAGAGAAAAACAGAGGGCGAATAAGATAGAGAGAATGGACGGACCGACTCATCTCTCGCGGATGGTGACTGTGTAAGGACGATTGGGTGGCGGGCCAACCCGGTGTAATTGTATTCGGAGAGAAGGAGAGAGGGCAATAGCCGTGAGGAGAAAGAATATTGGATGAGGAGGTGGCCGCACAGACAGAGCTATGTTTTTGTGCGACAGGCCGGAAATGAGGAAAATATTCTAAACAGATGTCTTTTAAAGTTTGGAAGCGTAATAGTTCTCACCAATAATGTGTTTACTCATAAAAACGCCATAATTATAACATAATGTGACTGTTTGTTCAGTGTGCAGCGATGCGAGAGGGAAAGGTGAAGGCCAACTTGTTGCATAAATGGGACACGAATAGCTAAAAGGTCAGAAATTCTCAGACAGATTGTTCTCCTTCAACTTTCACTTTTTCTTGAACTTTGATTCATAAGAACATGCAAGCAGGACATATTGTACGTGAATCTCAATCTAGCTAGAAGCGTTTTCGAAAAATTTGATATGTGTAATTGTATGAAAACATACAAAAATTTTGTTTGGGAAAAGTGAAGCTGTATAGCTAGAAGAGTTTTGTGGAAAAATGAGTAAAAGAAGTGTCTCATTTTTCGCAGCTGGCAAAACTGAACGACAGATGCTCAATGAAGACGGATGGTACAGTATGCATCTTTAGCTGAGTGACTTTGGAATAAAAGGGATTCCTCCCTACAGAGTTTTTTTTTAACGAAAAGATACGAAAAGCGAAAATGGAAAATAGTGTGTGGTGAATTAATGAGCGTCTGTCGTTTCGCAAAAAAATATATTCCATTCTTAGGACAGCCGGATACAAAGTCTGCGTAAATTGAAGTTTCTGGACTTTTAGTTTGGAAAAAAACGAACTTTTGCTGGAAAAATTCAAACTATTCAATGCATTAAAAAAGCTGAAAATGCTTCAAAGGTGAAATATATTTTTCTTGGACTTTAAAAATTTTCCCGAACAATTCAATGACTTTTCTTAAGAAATAAAACTCACAGCTACATTAGCGGTCAATAAGATTTACAAAACGCATTTTTAAGTTGATTACCGGTGATTTTGACATTTTTCAGAAGTCTGGAGCTTGGCTGTTATGTTTCAAATCACTTTGGAGAGTGTTAAATAAACCTAGATTGCAAATTTTGCTTTCACAGAATTTTTTGAAAATTTCTAGTTTTTCAATTATTCACCGATTTCTGGAAGTTATCCTTTTTGGCTACTTATTGCACTGAAAACTTTAAAAAGTCTCATTTCAGAAATCGGCGAATACCTGAAAAACTAGTAATATTCAAAGAAATTCCGTGAATGTTGAGTTTTCAATCTAGGTCTGTTTTGTAGCTTCCAAAAGTTTCAAAGTGATTGGAAAACTTAAATCCGAGCCCCAGTCTTCTGTCAACGGTCAAAATGACTGAAAATCAACTGAAAAGTATTCTTATTAACATGTACTGTATTTTTCATGAACATTAGAAGTTTCCAAAAACCTTTTGAAAATCTGGTGGAGAAAATCGGTTATTTTGGAACAATTCCGTTACTCCACAATTATTGGAAAATGAGAGATGATTTCGAAATGTGCCTCAACTGAACTGAACACTCTATCTAATTGGAGAGAGAAAGAGATCGTAAATGACAGGTGTTCTTTTATAATAAAAAATACACTCTCACTATGATGAAACCCCTATTGTACTCTCTTCACATCTCCAGGTGCTATATCGGAAATCGGAAGTTTTTTTTTTCTGTGCCACACATTTTGACATAAATTTTTATGTACATGTGCGGTCTAATCGGATTGAATCGAGTATCAATGTTTTGGAACTTGACTCCGAAACGTTCGAAAAACGTCAAATATTCTAAACAAACGTCACTTGGGGATTTGTACGCGGAAATATGAATTTCGAGGAATTTCGGCTGTAACATCTCTGGAAAAAAAACAATTCTTATTTACGTAAACACTGTAATAGAACGACACCTCTAACTGTCAACTTTGAGGCAATTTGTCTTGGTTTCTGTGAATGATATCAAGAAAATGTCCACAAACAAAATAGTTCCGATATTGTGATAAACAATTTATCCGTTGACAACTTTTTTAAATCTTGGACATGATCCAAGATAAATTGGCTCAACGTTCAAAGATAAGGAGCCTTTTTGATACAGGTTTACAGTGTTTAATGCAACATTCAAATATAATACAAATGGTATACAAACAGGAAAAATTGGACTCTTTGACGAAGCTAGTGATCATGAAGCTTTGAATGATGCGAAGGGAAATAGAAGAGGGTATCATATATCACTAATATTTTCAACAAAAATATTTTCTGCTCAATTGAAGATTGAAGTGATCCCTTTAATTTGCCCAAACTAACTAGACATGATAAAAGTGCATGTTTGAAAATCTATAAAATTGTTTTCAAAATCTGCTTAAGAGACTTCGAAGATTCTGAAATTTCAGTTTCAATATTAAAAAATCACATTTTCAGTGTAAAATCGACAACTTTCAAATTTGATTTTCTTCACTCCTAGGAGGTTTTAGGACTAAACACTTTTCGTGTTATACCTAAAATTGTGTGGAATTTTATATTTTCACTTGTTTCTCAAAAAAGTAACACAAAAAGTGTCAAGTCCTAACACCTCCTGGGAGTGAAGAAAATCAAGTTTGAAAATTGCCGATTTTACACTGAAAAAGTGATTTTTTGGTACCGAAACTGAAATTTCAGCACTTTCGAGGTCTCTTAAGCAGATTTTGAAAACGATTTTATAGATTTTCAAACATGCACTTTTATCATGTCTAGTTAGTTTGGGCAAATTAGAAGGATCACTTAAAAGGTTCCCTTGTTAGTGCAAAATTTAAAATTAGCATAAAAACGACATATTGTAGTCTCAAGCTATCGTAATATTTATAATGGAATGCCCCTTAACAAGTTTAAGCTAATTTTTTTTGAAGACATCAAAATTGTGTCAACTGATTAAATGTTTGGGTTATTATGATAACCAATTCATCAGTTAACAACTTCTGAATAACATTCTCAGGGACCGAGATAAGTTGGCTCATAGTTATAAGAGTGGAAGTCCTATTGTAACAGTTATTACGGTATTCTAGTTTTAAGCTATTCAAAAGCTAGTCAGGAAAACCTGTTTTCTTTGTTTTCTGAAAATTGTGTCTCTTTTATTCTTATTTTCGTTTTCCAATGTTTGCCTGTATCTGATTTTTCTATAAACATATATTCGATTTTCCGTAATTTCTAAAGCAGGTGAATTCTACTAGACGCATGAGAAACCTGAAAAAATAAACTTTCCAAGGCATTTCAGCAGAACTCGTTCTCGAATATTCCAGTCTCAAACTATTTCAAACCATCTGACACGTGGACCCATATTTTTTTGAAATTCTCGGGTTGCACTTTTGAGTGATATTCCAACATAACTCAACTCGAATTCTTCCCCCTCGAAACAAGAAAAAAACCATCAATCACTCCAAAACGGATGTGGTGAACAATTTCCTCTCCTCTTCTTATCCGTTTTCGAAATTACCACTTTTGAGTTTTTCGGGAAAAAATGTCATAATTTTTAACCCTCAAGTACTAGTTTTCTCGTTTTCTTTGGAACTTTTTTTATGTTTTTTTGTTCCGGAAAGTTCCATTTTCTGAACATTTCTAGAAAATCGAAAATTCGATTTTACGCCAAATCCAAAACTGAGAAATCTGATAATACAACTAAAAAACCAACGCAAAAACAATAATCGCATTAATCGCATTTGCCTCCCATGATACGTTTTTTTTTCGTTCCCAAAACATAAATTCACTTCCAAAAAAAGAACCACCACTATTTTGATCTGTCCAATAGCCGGCAACTCAACTAAAAAAAGATGATCCGGTCATCCGATACATCTCGTCATTGCCTCAAAGTTCTTGAAGGGTTAGTTATTACTTGTGCTAAGAAGAAAAAAAACGAGAAAACCTCACTAATCTGTTGGTGAATGCGTGATTATGTCACTCTTTTCATATTTCTTTTTTCTTCGCAGTATTCTTCTCCGTTTCTCATTTCTACACTCGAAGAAAAAGCACACCTCCCCAATTTTTCTGAATAATTGAAGAAGTTTCTGTTCTTCTTGTCGGTCTGCAAAAAAAACTGACGCTGAGGAGAAAGAAACCTGACTCCAGATTTCGTAAGACGATACTAATTGTCGCTCCAGAATCTAAAACATTTCCGTGTGCACTTAATGGAGTCACCAATGTCGTCGGATCCTGCTGACACGTTAGTTTTGAAATGTTTGAAACATGTGGTCTTTGAGGTTTTCTTTCACGAAAAATAGAAAACTAATTCTTGTCACAACCTGACACCATATTCATGGATATGTCACTAAACCGTCATCTCTGAGCCCATGGATCTCGGTTCCTATGAAAGATATCAAAAAGTGATAAATTGATAAAATGTTGTTGATATGATGATGAACATTTTATCAGTCAACCAATTTTTGATATCATTCATAGGAAACGAGATACATTGGCGCAAAGTTGACGGGTTGACGTGACGTTGTATTGGTGTGTTTACGGTAGTTTTTGAGCTAAAGAGGAGCAATTTCCTAGTACGGTTTTTGAATCTGAAAATTGTAAATTAAATATAACCATGACAAGAAATTAGCATCCCTATTCCATGGAAATAGAAGGCTTTTCCTTCAATTGTCACGTTTTTTTCAGTCGCTTTTCTGAGAAAAACTATTTCCAAAGTAAATAATGTTCATGGATATAGCCTCTGATAAATATAAAAATTATTATTTTTATTTTTATTTTTATTTATCAGTTAACCAAAGTTTTTGAGCTCTGATATTTTTTTTCGCCAAATTTCCAATAACAGATTATATTGTTTTCCTTGGATGGTTTGAGATTATTACGAAAAATAAAAATTCAAGCCAGCATTTTTTTTTCAAAATTGCTCAAACTGCTCAGAGCAATTTACATATCCTTTTCATGCTCTTTTAAACGAAAAATGGCTATTAGCCGTTTTTCTCTGCGCATATTTGCGTTTTCCTCTTTTTATGTTTTGAACTTGAGATTATTTCTGGTAAGCATCTTTTTTTCTCTCTGACGGTTTTCCCTGCGGGCTATTTTTCTTTGCGCGATTTTGCACAGAGTCTATCTTGTTTATGGCGCTTCTGGATTTCAGAATCCTAGGAAAAAACGCGTAAAACCGAGAAAAACTAAAACAATAGCATTGCTAGAAACCAATACTTGAGTCGAAAAAAAAAAACGTATGCTTGTTTTCGAGATTTGACAAAAATAACCAGGCGACTTCTTTCATATTCCATGCTTTTCAAAACTATCAATTGAGTTCTATTCTAATCTCAATCATAATGCATAGGATGCGACGGTCGACCGCCTTTGCTGAGCCCGTGAGCTTTCATACTGTAATGGCAAGACAAGGCACTGGAAGTAAAGGAGAACGAGAGGTCGAGATTCAGTTCACAAATATGCAGGTTGGTTTTTTTGTATCACTATTCGATTTTTATGTTGTCACATTTGTTTATCTTTCAGCTTATTGGAACTGGGTCATTTGGAGCAGTATACAAAGCCGTACTTCGTGAAAATGATGAACCAATTGCTATTAAAAAAGTCAAAGTTGATGATAGATTCAAGGTAATCTAATAGTGCGGGAAAATGGCTATTTTCATTTTCCACTTTTTTTTCAGAGTCGTGAATTGACAATCATGCATGAAATGGACCATCCAAACATTATCAGATTACTGTACTACTACACCATGCAGGTATGATTCTAAATTTTACGTTGAAAGTCACACCATGTCTTTTTTGGGGAATTAAGACATAGTTACCTATCTTTGAGTACTGTATTTGCTCTAATCGGAGCCTACTGAAACCGTCAACTTTGATCTAAATTATCTCGATTTCCGTGAAGGATATCAGAAATGTCTCAACTGATGAAATATTGGTGATCTTATGATGAATAATTGATCAGTTGACATATATTTGATATCTCTCACAGAAATCGAGATCATTGAGCTTAATGGGTAGGTAACAGCACGGATTCCAGATTCTGTAAAAAATTTTTGCCCAGATTCCGTATTCCGTTTTTCAAAAAAGTCATTCCGGACATCTCTGGTAACAGGTGGCTTTCTGTTAACAGTTTTTACAGTAACTCAGTACAATGGTTCCCTGGTTTTTTGGCTATTTATTTATACTATTAAATGTAAAACGTCAATGATTTAGTGTTAGCAGAATTGTTCTTGGAAATATACTTCCGTCAATGTATCCGAAAATTTTCACGACTTCGCAATTAAAAAATGTTTATTTACCTCAGGCACTCTAAAGGTACACCCTCTTCTTGCACTTTGAGCTCAACCAACTAAAATTCTATGAGAAATAACAAAAATATTCAAAACTTAAAATGTTTGTCATAATATAACTAACATTTTATGAGATGACAGATTATTGATATCTCTTATAAAAATCGAGATGTTGATTTCATAATGTAAGTATAGGCTGGCTTAGAGTGTATACCGTGTTTTCGTTTTTCTAAAATTTCAACTTTCAGCAAGAAAACTGCCTCAACTTCGTAATGGAGTTCATGCCGAAAGATCTGGCCTATGTCCACCGCCAATTCGCTCATAATGACAAACAGATGCCAGCCTCAGCCATAAAACTCTACATGTTCCAACTTCTTCGTGGAATTGGCTTCCTTCATCTGCATAACATTGTTCATCGTGACATAAAACCAAAAAACCTTCTTGTTGATGAGGCTAATGGAATCTTGAAGATTTGCGATTTTGGATCTGCAAAGCGGCTCTCCAAAAATGAGCCTAATATTACATACATTTGCTCAAGATATTACAGAGCTCCAGAACTGATCTTTGGATCGAAGGACTATGACACATCTATTGGTTAGGATTGGTCTTAATTTTGTCATTTGAAAAAAAATTGATGTTTCAGATACCTGGTCCGTTGGAACTGTTGTAGGGGAATTGCTCCACAACTGCCCAATATTCCTGGCTGATTCTGCAATTGACATTCTTGCCCTTCAAATCAAGGTTCGTCTTTTTTCTCATGTCTATGTCGAATTTTTTAACAAAAAAAACGTTCATTTCCAGGCATTTGGCACACCATCAAAAGAAGACATGACCAAATGGAATTACGAATTTGTCCACATCCCATATGACACAATAACAGGTGTCGGAATCCAAAAGGTCAGTTAAAGGTGTGAAAGAACTTGCAGATAGTGTTTTTTTTTGCATTTCGTTTGTCCCGCAATGTAGAAATTGATCAAATAACCTAAAATGAAATTTTCACTACAAAATGTTCATCACATGTCGGGCAATCGTATGCGGGAAAGTGGAAAACTGTTTTCAGCGGTCTGGAAAATGGTTTTCTGAGAGTCTGAAAAAATCTGTTTGCGTGTGAATTAGAGACATCTAGAATGAAAATGACTGTAACCAATCTGAAAAGTTTCTTCAGATCATCAAAAAAACCATTTTAAGAAAACGGGAAATCTTCGTTTTCTTTCAGACTTCCTATGATAGACAAAAAAGCTCGTAAATAAATAAAGTGTCATTTTGGTATTGAGTATCTTTATGCACTTATTCTCCCCAGTGGATTTGGGTTTATGTCAAGAATTTTGGAAAACAGGAACAGAATAAATCATAGTCATAAACAGAAAAGGAAGACAAAGCGGAAAACGGGATGGGAGGGCACATTTAGTACTCATGTGAGATGAAGGATATGTGTATTTGAATTGTTATGGTTGAACAAAGAAAAAAGAACAAAAATGGGGTTTGAGAGATGTACGTGTTGTTACTAAATAGTTGCAGTGCCGTATTTTTTAGTTGACTATCGACCATTTTGACCATTATTAAAAGTCTGGAGCTCAGCTGTCAAGTTACGGACACATTGAAAAATTTGGAGACAATAAAGCAGACCTAGATTGACTTTTGGATCATTTGCAGTTAAAACCTCAATATTAAGAATAATTCCCGCAGTTTCTACTTAATAAATGTCATTTTTGAATGACATTTATTCTCTTCAAGCCAAAAAACACAAAATTAGGTCAATGTAATTTTCAATCATTTTGGAGTCGATTTATTTGAAATTTTTCTGAACACTTTGAAGCGAATTTAAGCAAAAAAACGGGTTTTTGTCCGAGCAATTTCCAGTCATTTTACACCAAAAATATGGTTTTGAAGGATGTAAAAATTGTAGAAAAAAATCCGGATGAAAAGCTATATAGACGAATTTCGGCGATTTTATTTTCTGAGAATTCCTAGTTTTCCAGCTATTGACCGATATTGGAAAGACACATTTTTGCAATTCAGTACAAAAAATGGCAAAAAAGGGTGTCTTTTAGAGATCGGAAAATAACTGAAAATTCTGTGAATGCAAATTTTTCTACCTAGGTATGTTATATAACCTATAACATTTTCAAAATGATCGGGAACTTGACAGAAGAGCTCCAGACTTCTGAAAATGGTCAGTATGGCCGGAAATCAACTGGAAAACACGTTGTGGTATGTTTTATTGACCGATACTTACCAAACTAAAAAAAAATGCTTAAAGTTAACAGTTAGGGTTATGGTCTTCTATTATGATTCAAGTTATTGGATTTTTTAAAATCATCTATATTTTCAGTTCATTGGCCGCAAACTCTCCCTCTCCACTCTGGAACTCCTCAATAGCTTACTCAAAATGGATCCGAAACTTCGTATCAAACCGTATCATGCCTTGACTCTTCCATACTTCGACGATCTTCGTGATCCCCATTACAAACTGCCCAGTGGTGCTCCAGCGCCTCTGCTCTTCGATTGGCTCGAGAAAGAGTATATTGCCAACCATGAGATAATTAAAGACATTTTTCCTCGAAGTGAGGAGGGCGACAAAGTTGAGTGTTTGTAAAGAAGCAATTATTTCCATTTTTAATTATTTTTCCTTTTGGATCTTTTCTTTTCTTTTTCAAATTCTTTTTTCGTTTTAATCTAGTTCTGAAAATAGGCTTTCCGGCTTTTTGTAGTTTATTGGCGTAATTGTAAATATCATGCATGGCAAAAATAAATAAATAATGAGAGAATACAAATATTATACAAGATATTTTCACATCAGATATTACTGTAGAGATTAGAGTTAATATAAAATGACAGAGCTGTGAACAATATTCAGAAGGATCCAAAATGTGCCATATTTAGTAGAACAGTGATCAGCTGTTCTCTAAAGCTTTGTTGGTTTTATCTTAATCTGGCACACTGGAAAACCCGAGAGATTCTGGACAATTGAACGAGAAACTGAAGGGAAGGGATACAGGAAAAATACACACACACTTTTTTGGGTATAATTAAGTTAGGCGGCAGCCCACAATCCACCGGAAAATCCTGCTCCCCATTTTCGCTCGCGCTCTTTTCCGTCTGGGCGAGTGCTGCTTTTGTTTCTGAAAATTGAATACATGCGTTTCAATAATTAATTGGAGTGGTCTGGTCAGCGGGATAAACAACAAAATATGAAAGTATGCAGGAAAGAAAGAGACAAAAATCTGGTTACCTGACTGAGGTGGTTTTCTTTGTGATAAAATTTCCGAGGAAGAATGCCAGAAGAGACAAGATGATGCATACAACAACGAGAATCATCGCCCATGTTGGCCAGTGACTTTTCTCTTCCAGAGACTAAAATAAAGACAAAATTTTTAAAAATGAACACCATGTACCGGTCCATCAGATATACAAAAATATGTTTTTCAGTAAGTGCTTGGCCATTATGACATTATTCAAAAGTCTGAAGCTTGGCTATCAAGGTTTCGTATCAAGGTTCACTTTGAAAACTTGAGAGAGTGTAAAACAGACCTAGGTTGAGGATTTTGCATTTACAGAACTTTTCAAAAAGTCCTAGTCAAAAAGTCCTAGTGCAGATTTCTGAAAATTATGTTTCTGGCCCGGTTTTGTACTGAAAACTTGAGATACAGTACCGGTCAATAAGATATAGAAAAACCTGTTTTCAGTTCATTTTTGGCCATTTTGACTATTTTAGGGAACCTAGAGCTCAGCTGCCAAGTTTCCGGTTACTTAAAAACTATAGGGTGTTGTAAAACAGACCTAGATTGAAAATTTTGTATTCACAGAACTTTTCAAAAATTCCTAGTTTTTCAGCTATTTGGACAAGTAGGAATTTTTCAAAAATTCTGTAAATGAAAATTGTTCAATTTAGGCTAGTTTACACTCTCCAAAGTTTTCAAAGATATCGGGCTCTTGATAGCCGAGCTCCAGATCTCTCCCTGAAAATTGTCACAATAGCCAAAAATTAACTGAAAAGTACGATTTTGTATATCTAGATTCTAGATTCTAGATTTTAGATTTTAGATTCTAAGTCACTGTGGAATTTAATTTTGGAGCTGAACTAGACAGTAATACGAGTATATACACCAACTGGAAAAACACCAATTATTTGAATTCTGTTCAACATAAACATTTTGGAGTAATTTTCAGGCCGTTAGTAACTTTACTGGTCAAAATATGCTTTACAGAATATAAATTGAACATTTTTTGGTCAAAATATCCGAAAATTAACGGAAAAATACGTTTTCGTTGACAGGTACTATAAAAAAGTACAAACCTGAAGATGTGGCTCGATTAGTCCATCCAAAATCTGCATCTCGTGTGAAAGCGGCGTTGCTGACTCCATTTTTTTCAACCAACGGTTTTGAATTTCTGAAAATGAGAAGATAGAAAAAAGAAAAGGAGGAAACGGAAAGGAGAAAAAAACTGGAGAAGGAGAAGAAGAGAACAGCTACTGAGCAAACAAACTGAAAAACGATCTGCTCACGGGGAGACGAAGGTCCCTTTCCATCTTTTGGGCTGAGTGGAGTGATTGTAAATGCATGGAAAGTGAAAATTTGACAATAGGAAATGAACGAAAAAAAATTGTGGGGCATCAGAAATGAAAGAAATCGTTCTGCTGGTTCCGAAATTTTGGAAAGCTAGACAATTCTCGGGAACTGGATAGACAATAATAGACAATAACCAAAACTGCTAGATCTCTGATTTTTAATAAAGACATTAGAATTGTTTTGAAAACTTAGGTAACCTCCTTTTGGGAATTCTTCAGTCAAAGATCAAAAAAAAAGTTCAAGTCGTTATTTCAAAATTGTATTTTTCCAAAACGTCACTTGACCCATTCCTACCAGTGAGTCTCAAAATGAAACTAAAATTCTAGACAGATCTATTCATAGAAGCAGTGTTTCGTAATGCTGGTCTTGGGAGGATGGGCTGTATAGTTAGGTTCCTGAATTTTTTAGTAGATGACCAAAGGTTAAAAGAAAGGGTCCAGATAGTCTAGGGTATGAGAGAGAACTTTTTCTAGAGTTGAAATAAAATAAATTCTCGGATACGATAAAAATAACTTTGCTCGGTTCTCATCTATGTTTTTTGCTGACTTTCGGCCAGTTTGATCATTTTCAGAAGGCTGTAACTCGGCTGTCAAGCTTCCGATCACTGTGAAATTCTTAGAGGATGTAAAACAGACCTAGATTGAAAACTTACCATTTATAAATTTTTTCGAAAACTTTTAGTTTTTCTGCTTTTTGTCGATTTCTGAAAATTATTCTTTTTGGCCTGGTTTTGTACTGAAAACTTGAGAAACATAGGTGGTTTTCATAAAAATCGGCAATCGGCAAAATCTGAAAAATTAGGAATTTTCAAAAAATTCTGTAGATGCAATAATTCAATATAGGTTTGTTTTTTACAACCTTCAAGATTTTCAATGTGATCGTAAACTTTACAGCCTGAAAATGACCGAAAATTTATTAAAAAACTTTTTTTTTTTTTTTTTTTTATATCTCATTGACCAGTACTGTACATTTAACAAGCCCGGCTGAAATGACGTAATTTTTCAGCATTTTTTTATCGTTCAAACACGAAATGTCATCAAAATAGTGCAGAATTTTTAAACCTTCTTGAACTCAAGACATCATCAGCTGAGAAACTAAAATTTTCCAAAATTTCTGTGATTGCAAAGTTGTCAATCTAGGTCTGTTTTACACCCTCCAAACTTTTCAAAGTGATCGAAAACTTGACAATCAAGCTCAAGACTTCTGAAACTGGTGAAAACGGCCGAAAATCACTGAAAAATACGTTTTTTCGACCTATCATACCACCAAAACAATACAGTGTTTTTCTAAATTTCAAATCACTTGGGATAATAACTAGCCACTAGCCACCCACGTTGTAAATACGTGTCTAGACAGACGAACTCAGGAAAAACACTAGTTATTTTAATTCTGTTCGAACTAAGAATTTTCAGTAATTTCACATATGAAAGCAGCGCTTGTTACCTACCCCTACGAAGAAGAGGAATACTGACGGCCTATAGATTTTTGGGACAACAGGAAAGACATAAAAAACAACGTTTCTACTTCCTGCTCACCTCTTTTTTGTCTTGAAATGGGGGAAAGAAGGCCAATTTGTTCTCCAATAAAAAAAGCAAATCTAAAAATGAATGCCTGGAAAAAAAGAAGGAGGAGGAGGGGGCAGAAACATAAATCTGAAAACGCAATGATGCATTTTTCAGGGGATCAATGTCCAATTACTAGAATGTCAGTGACGCTGAAAATTTTTTGGAATTTGAAATTCTATACAATGATACAATGATATACAATGATAATAAATTTGATGAGATTTTGTGTTTGAAGAATTTAAATCATTCTTGACGAATAGCACGAATGATAGAGCTGTTGGAAGTACAGTACTAGTTTGGATATTTTCATTATTTTTAGAAGTCTAGAGCTCTTATTCAGCTTTCACGTTTCTGAACACTTTGAAAATTTTGGAGAATGTAAAAGAGACCTACATTAAAAATTTTGCATCCATAGAGATTTTTGAAGATTTCTAATTTCTCAGCTGTATGGCGATTTCAGAATCCTGTGAATGCTTTCGGTCTTGTTCGGTTTCATATCTTGTTCTGTCTCCAGAATTTTCAAGGTGATCGGAAACTTCACAGTCAAGGTCCACACTTTTAAAATAGTCAACACAAGAAACGTCTCCAGAAGGCTTCAAAATGTCGAAAAGCGGAAAGTTGGGGGATTATCTAGCTGCTATTTTGGATAGTTTATGAAAATTTAAGAAATCTTGGTCAACTGGTGACTTCGCTAGGGTACGCTATCCGGGAACAAACGGACATACACACACAGAATTTGATGATTTTTAATAGTCAACATCATCTGAAAATTAACTGAAAAATATGGTTTTGAATATCTTCTTGTGCGGTACGGAATGATAGTAGTCGTGAATTCTAGGAATCCGAAAAGAAAAGTTACAGTGAACAAAACAAAATTAAGGACAACAAAAGGAAGAGCTGCAAGATGAAATTTATTTTGTGTCAAGTGTCTTTGCACAAGACAAAAAACTATAGAGCAAAATAAAATCCTATCTGTGAAGCTGTGAAAGAGCTGTTAACGAATGAAAAAAGTCAGTCAGTCCTCTATCTTCTCTAAAAGTCTCTATCTTCTTCTGGCGGGGAGGAAAAAGAGAGAAGGATAGAAAATCTAGTTACGTTGTCGTTGTATGTTATTCCGGATATTTCAATTGAGTCGTTCAAGTTGACGAATAACGTATGGGGCACATACACACAGAAACATTTGTTTTAGATTATAAGGGACATACCACTTATTTTGTTTTTGGGGCGAAAGAATACTAGGCAAAAAATGCGAAAAATACATCTTGAGACATCTACCAACTTCAACAACTCTGACAACTGATTTGAGAGTAGAAAAAAACGTCAGTTTCAAGAAACCTGATATCCCGATTATCTCTCCGATGGCTCTTCCCCCGCAAAGAAATTCGACATGGGAGTCTGAGAACGTACTACATATAAAATTGCTGAAAAATAGAAATCCCAGCTTGAGATTCCCAAAGGACGTGGGCGATAAAACATACATGTTTATTGTTATAATCAAATACTTTACAGAATAAATCAAAATTCCATGAAATATCACTTCCGTTTCTTAAGCATCGTAATAAGCCTCTTCATCTCAGTAAAATTGGGTCCAGAGTAGAATCCCACGGCATCGACGTAAGGTACACGACTCGGTGGATCGGCCATTGTAGCGTTAGTGGATTCCATTGTAGAAAACGCCGAGTCCACAGTTTCATAGAAATCGCCAGGAGCGTTGATCTCTGGTAGCTTCACGTAGATCACTGTCATTTCTTCTCGATGGTTGCTGATGAAGCAGTTTTTGTCATCGTTCATCTAAAAAAGGTTAGATTTATAAGAAAATAGACAATTTTTATCAGTTACAGAAAGATTGAGCTTTTCTAGTTTTCAAGCCGTTTTTTCCGGGAATTTTTATTTGAAAAATGAGTGAATTCCCAATGAAATTCGATAAATTTTACCAATACTGACAAGGGAGTGTCGTTCAGAAAGCTCTTCAAAATTTTCTCTAAATTGGCTAACTTATAGAATCGAGTATGGGCTTTTACGTAATCATAGTCTCTACCTGCAACACTCCCAAAAACTCGAGAAAAATCGATCTGAAATTATAGCATTTTCGCGTGTCTCACCCCTTCCCTCTCGCTCCCCTTTTTTTTCACAATTTTGCGCTCAAGAGTAAAACATGCCTCGGTAGCCTAGTGGCTAGCAGGGAGGACCACCAATCTCCCTATGCAGGTTCGGATCCTCTTTCTTTTATTTTTCTTTTTCACAGTTTTTCAAGCTTATAAAGTCGCTTTCGACCATTTTTTCAAATGGGACACACTTTTATGAACATTTTTTACGAACTGAAATAAATTTGGAATAATTTCAAAAAAAATGTGTTTTTGGAAAAAAATCACCATGAAGTCATCACCACACACTTTTGCATAAGTTTCTGAAAATTTTGTTCAAAAGTGCAGAAAAGTGTTTCAAACGTTCAGAAATGATAGAAACATCATTCTCACAAAATTTGGTATCCTATAGCACACAAATTGAGACTTTAGCTCCAGAAATCGCTCCGTTTAGCTTTTTTGAAGTGGAACACTATTTAAATCAATCACAGATGAAATTTCCATATTTGAGAATTATCAGGGCTCACAGACCAAATCGGGCTACCAAGCGTGAGAATGATATTTCTAAGAATTCTGAACGTTTGAAACACTTTTCTGCACTTTCGAAAAAATTTTCAAAAATTTATGCAAAATTGTCTGAAAATCTATGGTGATTTTCTTCAAAAAATATATTTTTGAAAATATTTGAAAAGTATTTCAGATCATAGAAAATGTTCGAGAAAGTGTTTCCCATTTGAAAAAGTGGTCGAAAGCGACTTTATAAGCTTGAAAAAATGTGAAAAGAAAAATAAAAAAGAAAGTGGATCCGAACCTGCATAGGGAGATTGGTGGCCCTCCCTGCTAGCCACTAGGCTACCTTGGCAGGTTTTACTCTTGCGCGCAACACTGTGAAGAAAAAGGAGCGAGAGGGAAGAGGTGAATTTCAGATCGATTTTTCTCGAGTTTTTGCGAGTGTTGCAGGTAGAGACTATAATTACGTAAAAGCCTATACTCGATTCTATGAATTAGCCAATTTAGAGAAAATTTTGAAGAGCTTTCTGAACGACACTCCCTTGTGAGCGAATATGCCAAGAAAAAAACTGTGTTCCAGCAAATTTCTGGAAATTGAGAAAATTGCTTACAAAAATTTACATATACTTTCCAACAACGCGCTTTTCAGAAGTGCCCCTCTATTACAGGGGTCTTCTAATTTTTTAAAAGAGACTCTGGGAGTGATTCTAGGGTTATTACAGAACAATTATGAAACATACCGTAATGAAAGCATCCAAATGTTTTCTTGCAAATGAATCCGCGAGCGCTTGTGCAGTACTGGTTAAGGTGTGATCCTCGATGAGTCGCACTGATACTTCACTGCAAAATAACAAATTTCTCAAAAAACCTGTTTCACAACGGCTTGAGCTTTACTAGGAAGAGGACAAACAAATTTTGATGAGAATAGTTTATTTTTTCATTTTTAAAAGTGATTTTGTCTCGGAGCCCAACAAGCCGTAATGTCTTCAAATCGACTTGAAATCAGTGGAAAGTGGCTTGCTAAGAGCTGCCATAACCACAAACTTCAGGCGTCACAGATTCTCATATTATTACCAATTTTGTTTTATTTGCACAGCTAAGTAAATGGGAACAGTGAAATTAGATTCATTTTTTATACAGCTCTGATTTAGCGGAAAATTAATGAGAGAAAATTCTCTTCTTTTTCTTTAGATCTCATTCACAAAAATGGAACTGGGATGTAATATAATTTCCGGTTGTGGGGGGGGGGGGGGGGCGAGCCTTTTAAAATTTTTTTTGGAAGGAATTTTTCTCATTCATTTGACTCTCATCTTACTGAATCAAATATTTAGTATACTTGAAAAATTCCGGGCCGGCCCGGGCCGGATCATTGTTTGTACAGCAGCTGATTTTTTTAAAATTTTTTTTTCAAAAATTTAATCAAAACTTTTTATTTTTTGACTACTTTCTACTTTGATAACTTTTAGAAATTATGTAACTTTTTTTGTTTTTTTTAATTCAAAACAAAGTCCCAATTTTTCATCAGAATTTTTTTTACTGAGAAAGGGCGGGCCAGCGGGCCGGAAAAATTGTCGCTTCGGCCCGGCCGGCCCGTTGCAGGTATGATATCTAGCAATGAAGAAAACATTTGATTGTAGTTTTTCAGAAATTCTTATTTTCGATGACAGAATCTTGAATTTAAAGCAGTCCATGCTAAAAATTTCCTTATTCGAATCGAAAAAAAAAACTCACGTTGGTATATTCTCCACTTCGACTTCTTTCAAATTCTGTACCACTCCATCCGACAATAGAACAATGTGCCTCCAAGCGGGATCGATCTATAGAATAGTTAATCAGTCAATGATGAATCACTGTTTTCGAAAATATGTTATGAAATGCATAACAATATTTTTCCTAGCTACAAAATCGATAAATTTTGATTTCTCGTCTTTTCGGCTTTCCGGAACATTCCATGCATGATTCATGTCAGTCTATTCTCGTGCCCGCTTTTTCGTCGTGGCAGTTCTTGATGCTAGGAAACCGACTTTTTTTCTTTTGTTGTTGTTGACATGTTTATGAGAGCATCCTAGCTCATTTTGAGCATATTTTTGTTTTTTTTTTCTTTTTTACATAACGCAGAACCATTTTTTGTAACTTCTTTGTAAATACTTACTCTAAAATATTGCACGTCTGGTGTGGAAATAACCGGAGGTCCTTTTGCATTTTTGAATGCTTCCGTCTCCTCGAACAAATGAGTTCTTTGTAAGTCTCCAATTGCACGGGTGGGATTCAAAACGGTCTGAAAATGTCTTTATAGTAAAATATATTTCATTTTCGATGATTTCCTATTATTTCTGAACATAAACCACATGAATACACTTAAATAAAAAATTTTATGCGCTTTTCGTAATTCTTCACTTGTCTTTTCACATCAAATTTACCTTTTGAAAAGGTAGACTAAAATTTGCATGACATTTAGTAAGCTGAATTTTGTTTTCTTCCCCCTTTTTCAAAGCTGAAGCTGGAGAAAGAACACCGATACGAAAAAAATGTGCTCTAGAAATTTCAAACTCACATCAGGATCTATTCCAAGCGCTCTTATCCTCTGATTTTCTTTCACATTATCCTTGTCGTGCAGATTTGTGTTTAATTGGACTGGATTCTCGCTGTTCATGGCTATGGCTCTTAAATATTTATATATTTTTTTGGAATGTTATTGAAATTTAACAGTATAAGTCTACAATTTTGCTAAAATTTTGGCCGCAAGGTTCATGGATAACGGAATAGATTAACATAATTTTCGCAAAAATCTTACAATCCGCTTCCGCAATTCAGAACGTAAAGATCTTGATTGATAATCAGGACGACGAGTGCTGTGGTACCTTGTCTGATCTAAAAACTTTTATTATATTTGGCAAAAATTCTCGAATTCTCTACCTTTTGGTTGATTTCTGATACAGCATTCTTGCCAGCTTCGCTATGATCCTCCATTTTTAGCAAACGTTCATTGAGAGCATCCGCGTTGGATAACAAATATCTTTCTGCAGTATTTTCAAATCTCCGCCGGAATTCTTTGCACACCTGAAAAGAATTATGAGTAATAATAAATCTATGTACACCTAATCTTTACCATGAGCGGAGGCAAGGTGGGAGAAATGGGATTCTCTTGAAAGAGTTCATATACTAATCGGTTCATTACGAATTTCGCCGTGTAATCACCGCCATTGAATCCCGCGAAGATTCCATAGAGTTTGATGTGTCCGTTGCTGAAAAAAAAAACGTTTGAAAAGAAGATAAAAATAAGAACAAAAGGAACTACTTTGTTATTCTAGCTATTTAGGAACTTTTTTCAAAATTGTTCCCTTGCAAAGACATTGTCACTTTCAATTTGCCCATTGTCCTTTCTGTCACCCTATTACTTTCAATTCTTACAACAAGACGCGCGAAGAAGAAGTTGTAAAGTTTTCAGTTTTTCGTTGATTGGTTCATTCGTTTCGCTTGTGAAAATCTCTTGTGATACTAATAGGCAGAAAGTTTTAAATATATCTTTTACCGCATTTCATTTCATTTTGGTTCCTTTCGGAAAAATTTCGCGAACGAAACTTTTTTTCGCTTTTTCGGTCGGTCGCCGAAAAAAATTCAGATGAATTACAGATTTTCGGCTGATTTTCCCCTATTTTTAGCCAATGAGCCATTATTTTTGATTGAAGTTTGTGCAGATTATTATTGATTTTTGAGAAATTCGAGGCTATTTCTTATTTTTTTGGCAAGTTTTTTTAGACCGATTTTGTGCGATTCTTACACTTTTTTGGATAAATCTTAACAAAATTTCAGACTGGTTTGTACTAATTTTTGACGAATTTCAAACTATTTTATACAGATTTTTCTTACTTTTTTGAAATGAATTTTGACTAATTTCTGTCACTTTTGGACTGATTTTTGGCTATTTTTTGACTATTTCAAACTGATTCCTCTCACCGATTCTCGTGGATTTTGATGCTATTTTTGACTGAATTCTCAGCCATTTTTTACCGATTTATTGCGAATTTCCAGCAACCTTGAGCTATAAAATAATCCGGCGACAGTTTTTTTTCAAATTCTAAAACTGGAAAATATCTTGACGAAAAAATTTTCAGAGATCTAGAAACAAGACATCAACGTTTTTCGTTCAAATTTGTTTTCTTCGGTTGCAAATATCTGGTAATTTCCAACAAAGCATGATTTTTCTTACAAAAATGATCCGAGAACCTTCCATAGAATCATCGAATCGGAAATATTTGTTCTATTTTTGCGTCCAAAGTTTCTGAGAAAAAGTTTTTTTTTCAATTTTCTCGGAACCTACAACCGGAAAGTATATTTCCCCAATTTCGAAATATCCATTTTCTCACTGGTCATTTTCTCTGGTTCTAACACTCACTTGATACTTGTCGAACACGACAAAAAATCATTGTTCTGTACTGGTTTCTTTTGTTTTGAATAGCGGCAGCTGTGCACAGTTCCAATACCTGCGTCGGTGTTGGCCGTGTATTGATCGACGAACCCGTCTTCCATTGTGTCCCTCTCAGTGCTCTGCAATAGGTTTTGTGTATACATAATTTGATACCTTGAGGCGTATGTGATTGTTGACGAAAAAAAAAAGCTCGTGAATAAAATAATTATTATAAACAGTATCAAAAGTTTTGGTTCATTTCACAACCCACATATGTTATTAATAATATTTTGAAAATTAAAAAACAAATGACGCTAACTTCATCTTTTCTGTCTCACGAACAAAGAAACCTCAAGATAATCGGAACAATGAAAATATGAGGGAAATGTTAATCCTTGAAATTTAATATCCGGTCTGTTTCACACGGAAAAAACGCGTTTTTCCATTCTTATCAAGCGTGGGGGGCTGTCAAACACAAACACGTTGAGGGAAGTGGCATTGCCCTCGGCCCTCGCACACCCCCCGCCCGCGCGCGCGCACACACACATAACGCACGCGAGGCGTACAATGCGCTCCACTGCGAAAACCGATAATCGCAATTTGGACAATTAATGCGTTTTCGCATAAATAATGAGCAACATGTAACAATTTTTCTCTATTTTTTCAGTTGTTTCTCGCTGTTTTCTCTTGCTCATTCTTCCCGAAAAGTCGATATCATATACATTTATTTTTTCAGAGAACAGTAGCCAGCATATGACGTCAATTATAAAGAACCAGTTAGTCAAGCATCTGTCAAAGTGAGCTTTACAAGCAAAATGCATGAAAATAGCCTATTTTTCATTCAGATTTACCAAAAACCTGAAACCGGAGCAAATATCGTTGGATGTATTGAAAGGAAACAGCAAACTTCAGTTTATCGAGATAAACGAGGACGTTTTGACAGAGATTTTGGTGAGTTTATTCAGCAAAAATCATTTTCGAAAACGAGAGAAATCTTCTAGGAGCTTCCATCATGGCTGAAAATCAAAAAAGCTTACTGCACAGGCGTTGCTGTGAACGTTCCGTGGACAAAACTGAAGACGTGTCCGATTCAGATTGTGAGTTTTTATCAATTTTTCGTATAAAATTACGAGTCGCATCGTCAGGAAATATTTGCGGGCCGTGTCGTTGTTTGTACAGAAGCAGATTTTTACGAAATTTCAATTTTAAAAATTAAGAGCCAGGCCGGGCCGATTTCGAGTCGGCCCGGACCGACCGCTGTTTGTACAAAAACAGATTCTTCCAAAATCTCGCTTTAAAAAAATTGCGGCCTGTCTTGACCACTGTCGAGCCGACCCGTCCCGATAGCTCTTTGTACAGAAGCAGAATTTTTCCAAATCGTAATTTTAAAGAAATCATAGGCCAACATTTCCCGGTCCGTTTCAAGTCTGATTTTTTTTTATGATAAAGCAAGAATTATGTATCGCCTACATAAAATAAAGGCCAGAATTTTTCAACTTCTGCAAACTCTGAGCTTGCTGAACCCAGTTGTTAAGCCCAAAGGCTCTAAATTTCAAAAAATATTGAATTTCCAGTTCATCGACGAAATCAACGTCGATGTGGAGCTGACCAATGAGAAGAAGAAAGCGCCAAAATCGAATCCGCTTGGGTAAGCACCAAGCCAATCCTCTTACGCAAAATAATAACTCTAAATTTTTAGAAATTTGGGCGACAGCACATCGTACGGCTTCATAAACAAAATCGTTGAGAACATGTCATTGTACATCAGTTCGGTTGAAATAAATTTTGATTCGGATGTCTTCGGAGGATCATTCATGCTTCAACGCCTGTCAGTGGAAAGCAGAAGTCCAGGATGGGCTCAAGTGAAGGATCTCCGTCAGACTAGAATCACATGCTCGACTTCGAATCGAACTTTGATGTTCAAGCAGGTGAGATTTTTTAGAAATATAATAAAAACTGTCAACTGAGAAAAACGGGAGCCGGGTTAACTTGCGAGCTGAAACTGAGCTAATATTTTTCCAGTTTTTAAAGAATTCACGAAAAATGAAGAAAATGTGATTAATGCGAAGTCATTAAACTTTCTTTTCAAACATTCAATTTTCTTCTAAATTTTAATTTTGATTTTTAAAAATACGGTAAAAAAGCTTCAGGGCCGCGGCCCAGGTCAAACGATCCATTTATGCAAAAATAAGCGCAGCCACCCAGAAACTTGTAGGCCCGTTAGGTCGCTCAATCCTACCTATTCAAGAAGCCACGGACTTGTTCCCAACAGCCTTGCCTTCAAAATTGAGAGGTTTTATAAAACATGATCATTTTAAAGGAGGCCAGACATAAAAAAGTTTTCTTGACATTTTGCATAGAGAACCCCCATGAGGGGTTGAACTCATGACAGGCCGCTCAGGGGTACAGCGCCGCTACCGGCTGAGCTACGGGGGCTCGAAGGCGCCTGTCGACCGATGGTCTACATAAGCGCGGCGCGATTTCGTCCCCCAAACTGTCCCCCGAAATTTTTGCTGTGTCCCCTTCTTTAAGATTTTTTTCAGGTGGCAAGAATTGGTGTTTCTGTAAATTAGCTCGCAAAATGAAGTTTTTAGAATGATACAATACTCAGAAACATAATGGTATCAAAATGCGAGATTAGACAATTCTTATGAAAAAAATTGTGCAGCTTGCGATTGGAAAAAAACTGCTCAAATACTTCAAATGTTATGTAACATACAATTTCGACTTTGAAAAAACTCACTTCAGCTCTCCTGGCACCTTCTACGCATCGAAGCTTCAGCGAAAACATCGAAAAATGAGCAGAGATCCAAAATCAATGCTCCGCTCAGACTCATTACAAGCGGAGGAAAAATTCGAATTGCACTGAAGAAGAATGCTACGGGTAAGGAAACAAAAGAGAAAGATTGAGAAATTATATATGAGAAGGAAGAAAGAGAAATCAATAGGGAGATGTGTTGGCGTATTTTTTCGGAAATTCGGAAATTTATGGTCCATAAAGACAGAAAAATGAAATATGGGAAAAGCAGAGAAGGGAGAAGGAAAAATTCGATATTTCCAATTTTGTTTCTAATGTGACGTCTTAATGTCGCTCGAAAATTTTTACTCGATAGAAATTTGTAGATTTCAAGAATTTCATCTCCCGGAGAGCACCATTTATTGATTTTAACAATAATTGCTGATTCAGACGGCTCCGTGATTCATGCTAGAATTCAAACGATCCTCGATGACATTCTCTGGGTTGCCACACTTCCACAACTTCGTTCTGCAATTTCATTCGCCAGCTACATTGCTGATCTCGTCAAGGAGTCGCAGAAAAATAATGTGATATCTACCGCCCATGCCAGTGATAATCCATTCATCAAAGAAGCCGACAAATCTTCAGATGCCAAAACCACAACATCAGCTTACAACATTTTCCACTTTGATCAGACTTCATATCATCTTCATGTTAAAAAAATCGATCTTCATTTATGCGATGATGCTCATACTGCCAGTGGTAAGTTCAAAAAATTGTTTGACGTCTTACAATGGTCCGGTTCAGATTATCCACCAGATTGGGACATTGATAGTGGTGCTATGCAAGTGACACTTCATCAGGTGCTCATTGATGTCTACCCTAAAGCCCATGCACAATCTGATCGATCCACTTGGATGAGATACCCGAATCCTAATCCAATTGTTACGTGGTTCAATAGTCATCTGAACGAGCAGTTTATGCTTTTAGGGAATGTTGAAGGTTAGTTTTTTTTTGAGTTTAGTTACCGTATTTTCTCTCATAGAAGCTCGCCCAACAACAAGAAGCTTTATTATCTCAATGCCTGTAAAAGATATTAAATATTTGTACATTGATAAATTTTTAACCAAATTATTATAAATTTTTAATCAGTTAACACATTTTTGATGTCTCTTAAAGGAATCTAGGTAATTCAGCTCAAAGTTGACGGGTTGAGTGGGCTTCTATTAAAAGAAATACGGTATATTCTCTTCCGATGAACCTCACAGACAAAAATGTGCTTGAAGGCGCATCGTCGGTCCAGAAGTAAAAACATCAGAATGTTTTTTTGAATGATTGTATGCGCCTTTGTTACTGTATCCCAAAATCATTTGATTTTTGCCTATTTCATTCAAACTTCTGCTCCTTTTTGTTGATTTTTTTCCGGTTCTCATAAAAACTTAGATGAAGGTCTGAAGAAAATGGAAAACCACCAAAAATGGTTCGAATTTATTTTGAGGTACCGCATCAAAGGTGCATTTCAAAAAACGTTTGCTCTATTTGCTGCTGGACTAACGATGCGCCTTTAAATAAATTTTCGACAGCAAGGTTCATTGCAGCCGGTATCAGTAATGTCAAATTCCATAACCTGTCACAAAAAATCCTCACCTATTTATTTATTTAGATGAAACCACAAAACAACGTCTCGAAAGATGTTGGCCCCAACTCATCGGATTCTTCGTTGTCCTTCGCGTGCACGACTTGACGGTCCAATGTGTGTCTGACATGAACACCAAAAAAGATGCTCTAACTAATTTGTTCGAAAGCGAGAGACACCTTCATTCTCTTCCATCTGACCAGCAAATTGTTCATGTCGAATTCGGAACTTTCTATCATCCACATTCGGATAAGCTGCCAGGTTTGTTAGCCCAAAATTTGTACAAAAAAAACATATCTAATTTTCAGTTCCCAACTCGGCGGTGTACTTCCAGTTGGGACCATTCACAGTGTCGTTTGATGAGCGAACTACTAGATGGTGCTGCTATGTTGTACATGCTCTGTCGTCAGCTATTGTGAGAAATTTACTTAGTGAAGTGGAATAATGAACATCTGATTTCAGGAAGATGGAAATTTGATTCCGGAGAAAGACTTGGATGTTCGACCTCCTACTATTAAAATCAGTCTTCTAATGCCAAGGGTAACGTTTTATGATAGATCTTTTTCATAAAATCTCTTCGGTTTCAGCTTGTTCTGAACCTCCCAGGGCCATTCACAGATTTCAACTTCCCACAAAGACTTGTCGCATCAATGTCATCCCTTTCAATTTCTTCCAGCCCATATGACTTCAAGGATCACAAGAAGTTCATCAGTCTCTATCGGAAAAAGAAGGAATATCCTGAAATCAAACAGAGATTGTCTTCTGGGAAAAACAGATTCCATCTGAGCACTTCGCCGGTTTGGATTGAAATTGATCATGGACCACAAACCAAGGGATTCCCATTTTTGCACGATGTGAGTTTCAAAATCTTAAAAAACCCTGAAAAACCCTAAATCCTAAGAAATCAAGAATTATTAAAAATACCACGGAATCCTAAAAATCCTATAAATTATATAAATTAAAGAATCCAAGCATCTAAAAATCCTGAAATCTTGAAAAACCATAAAAAACCCTAAATGGAATTGAGATAATTGAGCTCAACCTTGACAGTGTGAGGGCCCTTCTACTACAGGTTTAACGAAACGATATTATTTTTTCTTATTTTAGGTGTCTTTCAATGGAATTGTCGCTATCGATAAAGATCAAGTTGATGTTCTGGTTGAACCTGTGGAAGATATCTCTATCGTTGTTGACCATTATCAATTCTTGCAAGTGAGTATTTTTTTGCAAAACAAAGGTTCAATTTCTCTAATCCATTCTATTTTTAGTTGACTCGTCTTGGAGACAAATTCACGCAATTCTTCGACCAGCTCACTTTGGACATGAAACACTACAACATGGGGAAACCAAAATCCAACGTGCGAGTTGATTTCCTTTCTGCAATTGCCAGAATCCGTCTCTACATTGTGCTGACGATGGGAGAGATTCCGTCTCCATATGATCAGTCAGCGATGAACAACTTCAATCATAGTTTTATGGATCGCCTTTCAGGTAGGTCAATTTTTTATTAGGGCACAGTACGCAACACACAAAGTGATGGTCATTATTATGATTACATGGGGGAATGTTCAGAAGTGTGAGGGGAAAAATAACAAAAAAAGGAAATGCTGAGAAATTCAAGTCATAGAACACGTATGAAAGTTTGGGGGGTGGAGAATAGATATTTTAGATTTTAAACGAAAGATGACTACTTCCTGGCTGGCTTCTCGGCGGTTTCAACAGTCTCGACCTCATCGTCCTTGCTGAATTCCTCCTCGACAGTGTCGGTCTTGGTCCTCTGTGCCATCCATGGTGGCATGCTTCCGGCGAACATCTTTTGGCGCTCTCGGATTCTGGCTGGAACTTCCACATCGGCGTCGGTAGTGGTTGGAGCGGATGTGGTGGTCTCTGTCTCCTCTTCCTCATCCTCCGAAATGTACTCGGCCTCATCTCCAGTCTCCTCTTCTTCTTCTGGAGCCTCTGTAGTGGTGGTCTGCAAAAACATTATAATTAAAACACTTTCACACTATTTATAGTTATTACCGTTTGAAGATATCTTGGTTTGTTTCCTTGTGAGTGTCTGGACATGAATGGAGATTTTCCGCTTGGCTTGTTTGAAAGTCTCCAGAATCGCTCCATGTTGACCTTCTTGGATTTTGGAGCCTCTGTTGTGGTAGTAGTAGTAGTGGCCTTCTTGGTGGTGGTCTCCTCCTCCTCATCTTCTTCCTCATCCTCATCAACGTACTCAGTCTCTGGATCCTCAGTGGTGGTGGTGGCCTTTGCCTTCTTGGGTTTGGCAACAGTGGTGGTCTCCTCGGTAGTCTCCTCCTCAACTTCTTCCTCTTCCTCTTCCTCTTCTTCCTCTTCAGCAGTGGTGGTTGGTGGAAGAGTGGTGGTTGTGGTGGTGGTAGTAGTAGTAGTGGTTGTAGTGGTAGTGGTCATGACGTTGGAGCAGCAAGCTGGTCTAGCTGGTCTTGGCTGAGCCTTTGGGCACAAATCAACAGTCTCTGCATGCCAGTCTCCCTTGCAAACGTTGTTAGCCTCGCTGGTAAGGTTGATGGCTTCTCCGGCGTTCAAGACATGGAATCCGTTCTGGGTGCAGACCATTGGGTTCTCTTGAAGACGGACGGAAAGGTTCTCGGCTCCAGAGAGAGATTTGTTTTGGAGGGACATGATCTTATTGTTAGCCAAGTCAAGGGTGTGGAGGTTGGCAAGATGGGCGAATGAGAGATCCTGGAATTAATTGATTTTAAGGAGTTTGAGAAAATTCAAATTGCTATCAGAAAAGTCCTACTCACCTGAATAGACTTAATATTATTGTTGGAGAGAGAAACCATGCGAAGGAATGGGGCTCCTTGGAAAGTTTGTTGAGTGATCTCAGCCAGGCAATTGTTTGGAAGCCAGAGAAGAAGAAGTGGGGTGCCGGCAAATGCTCCTGGAGCAATCGACTTAATGGCGTTGCTATCGAGGTTCAAGTGTTGGATGCTCTCAAGTCCCTCGAACATTTCCTTGGTGATGTCACTGAAGTTATTGAAGGACAAGTCGACGACCTGGACTTGCTTGAATTGCTCCATAACTCCATTGTCAAAGGTTTGAAGGTTGTTCTCGTTCAAGTACAAGTATCGAAGGTTTGGAGTGTTGCTCAGAGCTCCTCCCTTGACGTCGGAAATGTTGTTCCCGATGAGAGACAGCATGGAGAGAGATGTGAGATTTGTCAGATCGTTTTGGCCGAGAGCTTGGATCTAGAAACATAACAAATAAGGAAAAATGTGTTTGGAATTTTCAATATTACCTTATTGTACTTAATGTGCAGAGCAATCAAGTTGTTCATGTTACGGAAAGCCTTGCTTGGAAATGAAGTCATACAGTTGCTATCCAGAATCACGTTTTGAAGGGAAAGCTTGACATTTTCAAAGGTGTCTTGAGTCATTTCACAGATTTGGTTGCAAGCCAAGTTAACATCGATAAGGGAAGTCATGTTGGTGAAAGCCTTCTTGGTGATGTTCCCAATCTTGTTGCACTTCAAGCTGAGAGTATTGAGAACACGGAGTCCGGAGAGAGCTTTGGTTGGGACCTCCTCCAAGCTATTCTCGGAGATGGACAACTCTTGCATCACATTCTCAAGACCTCTGAAAGCGTTCTCATGGATGTGCTGGATTCTGTTCTTGTCAAGATTGAGCTTCTTGATTCTCAAGTTCTTGAAAGCGCGTGGGCCGATCTCAATTATGTTGGCGTTTTCCAAAGCAAATTCCTTGATTTCCATATGAGAAGCCTTCAGCTTATCCACAATCATGAGTCCATCAGTACCACTGCATCGGATAACTGGTCCTTCTACCGTACTATCGCAGGAGCATGCTGTCTTAAAATTTCATGATTACAGTCAATAATTATGATGAATACAGTCAGTTTATTATGATTACAATGAGTTAATTAAACAATAATCATACCTGATTCTGGAAGAGCTTTGGGCAAAACGCCAGACAAACCGGTAATATTAAAAAGGCCGTGAAAAGTCGGACCAGCATCGCACTATCTGTTATTGACTAGATACCACCCAATGCGGCACACGTAATGAGATGAGATGGCCCTCCGAGCGAATCAAGATGGGTTATCCGAGACACGCAAAGGTATGTGACCCAAAAGGGGGAGGAGAGAAGAGCGCGTAAAAAGTGGCGAGATGTGTCTCTATTCTTCTTGGTAGGTCAAGGTCTAATTGTGATTCTCAAATGTCGGTTGTCTGTGTGCGGTTGACCGCCCGGTAGATAGATGGTGGTGAAGATTGAGGAGAGCGGGCGAATAAGATGGATAGGGGGAGAAATTAGATCAGTTCGTGTCCTTCGCGGACGAAATATACGGTGATGGTGCTGTGGTGCTAGTCGCGACGACACCGGTTGAACGGGATTGTAATCGGGAAAATTGACAAGGGGACAGAAGAGAAAAAAAAATTGTGAAGAAGTGTCTAAAAAAGTACATAATCTAGCAAACAAGTTTTATGAGCTGTTTAGTAGTTCGGAACGATTTGATTCAAATGGTTAGAAATTCTAAAACTTGTAAGTACCCATAAAACTATTCATACAAGTTTAATGAACCGAAAAACCGAATCAAAGTTTCATATAAGTCTTATTGTGTTCAGCTGAAAGAGCTGGATTTGAGATCTTGAAGAATAACAGTTAGAGTAATTAGGGACATACCGTATTTTTTCTGCCCCTTCAACCCGTCAACTTTAAGCCCAATTATCTCGATTTCTGTGAATGATAACAAAAACTTGTCAACTGATGAAATGTTGGTGATATTACGATAAATAATTCATCAGTTGGCAAAATATAGATATCTTTCATAGCAATCGAGATAGCTGAGCTCGAAATTGAGGTAGGAAGTACAGTATTCAGAATTATTGGTTTATTATACCTAATCTTCATAAAATCGTTTTTTAACTTTCTCTTGGTGGAAAATTGAAGAAAACGTTCCATTTTTTGATTGGAACATTTTTTTTCTCACCGGTCTTGTTCACGAGACTACATTCCCATTCCGTTTTTCACCTTATTCACTTTTTCCACGCAACATTCATTCCTCGAAAACGGTGAAAACCGCAAATTTTTTTATCTATCCTCTCTCCTATTTCCTTGGCCGGAAAAACACCATTAAACTTTCACCTAAATCAGTGTTTTCTTTTTCTACGACACGGTAAATTAGGTCAGCAAATACTTTTTGCTTATCCGATTTTGTGGAATTTGAAGTTGATAGTATAAGTACAAATAGAAATTTTATTAAGAGATCGAGAAGTGTGTTTTTTGGGAAATAAAGACATGTAAAGGAAAAACAAAGATTGTGCCTATCACTTGTAGTAGTTACAATAGCTGGATCCTGGATTATAAATCCATGCTGGTGACTCATCGAATCGTCCAACTCTTCCGCCGGCTCCAAGTGTATTCGTTCGGTATTGAGTGGAGATGTATTCGCTGGTTCGCGCGGCACTGCTATCCGAATAAGTGTTTTCGAACTGCAATTGTCTGAAAAAGTCTCTAGTTTGATAACTGGGCTGATAAGAGCTCGTTTACCTGTGCTTGCTGATGCAAAGACCAAGAATGACTAGAATCAACACAACAACTGCAGTTCCAACACAAATGAAAACGATTGTAGTGGTGAAGAACGATTTGTCGGCGGCGGCGCCTCTTGGTTGCAGCGTTGCATCATCATCATTTTTCGATGAGGCTAGTGCAAACTCGTCAATGTGCTCACTTTTTACATTGGTCTCTGTGGCTGGTGTTTGACTCACTCTGAAACAAACATTTTTTTGAATGAGAAATTCCAAACTGATGACAATTTACCTTGGAGTACTTCCTGGTTCAATTAGAATTGATGGTGGAAGAGTGTGAAATACTTGAGAAGTTGATGGGATATCGGTTGATTGAACCTTCTTGGATTCTGAGAGGTTTGGTCCACGCTTCAAAAATGGTACTGGGAATGGAAGAACCACGTTTGGTCGGTCAATTATGTCAGTAGTTGATGGAACTGGTGGGCTGTAGCTTCCATTGGTTCTGGGACAGATTGCTGGGACAGTTTTCTCATCTCGTCTTCACGACTCTGAAATTAATAAGGATAAAATACGAAGTCGTGTTTTATCAGTTGATTATGACCATTTTCAGGAATCGGGAGCTCTGCTGTCAAGTTTTCTATCACTTTGAAAACTTTGGAGAGTGTAAAACAAAACCAGATTGAAAACTTTGCGTTCACAGAATGTTTTGAAAATTCCTAGTTTTTCAGCTAGATTATAATTTTTGAAAGACCCCTGTTTTCTACTTTTAGTACAAAAACAGGTACCATGGAAGACACCTCTTTTTACTTATTTTTGTACTGAAAATGACAAAAAACAGGTGTCTTTCAGAAACCGGCAAATGGTTGAAAAACTAGGAATATCCAAAAAATTCTGTTAATGCAAAATTTCCAATCTAGGTCTGTTTCGAATCGCTCAAAAGTTCTAAAATGATCGAAAACTTTACAGCCGAGCTCTAGACTCCTGAAAATACCAAAAACCCGATCAATCGGTACTGTATATCATAATTTCTGTAAGAACTAACCGGAAGAATAATTGGTTGAATTGGTGTCAACTCTTCTGTTGGCTGAGCTGGTGTTGGTTTCTCAAGAATGAACCTAGAATGTCCACGTGGCAGAGTTCTCGGTTTTCCCAGATCAATTTGTTGGAAAGCTCCAGATGGGATTTGTGGTGCGGATGACTGTTGAGAATTGCGATGGATTTGCATACGTGGAATCTTAAAAAAATCAATTGGGATAGATCCAAAAAGTCCCATATGCCTACCTGAACAAGCGCTGGCTTCTGAGTAGTGTCTTGAGCATCAGTTACAATTTGGATTGGCTCTGGCTCCGGCTTTGGTGTTGGTTTTCTTCCACAAATCAAATCCGCACTATCCTTGATGAACACTCCACTTCCGTCTTGTAGAAGATGAAGATTTTCGGTACAAACCAATGGATTCTCTTTGAGAAGAACAGTTCCCACGCGTCGATTGAAAGCGTTGTACGGTGTTTTCGTTAACTTGTTCTCGCTGAGATCCACAAAAAGCAAGTTTAATTGAGCCAAAAATGTGGATGGCGCAATTTCGGTCAATTGATTTTTTGCTAGGTCAAGCATAACAAGAGAGGTAACATCGTAAAAGGCGTTACGATCGATGGTTTTGATCTGTAAACAGAGAAGAAGTGACCGGAGAAAGTTTTATAAGTGTTACCTGATTCTCGCGGAACGAGATTTGTTGAAGATTTGGTAAGCCGGTGATAGTACCAGCTGGGAGAGCCTTCAATTCGTTAGAAGAGAGCACGAGGACTACGATAGAGCTGTTTGTAAAAGCATTAGCACTAATATTAGCGATTTTGTTATGTCCAAGATACAATTGACGTAGTTGTTTCAATCCAGAGAGGCAGTTTGATGGAATAGCACCAATTTCATTATTGGTCAAGTCCAACATCTCAAGTTGTTCGAATGTTTGGAATTGATAAGCTGTCAACTTCTTGATTTTGTTTCCAGAAAGATAGAGATATCGTAGATTTGGTACATTCAAAAATGCCTGACGATTCAGTTCATGGATGTTGTTTCCAGCAAGATTAAGAAGATTTAGAACTGGAAGGTTCAAGAAGTTTAGAGCATCTAGTTGCTCAATCTTGTTTTGGTGAAGATGGAGGGATTGGAGTTGTTTAAGTCCTCGGATAGCTTAAATGAAGGGTTGGAATTAGTTAGAAGGTATTTTAGAAATTCTAGACTTACCGGATGAGGGAACTGCCGTCAAGTTGTTATGTCCCAAATTGATGGTTTGAAGAGAATTCTTGACATTTTGGAATGTGCTCGTGTGCATTGAGAAGATGTCGTTACTTCCCAAGTTGATGTCGTAGAGCTGAATTTTTTAAAATTCGCGATTGAAGAATTTATCTTACGTCATAGTTTCCCAAACATGTCAGGATCAAGTTCTATCATGCTGTAACTAATGAAAAATGACTAACCTTATTGAGATTTGGGAAAATCTCATGTTCCTGAATCTCAACAATGCTGTTGTTAGATAAATCCAAACGAAGAAGGTTGGGTAATCCAGCCAACGCAGCAGATGGGACCTAAAATTGTGATTTTAATGCAGTACCGGGCAAAAGATAATCGAAAATGTACTTTTCAGTTGATTTTTAGCACTTCTAGGAGTCAGATTTCTGAAAACCCCATTTTTGGGGCTTTTTGTATTGAAAAGTTGAAAGAGACACGTGCCTTCCAGGATCGACAAATAGCTGAGTAACTAGGAACTTTCACAAAGTTTTGTGAATGCAATGATTTCAATTTAGAGCTGTCTAAACTTTCAAAGCTGAGCTACAGACTCCTGAAAATAGACAAAATCCCAAAAGTCAACTGAAAAATATAAGTTTATGTATATCATATCGAACTTACATTTTCAAGCAAGTTGTGATTTAAAACCAGCTCCTCCAACACTGGATTCATTCCCGTGAATGCGGATTCATCAATTTTTTTGATTTTGTTCTGTGATAAATCCAATCTCTTAATGTATAATCCAGCAAAAAAGTTAGGTGGCAACTCGTTCAACTCTGCTTGATTCATGGTTAGCGATTGAATTAGCCCGAGAAGTGCTTGATTGTTGCGGATTAGTACCATCGTCTCGCTGGCTGTTGTATTTGAACAGTCCAATACGATTCCATTATGCACTTCACTGCAGAAGCAGACGCTTGTAATCACTCCGGGACACGCATCAATCAAGTTGATGATAAAACTTGAAAAAAGCAATAAGCATAGTAATAATCGCATATTCAAGTGATAACCGAGTGTGAGAAGGAAGAAGTGTTCTTTTTGACTGCGACGGCGCGGATGGTGTTTTCAATGGTGGGGGGGGAGGGGATGCCTTCGTTGCAGTTTCTCTATCCGTACGACAACCGGCCACTACCAAAGCGATATCCGCGCATTCAGGTCAGTCACCACTTATTTTCTTTGCGTCTCACACCACCACGCGGTATTCCGGGCCGACGGTTCGGCCCTATAATCGCGCGTGGATGACTGTACTGACAGGGGGCTATTGGTACGCGGCTGTACGCTTGAGGCATTTCTTCTCCTCTTGGCCCCCCTGGATCGTTTAACAGTTTTTGACATTGAATAAGATATTAGAAGGAGAGAAAGCCATCGATGAATAAGACGCATGAATGGAAACACTTCATATGTAACAAAAAAGTGTCGAGAATTTTCTCATCCACCAGACACAGCTTGTCTTAGATTATCATCAACGTTATTCATTGAGCCGTATTTTTTTTGATTAGGGATTTTTAAGAGATTTTTTGAAAATGGTATATCAAACATACATTTCGGGACATTAAAATATACAAAACATGTTTTTCAGTTGATTTTTGGTCATTTTCAGAAGCCTGGAGCTCGGTTGTCAAGTTTCCGATAACTTTGAAAATTTTGGAGGGTGTGAAACAGACATAGATTAAAAACTGTGCACTGACAAAATTTTTTGAAAATCCCTAGTTTAAAGCTATTTGCCAATTTCCGAAAGACACCTTGTTTTCACGTTTCCAGTATATCTTTCAGGAATTGGCAAAAAGCTGAAAAACTCTGATTTTTCGGAAAATTCTGTAAATGCAAAACTTTCAACCTAGGTTTGTTTTACACGCTTTGAAATTTTTAGAGTGATCGGAAACTTGACAGCCAAGCTCCAGACTTCTCAAAATGGTAAAAATTGCCAAAAATCAACTGGAAAACATGTTCTGTTATATTTTATTGACCGGGACTGTAGTTCTGAGTTTAAAGAGTTTTTATTCTGCAAAAAACTGGTTTTTTATTCTGTTTCCGTTGCGCGTTGGAAATTAGTAGCCGCATTCATAATTATTCGAGCGGCGGCAACAATTTTTCGGGATTAGGACTATAGTTAGCTACCGGAACCGTCCCTTTTTTCATGAGAATGTGAAAAACATGACGTTTTTTTTTATTCGGGTGGATGATGTGAATTATTCTTTTCTCGGAGTTCTTAACGGACCCATTACAATAGTTAAATATTCGTCTTGACCTCTGTATGGATTATATACGGTCAACCGTATTAACTAGTAATATAGATCCTATCGTTTATGACCGCCCTTGAACTGTTCTAGTATTCTTTTCCTTGAGTCTTCTTCTTTTTTTCGGGAAAATGACTTAACCTGATTGATGACTCACAGACATCTTCATTGCGACATCAAGCATTTGAAAGATAAAAAGGAGATCGACATGTACCCCAGTACCCTCCAGTACACAAGAAATTAGTTAGAAAGGGATATGGAGAGAGAAACAAAAACCAAGAAGAACATACATGAGAAGAAGAAGAATAAAAAAGTGAAAGGATAGGGAGAAAGACCAAAAATAGGTAAGTAAGTCAAAAGTAAATTAAAACCACCAGTGTCGCGGTCGGTTAAGATAGACATTGTTGTTGGCTGAGGATGGGTGTCCGTGATCTTCAGATACCAGGGTACTGTCACCTCCATACATGTTCCGAATGCATCCGGCGGAGCTGATTGTGGAGCCAAACACGTTTGGCTTGTTTTTCGATTCGTATGATAGGAAAATGAATCGCATCAAGTAGCCAAGAACGATACAACTGACAAAGACAATTAGCACGATTCCTGAAATACTTCCCTCAAGTTTTGTTTGTACTAATAATACATAATGATGCTGTACATAGATACAGTACCGGTCAATAAAATATATATAAAACCTATTTTCAGTTCATTTTTGGCCATTTTGACTATTTTAGGGAACCTAGAGCTCAGCTGCCAAGTTTCCAGTTACTTAAAAACTATTGGATGTTGTAAAACAGACCTAGATTGAAAGTTTTGCACTCACAGTTTTTTTTTGAAAAGTCCTAGTTTTTCAACTATTTTCCGATGTTCGGAAGACACCCCTTTTTGCCCATTTTTACACTGGAAACGTGAAAAAATCAGGTGTTTTTCAGAAATCGGTAAATAGCTGAAAAAATTTTCAAAGATTTCTGTGAGTGCATACTCAGCCGCGACTGTCGTCTTTCGGGCGAAATTTGGGATATTGCCGTTTTTTGGGGAAACATGGGCGCCTTTTGGGCGAAGTTAGGGTGTCGCTACCTTTTGAGCTAGCTTTGGCGCCTTTTGGGCAAAAAATATTTTATGCGAACCCAAGGCGAAGGTAGAGCCTGTTAGGCGAACCGAGGGCAAAGGCAGCCAGATTCTGCTCTTGCTTTTGCCACCTTTTGAGCGCTGTTTGAGCACCTTCTGAAAAAATCCCTAACGGAATCTGGCCAACCATCGCCTAAAAGACGACAGTCGCAGCCGAGTAGTTTCTAATCTAGGTCTGTTTTACATTCTTCAAAAATGTCAAGGCAATCGGACACTTGACAGCCGAGCTCCAGGCTCTTGAAAATGGTTGAAATCTAACTAAAAACACGTTTCTGTTTATATTGTTCACCGGTACTGTAGATGTAGGATTCAGTAATCTTTAAGAATTATTTCTGGTTCAAAATTAGACTAATCGAAAGGATAAGAACATCTCAAGAAAGAAGTTCCTTTAAGGACCACTTGACAGATAGTCCTCAATTGAACACACTTGAAAGGTTACACGGTCAGAGAATTACTGTTACAAAAACAGTGAGAAAAAATAAGGTTAAAAAGACCAACCCAAAATCAAGCCGACCAATGCCAATCCATTAACTTCCGTGTGCGGATTTTGGTATCCAAGAGGGGCTGTGCCATTTACATTTGGGACGTGTTGATTCTTCTGAAACTTTTGCACGTATATCACCTGATTCAATGGGACTCACCATTTGGTACTGATCACTTGGAGGTTTTGTCGTTTTGATCGGAAGTTTTGAGTCTGTCTGTCGCAAATCCAGTCCGCTAAGATTTGAAGGGGTCCAGCACCTGGCAATTATCAACTTTAATTTTCGTCTTGACTAATTTTATCCTACTTTGCTTGCGGAGAGTTGCTAGAGGTCGTGGTGACGTCACCATTATCTCTGAGCCACTTGCGGAGCCACTGAAGATCTTTGTCGCATCTCCAAGGGTTATCTAAATATTAGTTCTGATTTCTGAGATATTCAGTGCCACTCACTTTGAATGGAAAGCTTCCTCTGAACCGGGGTGGTCTTCTTCTGCATCAATGAGTCGTAAATCACATTACTTGGCAATGTTTCTAATCTGTTGCTGCTCAAATCTAAAGAAACGAGCATTGGGAGTTGACTGAAAGCGAAATCATCTACTGAATTGATCTGAAAATTTATTTTTTTTGTTTCATAATTTTTTGGCATATTATACCGAGTTTCCACTCAAGTCGATTTCCGAGAGCTCTGGAAGGTTGGAGAATGTGTCATGAGAAATTCTGAATTTTTCTTGTTTTGTATGTTTTATTCCATGATCTTCTGATCACCTTGTAATTTGATTTCTGCTCAGAAGAATCACTTGAAGATGTTGAACTTTTTGAAGCGTTTTTGGTTCAATTCTGCTGATTGAGCAGTCGAAAAGTTCAAGGCGGATTAGGCTAGGCGCGTATTGAAATGCTGAAAAATCAAGATCAGCAATGTCAAAAAAGCGTTTAATCACCATTAACGTTGATGCTAATGATATCCTTGTTGTTGCTCATTGATAAAACTTTTAGTCCTCCGATGTGAAGAAACATTGAAGCATCAATAGCAGTGATTAGGTTGTTTCCAAGATAGAGATATGAGAGCAAGGGGGTTTGCTCGAAACTGTCCGATGGCACAAGACGAATCTAAATTGGAAAGTACAGTAAAACCTGCATTACAAAGACCAGCCCTGTTATTTTTCCAGGGTTCTTCCGGAGGGCTTTTGTATTGTTTAGGGTCATTTTTCCTAACATTGTTCAACAATTTCAAGATTTCCGGAATGTTCTTTACTGAAAACGTACTGAAAGTGTTTGATTCTATTTGGTTATTTTGAAAAATCTGATTTTGAAGACATTCCTGAATTTTGATGTTTTTCGAGTCTGTTGAAATATCAAAATATCTTCGAAATGCAAATTTTTAAATCCAGAATTTTCTATAAATAAGGACCCTATTACAGAAGCCTTCCTATATTTTCAAGCCCCTCCCGGAGGGCCCTTCTATTAGAGAGACCCGTTCATACCTATTTTACGGTAGTTATTCACCTGGTTCACTTCCAAACTCAGAGACTTCAAATTAGGAAGAGGCAATGAGTCCTTTGAAATCACATGAATCTTGTTGACTCCCAAACTCAAATCTTCTAGCGTCGGAACGTTCTCAAGAGCTTGCGATGGAATTTCGGATAACAAATTTTTGTCCAGTGACAGCTGAGAAAGGTTTTCGAGACCTAGAAGACCAGTAGGATGGATAGCGGTTAGGTTGTTAGCGCTGAGGTCGATTTTCAGAAGGGAGTCTCTGCTATGATAGGACAGAAATGCATTGTCTTGCACGTACTCGATGAGGTTATCTGAAATTAATTTTTTGTGGGTTGGGAGATTCTGCTATAGTAACCTGGTAGTGACAAGATTTTCAAGTGCTTCAAAATCGAAACTCCAGACTGTGGGATTCCATCCAGATAGTTCCCTCGGATCTCTAACTCTTCTAGTGAATCCTCAAGGTTGCCAGTAAACGTGTTCGGGTGGAAGCTCCGTAATCCGTTATTTCGTAGGAGCAGTTTTTTGATTTGAAAACCTTGGAACGCATACCCGGGCATCTGTACAAATATGAATATGGAAAATATGCAGTGAAAATAGAATTTTCCATACCTTTTCAATTGGTGTATTGCTAATAGTGAGGCTATCAATATTCGGTGGAGAATTGGACAGAGATTCCAGTACATCATCCAAAGAAGATCCACCATCACAAACAATGTTGACTGCTTCGTATCTTGTGGAAGTGCATGAGCAGGGTTCCTGAAGAATTTTGGCGTCTTATAAATCAAAATGTGGGATTTTACCTGTAGTTGTGAATTTGGGCATTGTGAAAATACGAAACCAATCAGTAACGAATTGAATAAGATCAACCTCATAGCCAGAGCCTGAAAATCTCGAATACAATAATCTAAAAAAAGTCAGGAGCAAGAGCAAAAGTTTGATAGCTTTTAGTAGTTTTGGTTATCAGCGAGACAAGAAAAAATCACGAACGAAACGGGGTGGACAGACAAATATATCTCTAGTAGACCACCATAATAAGCCTTGTAGCGTGTCAAGTGGGTTATTTACTTTTGCGAAATCTCTACCATATTTTTATGTCTCTTACAAGTGTTTTTTTTCTCGTTATCCGTGGGATTCGAAAAAGTGGAATGGACTTTTAAGGAACAGAGTGATCCTGTCAGGGTGATGAAGGGAAAGACGAGACAAATGAAATTTATATGATCTGTGATTAAGTAGGAGCAAAGAAAGTAGCGGGATCGAAATGGAGCTAAAAAAATTTGAAAAGCGTTATGGATAACTTGAATATAGCCAAAAAAATCCTATATTACTTTTTTCCGAAAGTAATGCGATGGTCTCGTTAGAATTTTCAAAGGCTGTAATGAAATTAACGAATTTTTGAAGTCTATTTTCTTTATTTCTTAACGATTTCCATAGTTTCTTCGCTGTAAATTAAATTATGGAAAATTTGAGAAAATAGAAAAATACAACTAAAAATAGGCTCCGAAAATACAGTAATTCGCTTTTTCGCCATTCAAAAACATTACAAAAACTATCACTTCGAAAATTCTTCAATTTTCATTGTTTTTGAACAAACGGAACAATTACAAAATTATCCGAGGATTAAGTTAGTCACATGAAGTACCGTATTTCCTCTGATAGGAGCCCACCAAAACCGGAAAATTTGAGCACAATTATCCTGATTTCTGTGAGAAATGTCAGAAATTTGTCAATTGATAATAGATTTGTGTTGTGATAATAAACACTTTATCAGTTAACGAATGTTTGACACCTTCAACATGAACCTAGATAAAATGGCTTAAAGCTTAAAGAGAGCCCTTCTTATAGGTTTCACGGTAGTTAGCCAGATGAAATAATCATCGTTCAACTCTCCAAGATTTTAAATTTGTAAAGCCACGAAAATTTGACAGTTTTTCTCTTCTTTGAATAGTTAATCTAGTTAATAGATTTTATGACACTCACAAATATTACCCAAAAATTCTACATAAAAGGAAGTGTAACATAATCTAACACGCGGAGAAAAAAATTGAAAGGATCTGCGGGGCTCACGCATGGACACGTTTTTTAACAAAAAACTGGAACACGTATCAATAGACAACATTTTTCAATTGCGAAAAAAAATTTTGCGAAAAATTGGTTCTAGTCAAGGACGACGAGCTCTATCCACCGGTACACATTTCCATCTCTCGGACTCTTCCTTCTCCTCCTCCCCTCATTTTTCGCTCATACCCTCCTCATAGCACTTGACCCATTCAGGGCCAAACAAAGTCTATTTTTCTTTTTTCATCGGGCATAACACTGTTGTCTGACCATAAGCAAACAGTCGCTCTCCCCCAACAAGTGCTCATTAGATTGTAAGCTTTTCAAAATAGGCAACCGGACGGGCCATGTAGAAGTGCGAGGAGAAACGATGGTGAACATAAGCATCCGGTCAACACAGCATCGGCATTCAAGAATACCGCCGAGGTGACTGTACGCTTATGAAAATATTGGCACGAAGCTTTTGCGCGGTGTGGTGTGTTTTTGTTCGCAAAAGTAGCAATTTTCGCTCGAAACAAATGTTTTGTGAACAGAGGTGTTAAGATGCGACAATGGCATGTGCAAAGTTCTGGGTGGCAAAAAAGAGTGTGGGAATGATAATAATATAATCAAATGAGTTATGGCACTCTCACTCGCTTCATTTTTTTAAAAACTACCACAAAAAACACCGTATAAACTTCTATCAAAATGTTTCCACAAGTTTGAGTCAATTATTCTTCGCTTATAGGCAAGATATCTTGAATGTGTTAGGTAGTAAAATGTTTGTGATATTGTGTTAAAAATTTATTGATTGACAATTTTTTAAATCTTTAGCAACAACTGAGATAAATTGGCTCGAAGTTCAAAGTTTGAGAGCCCTTCTATTACAGGTTTTACAGTAGCTCAAAATGAGGATGTACCGATTGAACGAATCTAGGAAAAACGGAGAAGGTTACTGAAAATTCAAATATAACCAAAAAGAAATAATCCCATGATTATCTTACAAGTTGCGATTCAGTTAGCCAGATAAAACAATCATGATGTATTCTCTTCGATAGAAGCCTTCATGAACCGTAAACTTTTAGCAAATTTTTCTTGGACCCTGTGCATGATATCAAAAATGTGTGAACTGATAAAAGATTGGTGATGTTATGATGAACAAATTATCAGTTAACAACTTTTTCATATCTCTGACAGAAACCGAAATTAGTCCGCTCAAACTTCAATAGAGGGCATTTCCATTAGAGGTTTTAGACTTTCAACACACATACGTGGAAATTAATACACAAAAAATGAAAGTGAAATCCTATCTATAAATCACTAATTTTCAGAAATCGCCAGCACCAAATCGATGACCAATGCCGCGTCATTCGCCAATGTGAGCGATATCAAAGTGATCAACGAGCCAACAAGACGAATCAACCAAACAGCCACACCCGAAGAGTTCCCAGAGTTTCCAAGAGGTGGCATTCAAAATGGTATGAATCATATTAACGCTATTTATCTAATCTTTATTTGTTTCCAGACAGCTCACCAATGCTCGACGAAGTTGCCTCCATCGCGACATCGGTAGAGGATGAAGCTGTTTTTGATTACACTGAAATGGCCAGTGACGACCCGTTTGGATTGCCAGAGTACGCTGACGAAGCTATCACTATTGATGAGCCAGCTATCAATGACCGCACTTTCCGTCACACTATGGCTAAGCAGGTATTCAACACTTTTAAGTCTAAAATCGTTATCTGCTTTGTTTCAGGCCAATGTGTTCATGGTCTCGTTGAAGAATCTTGATGTCGTCGGAAAGGTGGCCAATGAGAATTTACGTGTTGATGGAAATTTGACAAAGTGAGTAGTTATTGGTACTGAACCATAATAAGAAATTGCGTTTCAGCATTGACCTCAACGAGAGACTTGGTATTCTTCGCCGTGAAATTAACGACTTGATGAGATCAAATGGAGATGAAACGAATACAACCACACAAGCACACAATGCTGCATGTTTCAAGTTCTTGTCTCCCGCAAATGAGAGAATCTCTCAGTTTTCGGTAAGCCAACGCGCAAAAGTTTGAAGTTTAAAGAATTGAATTCAGAAAAATGTAAACTTTTTCGAAAGTATGGATTCAGTCATATAATTTGGAAATCTGTGAATTTGAGAGCAGTATTCTAGAATATATGTACCTAACTTTAAAAACAAAAATTTGTTTGACTAGTGAGTAGTGAGTGAGTATTTTAAGTTTATTATTTCAATAAGCAAGCTTCAAACTCTATAAAATTAACTTTGCAAATTGTGAAAAAGCCGAAGGTCCACCGACAAAGGCTGCATTTATGATATTTTGTCGCCAAAAGTTATGCTCAAAGATGGTATTAAGTTGACAAATTAGAAACTCAATAGGACACTCATACCAATAACAATATTTGAATTAATATGAACTTCATGTGACTATTCGCAGTAACGAAACCTTATTGATAATATTTTGAATATAGGATAATATCTTGGAAATAGTAGTTCTCAATTTTTAGATTCATTTGTTATCGAAATTTCGGAAAGAAACTGTGAAATTCGCAATTTGGACTGATGTATCTTTTTCGTACGAGAAATTGAGTATAAATCTTGAGTATTAAACGTTTAGAAAAAAAGAATTCTTTTCGGAAATATCGTATTCCCTCAACTAGAAGCCTATCCAAGCCGTCAGCAGTGAGTACAGTTATCTCGGGTTTTCTGATAGATGTGAAAAATATGTCGACTGATAAAATATTATTGATATTATGATAAATGAGTTATCAGTGGAAAATGTTTTCCTATCATTTGAAGGATCCGAGATGATTGAGCTCAAAGATAACCTGAATTTAATGAAATATTCCAAAAAATGGGACTACGGTATGTCTGATCTCTACTGACATGATTAAAAGCTCAGTCGTCGGTTTTAACGAAAACATCTATTTTTCAGATTGATATCAATCAGCTCTATGCCACTATCGACGACGAAATCATCACCCATTTGGGAGCTTTTGCCAAAGACGATTTCATCACGGAAAACCGTCTCCGTCTTAGTATCAACATCCATGACTCTTCAATCGCTGTTGTCGACAGAAGAAAGAAGAAGCCTCTTCGTCTCAGAATCAAAGCTTTGTCCATCGAACAAGAGGAAGACTAAATCTGTAAATTTGAATACCCATTTCCAACTATGTCACATTTCAATTATCCTGTATAAGTTCAAACCCCCTTCCTTGCTTATCTTCGTCTTCTTTCCTACTTCCAAATCTTTCCGTATTCTCTTTCCCATGATTCAGTTGTGATCCTATTCCGTCAGTTGACAACGTGACTTTTTTGCCTCTGCCATCCTTTCCCACTGCATACATAATCGCAAAAACGCTAGTTTCAATAAAAACCTCTGCTCACTAAAAATAGTTGCTGATCTCATCGCACTATCCCCCACGCAAAATTCGCCAGCAGAAGTTTTCAAAAGTTGGAACACACAGACCACTAACACAATGGAATTTGATCGGCGGGCACACTTTTATTTTCATGCTATTTTTTGACTCATCAATGAACCTGATGTTTTCCGTGAATTCCTGTGTCAGATGACGTGATGGAGGACCGGTTGTACGTTTTGCAATTTGTCATACCATACTGAACGCTAATCTGCATACCAAAACTGGAAGGATGATCAAAGTTTGGATACTATGGGGCAGAGGGGAAAAAAGATATGAGTCAGAAAACCAAAAGCAAAACATGCTTCAGATCGTAATGTTTTCGAATTGCCAAACAAGCAAGGAAACGTATTCAATTTTGAAAGTTCGCATGGAGAATCAAAAATCAAGTATGTACATATACTGTTTAAAGGCAACCGGAAAAGAATGCGTCATAAAATGCAGTTTAAGGAAACGTCAGCGATTTTCAGTAAAATTCTACGGACATTGGATTTATACAAACATAGTACTCGTGCGTCAACCAACTCATTGAATTTCAGAAAATCTTTCAGAACGAAAAAAATAGGGAGATGATGGAACTTCAATATTCTATTATGTATCAAAATACCGAAAAATTTAATTGCTATAACTGAAGACTCCATATTAGGTTTTTAGAAAGTTCAAGGTTAAACTGCTGTATAACCTGGAATAGAAGGGCCCATTATTGTCAAGGTTGAGCTAAATCTTCCAGATTTCTGTACAAGATATCAAAAATTGAGTTTACTCACAAAATATTACTGATATTATGTCCAAAAATCATCAGTTCATATTTTTTCGGCAAATAATTTGGACTGCATAAAAATTTCGGAGTCATTGGGATACAAAGAAATTTAGGGGTACAAAATCCTCAATTCGATAATACAAAATACCTGAGAAATTCACATTTGGTACCCCCGAATGTTGGATTTTGTACCTCTAAATCACTTATCACCCTCTTGTACCCCCGAATTGTTGTACCCTCCCAAACTGTGTGCCATTTTTTCCTATCTAGGACAACAACTGAGAATTTTTGATTCAAATTTATAAGTTAGGAGCTCTTCTATTTCAGATTTTCAGGTACTTTCCACATTTATAAATTCCATACTCAAAAGGGACCGGGCTGGACTTTTTTAAATGGATTTCTCTAAATGGTCCGTGTCGGGTACCCAGTAATTTATTTTTCTGTCGACTCAAAAAATTTCAGAGTCAATTAATATATGATACCAAAATTTGTGGCAAATATAACAAATATCGTATTTACAATTTTAACTGTGAAAAAAATGGGCCTACCGGAAAAACTCTGAAAATCCTGAAAATCGCCAGCCCTTCTATTTTTGAAATCCTCTAGGTTTTTCTCCATATTTCATTCTGATATCTTAGAACTTTCCCATGATTTCATCATGAAGAAGAAAATCCAATCTGCATCTAATTTCTGACTAATTTCCTGAAATCCCCCGCCAAATGTAATTTGAGACACACAATTCAAAAACCAACTTTTCCCCCAATTCTTGAGAGATTCTGATTTTCGTGGATTTTTAATTCATGCAACGAAACATGATCTTTTGGGCGGCGGTGTAGAAGCTCAGTGAGCTCTCTGATGTCAGCGGTTTTTGATGTCAATCGTTGAGTGTGATTTTATTAGGGCAACAAAACACAATTGGGTGAAAGTCCCTATGCAAAAGTTCCTGGAGAATGGATTTCGAATGTTTGCATGCTGTGTATGTTGTTTTTTCCGATGTTATGAATATTTTATATTCAAACATACAGTAGTACATGGCACTATATGTTTTGACCGTGTTCGACATTCTTTCCACTTGTCCTTTCCGACACTTTGTTTCGAATGACATCAATCTGTGGTTAAGATTCTGACATCATTTGAAGGAATTCGATTAGCTATACAAATGGAAGATCAAATGCAACTTCTACATGTGTGGATGAATGTGTGTTTTAATGCAAAATGCAAAAAAAGTTATGATGTGTTTTCAATTTCTGCTAAACGCTACTATTTTTTCCTTTTTTGATGAGCGTATTTGATGTGTATCTTTTAAAATAGACGCTGAATAGCGGGCGCTGGTGGAGAGGTTCAACTTGCGATGTTCATAGTTCAAAAATTAAATGAGGGGGGAGAAGAAAAATCATCAACAAGGATTTTTGGTCGAAACCCCCCGAGAAAACGAGGTCGTTTCGTTAGTGGAAAAAAACGACATGTCGGTCATTGAACAACTGTTTCTTCTAAAAGTTCAAAACAACTGCCAGCTCGAAGGTTTTCGCAAACGGAAGTGATACTGGACAATGATGAGAAGAGAACGGATGATAGGAGATGAGTCAGCTGATAGGAATGTATACTACTGTATACATTTACTATCAGCGCATACCATCACTATCGGAAACCAACTGATCAAAATGCATTTTTCCGTACATAGTTTGTATGGGGTGTGTTTGTAGGCTGTGTGTAGTGATAATGCGAACAATGTACAGTTCACTCGAATTTCAATCACATTAACGTTTTCGTGGGTATTGGTCAATCAAAGATGCAAAAGCGAGATCCCGTGTATTTTAAAGATATAAGCAACGTGGTTGTCACCTCATTTTCGGTCGTTTGGACCATTTTCAGGAGATCTGTCAAGCTGCTGTCAAGTTGCCGATTACGTTGAAAAATTTGGAGAGTGTAAAACAGACCTAGAGGAAAAACTTTGAATTAACACAATTTTTTTTTGAAATTCCCAGCTTTTCAGCTATGTGCCGATTTCTTAAGAAAACTTTTTTCAGGTTTCTTTACAAAAACAGGTAAAAAGGGGGCATTTCAGAAATGGACGAATAGCTGAAAAACTAGGATGTTGCGAAAATTTCTGTAAATGCAAAATTTGCAATATATACATATTCTACCCACTCCAAAGTTTTCATAATAATTGGAAACTTGACAGTCGAGCTCCAGGCTTCTAAATAATGATCATAATGGCCAAAACTCAACTAAAAACACATTTTTGTATCTCTAAATACACGAATCTTCTGAAAATTTTTAAATGCTAACAATCAAAAATCAAGCATTTCAAATTTTAAATTATGATTCTAAAAATCTGGAAATCTGGAAAATCTACAAAAATTCTGAAACATATAAGTTTAAAAAACTCATATTGGAACTTGGATGTTAAAATCTGTGAATCTAGAATCTTAGAAATCCTTTTTTTTCATTTTGGAAGTATTGAAGATTTCGAAAATCTCAAAATCTAGAAAATCAACAAAACACCCACACGTTTTAATGGAATTTCCATGTTTCTTAGTAACTATATGGCCAGATCAAGCAAATCGACTTTTTGCTAGCGTCCAGTATCTTTAAATTCCCTCCAAATGAAAATAATCGGACCCATAATTTGGTGGGTACCAAAATGCGGGGGTATGAAGTTCAAATAAATTTTTCTGAGTAGTTTACATCCCCGAACTGAGAATTTCGCACCTTCTAAATTGCTTGACTCTGAAATGACTCTTAAATGCTTTTACTCTCCGAATTATTCGCCAAAGAATCGTCCCAACGCTCTAAGGGAAACCCCTGAATAAGATTTGCAAAATTTATTATAAGAAAAAAATAGCGGAAATGATGAGTGCAAATTTTGACAGACTTCCTGGTCTTTTACACCTGCAAACTTCTTCCTGAAGAAAACATCATTGCAGACAGCATTAGCCACCCTCTGACTTTCTGGAAATAACTTTTGTTCATCTGATCCTTCTACTTCCTTGTATCTCTAGTTTAGTATAACGCGTGTATAATGTCACTCTCCCTTCCCCGCAGACACATTAAACATACTTCCCTACACTGCCCGCTGCTGCAAAAGCATAAAGTTCAGCGCGAGCAAAGGTTGAAAAAGGAAGAGAAAGAGCGGGTTTGCAGGAGTGTGCTCCTCACACCACTTGTCCGAAAACGCGTGTTAATTATCCCCAGAGATCAGAATACCAAGAACCTTCGTCTTATTAGAGGTGAACTTCATCTTGCACCCAAAGATCAAAATAGTAAAAATTCGTACGTGCAGAATTAAAGAGAATTTTTCATGTCCCTTTTTTCCCTATCTTCCTTCAACCTTACATTAACTGACCACAGCGTAAATTATGCCCTAGGGGATTAGTATAAGGCTACTCGTCTGTATCGAAAGGATGTATCAAAAGGACATGTATCAAGAGAATCAGATTAACGTTGAATTTCAACAGCTAGGCTTCACAGGATTCGATTTTCAGTGGGAGAAATAGACATCATCCTTTGAAGCGTAATCCGATGGAAATTTTTGACATTCATGGAGACTTGAGACGATCACTCTATACAAATATGCATAATCGACACACACAGACACACAGCCTATGACAAAGATCATCCGGAAGAGAGAGTTCCCCTTCCCCAGTTTGCATTGGATGTTTAGGACTCGGCCAATGACCACCTGCTTACGCATTCAACGGCCGGGGCCCCCAGCTGATCCTTGGAGTGTTGCTTAGATTGTTCAATTGCGAAGCGAAAAGGAATGTGATCTTGGAAACAACACTTGTCTTCAATTAAACACATATACAGGGCCCCCGCCAGTGTTTCCAGTTCTAATTATGTTTTTTGTTCTCAAAACAGAAACAGAACAAAAACAATTTGCTACCCTCTACCAGATGATAAAAGCGATGAACAGTTGTGTTCATTGATGATGAAACTGCAACCAACAATAGCGAAAAATGTGTGTAGGGGGGAGAGGAATGTCCAAAGTTCAGCGACTGGATAGGGCGAAGGTTACCCTCTCTCGGGTATATTCGGAGAAAAAAATCGTTGTTTGACGTCGATCAAGGAACAACTGTCCAACTGTCTGTATAGGTCAGAAAACCGTCGAAGAATCCGGAGATGCTTTTTGAGGTCTAAAAGATTTCAACGTGATTTTTATCGTGGTTTAATTTTGATTGTTTTCGAATTTGATGTACAGTACCATGTACAACAACGCATTTTCAATTTTGACCATATTCAAGAGCCTGGAGCTCGGCTGTCAATTTTCTAATCCCTTTCAAATGTTAGTGGTTGTGAAACAGACCTAGATTGAAAAGTTTGCATTCACAAAATGTTTCAAAAATTCCCAGATTTTCAGATATTTGCCAAATTTTGGAAGACACCTTTTTTCAAGTTTTCAAGTTGTTTCAGCTGTTTTCATTATCAAAATTACTAAAAACATTTTTTTAAGACCAGATGCTGAAAATGGCTGTAAATGTCTTAAAAAAGCTGAGAAAAATGGTCCAAAATTGGCTGAATATCGTCAAAAACCAAATCGTCTGAAAATAGCTAGAAATGACTAAAACATGGCTGAAACAACTGGTCCAAAATTGACTGAATATGACCAAAAAACCTAATTTGCTGAAAATATCATAAAAGCCAAAGTGGGCTGGAAATGGCTAAAAATGGCTAAATATGGCTTCAAAATTCTGTAACAATTGATGCAAAAGTGGCTGAATATGGCCAAAAACCCAAAATTGGCTGAAAATGACTGAAAACGGCTTCAAAAATTTCAATCAAACGGTCCAAAGTTGCTGAAGTATATGGCCAGAAGGACTGAACATATTCAAAAAACCAGAATTGGGTTTAAACGACCAAAAAGCAGCTTCCAGATTTTTCAAAGTCTTAGGAAATTTGACAACCGAGCTCCAGACTTCCGAAATTGGTCAGAATTAACTAAAAACTCATTTTGTATTTTTTTAAAATAATCTTATTGACCGGTACTGTAGATATGAACACTATTGAAATGCTTTTTGATGTTTGAAAGATTTTATCGTGATGCAATTAGACCTGTTTTCGAAATTTCTGTATTGACGATCCCCCGAAACTTCGAAAGCATTTTAAATTTCAAAATAATGTCCCTTGTCTTCTTCTTCTTCTGCAGATAGATACCCAGTTGTTCATAGTTCAGCGATTTTTGCGTCGGGCGGGTTTTATTACACTGTCGTTTGATCAGAAGTCGGTCAGTGAACAACTGTTCTTTAGCTTCCATCCCTTTTGCAGACGTGTAGACAGATTTACTTCTTCGAAAAAAAAATCGAATGATTCTGGTTTCTCCCCACTGCTTGTTTCATACATAATCTTTGGCGCCAGAAGAAAGGCCATAATTGTTCTTATCTCCATAGATCAGAAAATAAATTCCAATCAGATTTGGCCGTGTTTTACGAGTGAAAGAGAGAAAATAAGAGATGAAAGATTCTTCGGCCCCTGGTTTCTTTTTTATGAGGGTGAGGTTTGTATTTCTATTCTATTCTTCAAGTCTAATGATGACTATCAGCAAACTTTAAATTGTTCAAAGTTGTTTGACGTTGAACATTGGTTGACAGCAGCATTATGCATTTTTTCCAATCGAAACGGGTATAACACACAAGGAAGAACAGGTTCTCACAAATCGAGATACACAAACTACAAGGGAGTGTGAAATTGAGAGAAACAAATAGATAGAATTGTTTGTTTTCTAGCATCATTATGTTTGTCAAATGTCCTTTTCTAGACGAAGCATGCATCATCACCCCGCATCTTTTGATTCCTAGCGGTCAGATAGCGTCATTTTAGCCTTTCGCTCTTTCTCTCTCTCTCTCTGGGCGACCAATCTATTCCTGGAAGAGATGAAAAAAAAAACACAGAAACCTTGTGATCCACTTCTAGGAAAATTGGGTTTTTTTTGCAGTGTGTCATAAACACAGAAAACTGCCCCTCGTGTGTTCAAAAACCAAAAAGTAGTTGGTCTTTTATTACGACCATCAAACCAGGCAGGCGACACAGGATGTTTTTTGACAAATTTGCAATACATTGATTTTCAGAACAGCGAGTGTGTATTTTTTAAACAAAACAAACAAGTCTAAAGACTCGATAAACATTCAATTAAGGATTTTTGTTTAGGAACTTGTTGGTGACCCATGCATGTGACTTCGCATCCAGGAAAAACAAAACGTACAAGTTTTCATTCCAAAAAAACTTGTTGCTATTTCTGGGGGGAGCCCCTTGTGATACAAGTTGTTCTCTTTGATTCTTTCTGCTAGCAGTTGGTGTGTTCTGGTCACACGCAAGACGTTTAGCGCGGCGGAGGCCCGCAGAGTGCTAGAGAAGACCAAAGAACAGGAAAAGTAGGGGAAAGAGTGAAGCGTAAAAAGAGATCTTGGTTAGAATTCGATCGCGAAATAGCGAGGGCCTACTTCGTTTCGCAGAGAGAGGAGAAGAGACCAAAGAGCGGCGTGTTGTCAAAGTTTTTGTGCATTGCAGTAGCCGACCACTTGCACTCTTATTCATTGGTCTCTATGATGCTTGCCTACGTGCATGCCTCCATCTTTCCTTCAGCAACATTGAACGAAATAACGCAATCTTTGAAGTGAAGCAGGAAAAAAGAGGCATGAAAACTACTACTTCCGGTCTATATGCGTTTGGAGGAGGAAACTAGCCGTGCATGACGTTTTTAGTACTACTAAAGTTATTGACATTTGATGTGCGGATGCTATTTCTGAATCAGCCCACCCACAGGAAAATGAAGTAAGAAGAATAATAATAAAGCGATTTTTTATTTTCACTTTTTTCAAAGCATCATCAATCATACATAATAAAGTCATTTCAGAGGTAACAATTGCTTGGCAACATGGGGAGACAAAAAGTACACGAGACCGAAGTTGAAGACATAATTGAAGGGGAGAGATAATTGCAGAGATTTTTTGTGATCTGGGGGGACTCTTAATTAATTAATATAATTAATTAGTGACTTAGTGTGTGTGTAGACAAAAGACATTTGGTAACCCGTAATATGTGACACTGACATGAAGTATGACAACAGAATCGAGCTAGGCGAGAATTAAAGTTAACGGGAAGGCAATTAAAGTATGAACACAATCACAATAATAAATCTCAAATAATAGTAGTGTAAAAATTATTTACATCCGATCTAAAAATAGAAGCTCATCAAGCACATAATCAATGTCAAAGTTGACGTCTCTGCTCAGTTGGAAGAACGAGGAGAGGGAGTAGGCGACTCTCTGAGAAGAAGAAGATGAGAATTTGATCTTCTGATTCTTTCTATCTTACCGTTGCAGAGGCAATCATCAAAAGAAGCTGAGCGAAGCGAGATGTTGCTTCAGCATTTCCATGGTTGGCAATAAGATGAGAGTACAATGCACTCTGCACTGACTCTCTGGCAACAGCTAGAAGATCATAGGAGGCTTCCGATAATCCTTTCACATTTGGATCGAGCACCATAATCGCTTTCAATGCGACCATTTCTGTTTTTGTGACTTGTAGTCGTCGGAATTGACTGATGATTGTTTCACTCATGTTACGTCGGACATAGCTGAAATATATACATGAAATATTATAGGAAATGTTGCCAACAGGGAATATGCTTGGTCTTTGAGGCCAACCAAACCACAGGACACTTTTCTCTCCTCTCTTCAGTTCAACAATGATCAAAGTTCAAGAGATCAACGCCAACCAAATGAAGTCGACGCGGCGGTATACGCACTTTACTTTCCGCTGCAACCACACTCTTTAAAAGCCACGCTATTTTCGCGCCCTCGAATTTTCTCGTCTTTCCAAACACACATAGAGAGAGTGGTGTCATTTTCAAAAGCGGAAAGAAACTGCACTGCGTCTCTTGAATCAAACGATCACTGTGCTTTTCCCCGACGAGCTTGTGCTTTCCCCGGGCGTATGTAAATGTGTATTCTCTCACTCATTGATCTCACAAACACCAAAGAGCATTTTATTTTTGTTGCAAGAGTGTGCTCGCCGCCGAAAAAAGACCTCTACGTGAGTGTGATGTGATCTGATAGAGAGCGGGGAAAGACGAGAAATCAAAAATGGAAAAAGAGCTGGAGAGCAAAAAACAAAATAATATTTGTTTTCCTGCCTTATGATCTATTGTGCTGTCAGCAGTGGGTTTTCAATCTTAGATCTAAAAATTTGCTCATCAACATCATGGGGTTTTCCAAAATAACAATCTGATCTGCGATCTCAGCCACCCACACTTTACACTATTACGAAAAGTTGCATCTCTCCCTCGAAACTCATGAAAAATATGAAAAATGGGTTCTCTCGACGAAAGAGCGAAAAGCAAGTGAGCGGTAGACACACGCTGCAGACAGTCGACAAACAAATGATCAGTTGAAATGACGAGACACAGCGAGAGAAGAGGAAAGGGATGGGTTCAATGATCAGTGGTGCACTTACTCGGCTTTGTTTTCCAACAGAATGTGTTTCTTTTGATCCGAGTCTTTTGTAAACAGCAGCTGACTGGGCGGCAGTTTGTGTCCTGTTGGTAGGTAGATACTGTCGACTTCGGGACCGCCACCGGCGACTGATTGGTGACCACAGAACATGATGCAGAATGGGGCGACTACACTGCGAGCGATAGCCAGCTGAAAAAAATGGACAGAGTTCAATCAGGAAGTTTCGAAATCTTTGTACCTTCTCCAATGGGTGAAGATCAGCGACCGGTCGTAGTGTGTTGATGTAGTCAAAGGTGAACACGATCAATCGCCGAAGATTGGCTGACACACACTCGGCATCAGCGTCACCTTTGGCGCCATTGAAGTTCATCTGAATCAAAAATAATCAGTTTCAAATTTGAAGTTTGGATACATACCAGTGCTCTTGTAGCGATGATGGATGGTTTTACAATAGCCTCTCCCATATGGGGAAGGTTTTGGATGTCGGATTCAACGTTGTCTTGAAGCTGTATCACGATGTTCTCAATTTCTGATAGCGTTGTTAATACAGATTCATCGAGGAACGTGGGTCGTGGTTCTAATGGAGCGGAGTTGGATCTTGAAGATGGCGAGTTGGATGAGCTGTCGCTATCATCTTTTAAGCTGAATTTGGTTAAACAAGGGAGATCTCCAAGAATAGAAGCGTTGGAATTTTTCTTAATAGATCCATCAGCATTTCTTCTTGGGTTCTTTTGACGGCCAGTCTTATCACGGTCAGGTCGGATTGCATCAGGCTCCATACCTACTTCTAAGCATTTTTGAAATCTACACGATCTGCATACATTTCTACCAGCTGAAAGAAGACAATTAAGGAATTCAAGAGGATAACGGTAGGTAGTACTCACCTTTATCAATTCTACACTTTTTGTTATACCGGCAAATATAGTTCTTTCCAGCTCTTACAGTTCTTCTGAAAAATCCTTTGCATCCAAAGCAAGCAACAACACCGTAGTGCCTGCCAGAGGCCTCATCACAACATACGGTACTGAAAAAATGACAAAAATAGAATTTGATCAGGTCATGATTAACCATACCATATCGTTGATTCTTCACCGTCACTTCCATGATCACCTATAGAATTAGGTGAGTAATTTCCGAATTCCGGTTTTAACAGGGTTTCCATATTGAATGTCTGACCGGGCGAGCCGCACTGTAGAAAGGCAGCAGCAAGAGAAAATGGGGTTTGTGTTTCAGTCATCATTGTTTCAGTCATTGTAGCTGAAAATTAGAATATAGGCTAGAAATGTTTTGATTTATAAGAGAAAAGAAACATGAGGAAGTACTCATTCTAAAAAGAAAAGATGATAGAAGTGATCGGAGAAGTGCAATGAGAAAAAAGTGAAATGATTATATCAGTTATCAGATGGTGGTCTTTGGAGGACGGGAGGACGGGTCGAGAATCAAAATCAAAATCATAGTGTCACGCACAATCACAGAAACCAGAAAACCGAACTGATTTCACAATATGGAATGTATGACTGTGTGCTGACTGATTGACTACACGGCTACGATCAATGAGCGATTGATCTTAGGGCGCTAAGACGACACGTATAAAGACAATTCAGATGACAGCCCATCAAATCGTACAGTGCGAAAAGAGGGACAGACTGGGACAGAAGAAGCACGACGAAGACGATGAGTAAGATCTTTGGTCAGTCAAAGATGCGCATCAGTTGATAAAATAGGGGAAAACGGTGTGAAAGAGAATGGGAGAGAAGAGACTGTACCAGCGGAAGGAAGGTGAAGAGATCAATTCGCCTAAACGAATAATAATGAAAGGGGGGTTCTTATCAGTACACCTAATGCAATTGAACTATTAACAGAAGACATCCCCCTTTACAAGAAAAATGGGCGTGTAGCATTGTCTAGCATACAGTCATGTCGTGCAAAGGACAAAGTTATATGATGAAATGGAATCAAGAGACGAATCAAGAGTATGATGATGTTTTAAGGAACTGACTGACTGAATAGGGAGCATAGGACCGAAGGGGCGGGTCGATGGGGTGTGGTTTGTGCGACGGACCCATAGGCGGAGAATATTTTAAGGGGTTAGGAAGAGGGCGCAAGAGTAGAAGCTTTTTCCCTTCATCTTCTTCAGAGATAAAAGGCGGGGAGTACGATGGAAGAGAAAGGAAAACGAAGACCAATTGTAAAAAGACTGGGAAAAACGAGGAATAGGGGAGGGAGGTCTCTTCCAAGCGAGCGGTTAATGTTCAGAGATCAATAGAACAGTGGGCGTGGTTCTAAAACACAGTCAGTAGTCTATTCTATAGCAGCTAGTATATTGCGCGGATTTCGCAATTGGTCGGTTCGAGGCGGAGCTTCCCCGCCCGACGACAAGCAAGCTGATCGTTGAAGTGAGCACACCCCAGCGATCATCGAAATGAACAAACTACTAGAGAATGCGGGGCCTCAGAGGAAGGAGGAGGGGCGCTGGGAAAGGGGTGGAGGCAGTAGGGGGACCCCGGGAATATAGAGATGAAACATTATTTTGAAGGAAAAACCGAAACCCGCCCCAATCTTTGATCAGTTTCGAGGTTTGATTCCTGTTCCTAAAGTATCATAGGTCACATTTTAATTGATGGAAGTGATGGCGAAAAACTTGATTGTGTCAATCCTGGACAAACCAACCAGCAACCCATCAGACATTGCCGTTTTGCTGAATCGGAAGGAGAACATGGATCACAGAACTACATGATGGAGAGTGAAAAACAGAATTTTTTCGATTTTTTCCAAGTGGTAAATACAACCAGGCTTAAGGAATGTGATGTTTTCATTTTTCCACCTTTGATTTCCAAGTTCAGGTTCAGAATGCCACGGGGGTGGGGGATTTTGGAAAATAATAGACCCCTTTTTCTTATTCATACAGTACTAGGTGGTTTTAAGCTTTTTCAGGAGTCCGGAGCTCTGTTGTCCAGTATCCGATGATTTTAAAAATGTTTGAGGTTTTAAAACATACCCAGATTGAAAATTTTGCATTTACAGAAATTTTTGAAAATTCCTAGTTTTAAAGATATTTGCCGATTTCTGAAAGACACCTGTTGTTCATGTTTCCAGTACAAAAACGGGTTCTTCTGAAAATCGGCAAATATCTGAAAAACTAGGAAATATAAAAAAATTCTGCGAATGCAAAGTTTTCAATCTAGGCCTGTTTTACATCCTCCTAAGCTTTTAAAGTGATCGCAAACTTGACAGCCGAGGTTCAGACTCCTGAAAATGACCGAAAATAGCCTGAAAAATACGTTTTTGTACATTTTATTGATCGCTACTGTAGTTTCCAACCAATTATACTTAATTATATGATTCACCACACCCAAGACAGAAAAGAGAAGGAAGTTTAGGAGATCAGTAAAACCATAAAACAGTTTGGTTCCAAAAAAAGAAAGATAGAAAGAGAAAGAATCATACCACACCTGCCACCCCGCGTCCTCACAGATCAAAAATGACCAAAAACTGTTTCAAGTCGACTTTTAAAAACGTGTTCTGTGCCGATATTTAATCAGCGTTTTGATCAGACGGGCCCATTCGGGAATCTAATGAACAATATACTTTTGTGTGTTTATATGACTGTGATCATGTTTATTCCGCTAAACTGAAAAAGAGTTTTTTGTTTGAGTGACGAATTGAACAAACAGTCATATACCTGGTGAAGAGGGGGAGAACTTTCAAAGAAAGACCTCCAAAATGAATGACAAACTGTGATAAAAAGTGTGTGGGAAGTTCGTTGAAGTCAGCTGTCTCCCCAAGAAAGTATGACGATTCTTCCGGTTTTGGAAATAAATCATAAATCAGCCGCCTTGTTTGAAGAGCGCAGGGGTGGAAAAACAATAATCAAAAGGTTTAGGAACTTCACAACCAATGTTTAACGTCTGAAAATTGTTTTGGATGACAATTTTTGATTTTTTTTTCAAAACAATGTACTAAAATGAGTGAATCAAACCGCAAGGGGTCATATTTCGTAAAAAATTGAGTTCTAAGATCAACTATGAGAACTGAGTTGGATTGAGTGTCGGGTTTCTGCTGCGGACTTTTTTTGATTTTATTTCTTTTCGACTGATTAACAGACCAGAGGATCCTTTAAAGGAGCGATCACATAACGTTTATTTGTGGGATTTCAAAAATTTTAAAAATATGATCATATCTATGTGAAATGGTTTATCTCTATCTCATTCTTATTCTGATTCCTCTCCTCGAAAGCGTCCGCGTGCAACCATGGATGATCCTGACTCAGGACGCGTGATTGTGTGACTCGCCGCAGTTCTTTCTCTCTGAAAATCATCCCATGGACATTTCAAACACATGAAAAACACAAAAATCAAACAAGCGATCACCTAAAACCGATCCACTGTGGTTTGCGACTTGAGTATCTGTACAGAAATAATGCAATCAACATCATCCAAACAATGAGCGAGGCGAATGACCAGATCAATAGAAGGTGCTCGACGCCCGACCATTTGCACTGTCTTTGGGACTAAAACACAGACAAATCTTGTGTTGATCATTGAACACTGACTTTGGACTCACTGAAATGATCGTAGCGTTGAAACACGCGGAAGTTTGCTTCTCCGAGACTATATCGCTATCATTAATGGCTTTATCGTCAAATCTCCAGTCTGCGTTATTGTTCACGAATTTGTCATCTGAATCAATTAATGAAATTGTCATATGTGTTACGAGGGAACCTCAACACATTCAGATTTTGATGAAAATTTCAATATTGTTTAGGAATAGCCTATCTAGACATTTCCGTGAATTTCAAAATCCCCTCTTCAGATTGAAACGAGTTGCAGTGTTGGATATAAATATATTTTCAAAAAATAGGGGTTTTCAGTTGATTTTGATCACTGTCGGCGGTCTGAAACTCGGCTGTCAAGTTTCCCATTATTTTGAAAATACTGGAGGTTATAGAACAGACCTAGATTGAAAACTTTCCATTTCCATAATTTTTCAAAAACCTCTAATTTGTTAGTTATTTGCCGATTTCTGAAAGAGACTCTTTTACCTGTTTTGGAACTGAAAACGGTTGTAAAAAGGTTTCCTTCAGAACTCGGCGAATAACTAAAAAATTAGGAATTTACGAAAAATTCTGTGAATTCAAAGTTTTTTTTATAGGTATGTTTCATGACATCCAACATTTTCAAAGTGATCGGGTTTGATAGCCAAGATCCAGACTCCTGACTGTGGTCCAAATCAACTGAAAACCCGGGTTTCTCATATATTAATTGCCAGCACTGTATTTTTTTAGTTTCAGAATCAAAAATCGCGTTTTCAGAAGGTTTAAAAGGCCATTTTCTTAACTTCTAAGATGTTTCAGATTATGATTTTCTGTAATATACTTAGAATTAAATGAAATGTCATATTTCAGACTTATTTTTTTGAAAATTTTGTCCAATATTTTGAATTTTTCCAACAATTTTCTGTATAACACAACAAGCTCCATGTTCTGAAACGACCTAGAAATTGAAAAATGCATGTCTTTGCACTGAAAATCCGATTTTAGATAATAGTGTAACCGAGATAACTATACTGAAACTAGCGAGCTGTTTCTAAAACTCTCAGATGTGTCTAGAAAGGCTATTCTTGACCTATCCTAAGGTGACGAGGTTCTTCATATTCTTCCAACCTACATTTTTTAACGGTAGGTACACTATGGGTTACGTTTCTTATAGATTTCGTTGAGTTTGGTGGTTGTGGTGTTGTGCTACTTTCCGCAGGTGCATATGGAGTCGTTGGAGTTAGCTTTTTGGCCGAAGTGGTGGAGTAGAATTTCAAGTTGACCGCCGTAGCCGTAGCAGGTGTCGTTTGCGTCATTTCCACAAGTGCATTTCCTTTTTCAAACGATTTCTTCTTGGTATTCAAAAGTTCCGTGACCTTGTGAATACTGAAACCAGAAATCATGTTTGATGTTCACTAAAAAAACTGAACTCCTAGAAGAAAGTAAATATGATGTTTGTTGGATGAGACTCGACCTCTGAATACCATCTTTGATTCGAGAAAAAAGGGGAAAATAAAACTACTAACGACCACCGGTCCACATTTTCAGTGTTGGTGAACACAACATGATGTCTGGTGTTTGCTAATCCGTTTGTTTTTTTTTTATCAACTATCATCAACAAGACAAAGTTGTACAGAATCATAACACGCTGGAAGATTTAGGGAGTTTTCGAAATTCAAAAAATTTCAAATTAGTGGAACTATCTTTGGATGTATGGCTTGAGATTATCTTGAAATGATCAAGATCGATCGAAATAATCAAAATAAACAATTGAATTATTATTTGATTGTTTTGAGATATTAAACTGTTGCGAACTGCGAAGAAATGTACATTACCAGTCCATAACATATACAAACGCAAATTTTTATGTTGGTTTTCGGCCATTTTGATCATTTTCAAAAGTCTATAACTTGGCTGTCAAACTTTCTATCATTTTGAAAATTTTAGAAGATGTAAAACAGACCAAGATAGAAAACTTTGCATTCCCATAATTTTTTGGAAACTGCTAGTTTTTTAGCTATTGGCAACTTTTTGATATCATTAATAAACAATTTTGCTTTTGTTCCGCTAAACTTCTATCACTATTCGGATCTTACTTAAAGCTTTTAGTAGACGACGTCATTGTTGTTGTTGTGGGGACCATCATGGTGGCGCTTGGAGTTGTTGTCGTAAAAACTAGTGGAGATTGTGTTGTGTCTTCCAGCACTCCATTCTTGTTGTTTTCGTTCCTGCAAGGCAACCAAAATTTTTGGTGCCCAAAGAACACAGATCAAAAAATGAAGATTTACTTATTCTGCTTCATGAATTTTTCCGTTTTCAGCGGTTCCTTCTCCTTGTGCGGAAACACTTTTTGCACGGCCTCTTGCCGCAGATGCATTTCTTTTTGCACATTCAGAATTGGCTCCGAATTTAGACTGCTGCCAAAGGTTATAGTTTCGATGAACTCCTCGTGTGAGTCCTGGAAAATTGAAAATAAGGGGAAAGGGATAGGAAATAAGAGATGAGAGAGCATCATCATAAAACTCCAAACATTCAAAAGCTCAAAAACGTACTATTGGAGGACTGATGATGGGTTGGAAGGCTGATGAATGGAGAATGCGCGCTCCTTCAACTCTATTATTGTCAGGATGGGTGTCTGTGTGGTGGGATGATAGTTTTGGGATGGGTTCTCGATATGAGATTCCCATAAGAAAGTGATCAGCAGCATTGATAGGGATTACATCATGGAGTGTAGGATCCAAGAATGTTTTAAGGTGATATCCTGAAATTTTGGGTGCTTATTTTACCTAAAATAAAAATTTTCAGACAGAAGCCCACCCTACCGTTAACTTTGAGCTCAATTATCTCGATTCCTGTGAAAGATATAACAATTTTGTCAACCTTAAAAATATTGGTGATATTATGATAAAAAATTTAGCAGTTGGCAAATCACTAATACCTTTCACAGGAAGCAAGATAATGGAGCTTGAATGTGACAGTTTGGCCTCTGATGAGGAAATACGGTGCTCTCAATTATTTGAGGTTCAAAAATGGTTTTAAGAACCAATTTTCAACAGTTTCTGAGTTTTTTCAAGTGTCCGCTAATTTACGGGTTTACGCCAACTTTTGAAGACTGAAAGCACGTTTTAGAGATCTTAAAGAACTTTTGTGGGCTGATTTTCAAAAGTAAAACCTGATTAAGGACGCTAAGCTTACTGATTGGAGGCTAATAATTCTTTTAGAAGTAAATTCCGTATTTTTGATTTGTCATTCTTAATTTATTAAAAGCTAATGAAGATTATTGATCTATTATGATCACTGTTCGATCATCATGTATACTACGATGATTGATCTTTATGAAATCAGAGAGCAACAATGGTACAAGCCACTGAACATGATCCATAACTGGTTGCTTGCAACTAACAGACAATTTATGAATCAGATATCGTACACACTTTAATAGAATTTCCCCAAAACTGTCAGCTTTGAGCCGATATATCTTGTTTCCTTTTGTTAAATAGATAAGATACCAAAAAGTAGTCAACTGACAAAATAATAACTATAATATCAAAAATATTTCGTCTGTCAACGACTTTCTGGTATCTTTCACTGGAATCAAAATGAATTTTCTCAAAGTTCGTAGTTTTTTTTTTCTAATATTGTTTACGACATTTGGATCCGTTTTTCTAGAGCCTTCACTACTCACTTGGATGAAGACCATGTGTCTCGGTATATTGATTCAACTTGATTGAAAGCCAGGCTGAGCTGACTTTCAGCTTACTGTCATATGCAATGCTGGGAACACCTGCAAATAGTGAAGTATGGACTTTAATGTATTATATATACAAAACAATTTAGTTTATATACAAATTGAAAAAGCAGTTCAAACACATATTGTAAACAAAAATAAGTAGTTTTTATACAAATTTAGAAGCAAATTCCTTGCAACAAATTTACCGCTTTCAAAAATTCTATTAAAAAACTAACCTGACATTGTGGACTGTTCCAATTGATTTCGTATCGATCGATTCGTAATTTCCTCTTTGGTAAAGGCACATTTTGGAGGCTAAAATGCATATTACTTTGGTCACAAGAAATTCACAAGACAAACTTACGAATACCCGTTCCTTGCATGGAGAGCCATTATCGCAAAACTCCAGCGTACATTCTATTCGATATCTGAAAAATTACCATAAAAAAGCTGGCTGGCTGAGAAAAGCAAATTGTGGCAAACTTGTCATCGGTGAGAAATTTGAAGATTCTCGCTCTGGCATAAAGTTTTGGCACATGATCATTGTAGACAACATCTCCCATCAGTTCGGAATCAATAACACATCTGGAATCATATGCTTTTTTCAATTATGTTACCAGAGTTGAACAGAACTCACCCATTTTCATCGATTAAATGGATCACTTGGCCATTTTGGGAGAGTGCATTGCAATTGGTAAGAAATGTTTGAGTTTTCGCTGAATTTGGCAGTTTGCAACTCCATTCATGAACTATCGCATCTCCTACATGGAACTCCGTCATACTACTCCATTCAGACGCCATTCTCACCAAATGGGTACAATCCCTAAACATTGAAAAAATTTTAAAATTGATTTAAAATTCTGTAAAACCGTACGCAAAACTCTGAGCAACATTGACAATAGGCATGATAGTATTATCCAGGCATTCCACCAAAAACGTTCTGTCACTATTGGTCATCACCAATGGGTGAAAACCAATTTCCACATAAGCTTTCAGTATTCGTGAGCCATTCTGAATTCGAGAAAATTGTTCAAGACCTTAAAATAAATCTCAAACCTTTAAGAATGATGTATCTGCACATTTCATAATATCCATGTGAAATGTGGCGTTCTTTTGAATATTCGTAGAGTAATCATGGTTACATGCAGGTATGAATAATTTGTTATATACCTGAGAATTTTTGAAAAAGTGTGAATTTTTGGAACCAATTGCGCTTACAGATATCCTTCCTTGAAATGGAATGTTTGTGTTAAATGTGACGGTAATTAATTTAGATGAGCAGGTTACTTGTGGCACTCCTGGAAAATAGTTTTTTTTGCTTTGTATCCAAAGATACCTTGTTAAAAGGGTACATGGAATACTGTGGGACGTGTGGCAGAACGAAAACACATTTTTTGGTTATTTCTGCTCATAATGATATTCTTAAGGGTTAAAAATTACACAATTTGGGATGGCAAATTCTGATTATTTCAGGTGGTTTGTACCTTCGTCTTGTGGATTTTGTTCCTCCAAATCTTTTGTCCCCCAATGAGTCCAACATTTTTTCAACCTCCGAATTATTTGCCTAGGTAAAAAACTCTACACCCCAAGATCCTATGTACCCTCGATGTACCTGTGGATCCTGGTCTTATTTCAAATTATTACGGAAGTGTTTTTTTAGTCAGAAGAGTGTATAAGTGTTCCTAAGCGGAACAGCTTGACATAGGAATGTCAAGAACTGTCCTACTAATTGTAGTAAAAACTATTGATTGACCATCAAAATAAAAACATTTACAACTTTCTTGATTTTTGACTTCTCTCACAGGAATCAAGCTAATTGAGCTGAAATTGACGGTCGGTATCTCATTTCCTGTGATAGGAGCCACACCAGTCAATTTTCCGCTCAATTATCTCGATTCCTTTAAAAGATATCAAAAATTGGTCAACTGATAAATTATTTAACATAATATCACTAACATTTCATCAGTTAACAGATTTCAATCATCTTTTACAGAAAGGGAGATGGCTGAGGTCAAAGTTGACGGCTTGAGTGGGTTTCTATTAGAGGGAATACGGTAGCCTAGTCAAGCATTTTTCTAAAAACCTACTACCACATTTTTATTAACTTGAACTTTTCAACTTACCCATAACATGTGCATTATCAAAATCCGTGGAGACCACACAGACAACAAAATGAAAAACGAGTCCTATGACTTTTACTGTAGAATACTGCATGCTATATGGCCCAGAAAAATATCTAAAATAAAAATTTTGTGAAAAATGAGGAAATTGCGCTTGGATAAAGTACAAAATGTTCTTCGATTTCAAAAGAAGAAAGTCCATTCCAACAAATTCACCGGAATGACAAAAACGAATTGCAAAAGCCCCGATTTCATTATGTCTGTCTCTATCTCGATCCTCTCTATTCCTCATTTTTTCTTAAGGAAACTAAGAGAGAGAGAGTGAGAAAAACAACAAGTGGGGCTTAATAACACGCACCATCTCACTGTCTTTTTTCTCACTACTCCCCAAGACGCCACAGTACTTATGAAATTCTTTTGAGAGGACCTCAGCGCAGACAAAGGCAGATTTCTTGCAGAAAACACCCGATGACTCGTATTATCCACTATTGAACAAGTACTTGTTAGTTATTATTTTTATATTCTTGGGTGGTGTCTTTTTCTTTATTATTTTGTGTTTTGATATAATTAAAAAGTTGAAACTCAAAAAATCACAGAGCATCTGGTTACAATAGGGAGAATAAAGAAAGCAGCCAAGTGAAAACTGAAAATTGGAATATTATATCAGGAAACTCTATGGATGGATCTCATAGAATGAAAAATTCAAAAAAAAGCACTAACTCTTAAAACTCAGGGAGATCTTATAAATTGAAAAATGAGGATCAGACACAGCAACGGTTTTTGCTTCTAAAATGGGGACAGGGAATCGAGATCTATTACCCAACAGAAAACCACAAAATGAGCTTCAAACCATTTAACCGGATCGGTTAAATAGGCAAACAGTACGAAAAGCAATTTACTTTATGCCCCCCGCTTAAGAAACAAATCGAATTGCGATGATGATCGTCGACGGGGGGCGGTGGTTCTTTACCGCACTGTATTCGGATTGAGTGACATGTATACGAATCGAATGATTGCTCAATTATAGCCAACGATATTCCTTTCCCCTCTACCATATAAGCCTTAATTGCTTCCTTCTTTTTTTTGGTGACATGAATCATGGTTACGACTAGTCTTCCGCAATACAGTCGAATGTTGCCAAGATGAGACGGAAAAATAAAGAATAAAGGTAATAGAGAGTGTCAGCGCAGTCGGGGCTTGTCGTCTGGAGGGAAAACGTTTAAATTATAAGATCGTTGAAGCTTGCGGTCGGGCCGGCTTTTTTCAACCGGAAAAACGTAGCGGATGCTTTTGAAAATGATATTGATGACTGTAGAAAGGGAACATATATTGTCAATATCAATGCAATAAGAAAATGAATTATTTCATTTCAAAAAACAAGAAGTAGGAAAAGTTTGTAATTTTACAATTTCCCTTGCCATTTGAACATCGTCGATGAACTGGAATCTGTTAATTTCCAACTATTTAACAAAATATTACTTCAAATTCTGAAGTGCAAAATTACCAAGAACGATCCTTGAACCAGGATTGAGTATCGTATATCTCTTTCAACACAAAATAAGCGCTACTTGCAGTCTAAGTCCCAAGTCATCACTCTGAAAACTATGTTATACTTGGCAAAAAAATATTTAGAAACTCATCATGCGTGAAATGCACAAGGAATATCTTCCCATTATTTTTATTGAATCGGAATAGTCTCATGACGAATATCTCAACATACGGATGCCGTGAAATTTTTGAATGAGAATAATTAAATATTTACAGAATTTCCAGAAAATCAAAGCGAAGACGTCCATACAGAAGGTCGTCAGGTTAATAAATAAATGATTCTGAAGATAGTCATGGTTTTATATACTAATCGCTCCTTTAGTGTTGCAAAGTCGACGTTGCAAGGCCATGAAACACGGAAACCGTTTATATCCGGATTCTTATCAGAGTGACGTATCCGAGAAATGAATCTTGGGTCAACGTTTACGGACACTTATTTTATATCTTTGTTGGGGTTTGACAGTTTACTTATTTTCTTGTATTAGACTGCATCACCAGAAATCCGAAATCATAAAACGCTCAAATGATTGAAAATCACAAATGAGTTATTTCGAAATACAGTGTTTTTGTAGATGGATATTTCCAATTAGTCCCTTGGCATTTTTTTAATCGAGAATATGGTAGACAGGAACTTTAAAATGTATTTGATGACATAGCGTATGATGTCTGACATATGGAATTTGACAAATCAGAATATAAAATAATTTTATTGTTCAAGTAAGAAAGAATAAAATAAATTCAGAATTAAAAACATCAATGCCATCCTTATTCCTGTTATTTTAGCTTCACACAATTTGCTTCTCTAACACTTGCACTTTTACCAGTTTGCGCTTCCGAAAATGAATATGAGCCGAGATCCATTTTTGTTGTATCTGACACCCAGTGTAAAAATTCAATTGTTGCTGCAGAGAGGTAACATCCTAAAAATGATGATTAGAGAAGAAGAAGAGTTCCTGTTAACTTACCGATGGACTTTGAGTAGTCCAACATCTTCTCAAGATCTTCCAAAACATGAGCCAGCGTTAACACAACGATTTCATTATCCTGAAATCAATTTGTAAATACACAGCGTTGCCTTAGCCCAATACTTTACCTGATTCAGAATCCGCATCATCCTTTTCCTTCTTCAAGCTTTTTCTTATCGAAATCTCCGTTCTTGAACTTTTAAACTTTTTCCAGTTGTTCTCTGTACTTTGGCACGCTACATACCTAAACAATTTGATCGTTTTTGTCTTACTGTTTTTGAATCCATTCTTTCCTCCGCCATTTGAATGTTGCGGAAAATTAAAAGAAAAAAAATTAGTTGTATTTTTCAAAAAATGTTTCCAGATATTTTCAGCACTAAACTAAATTATTTGAAACTCTAACTGAAAAAAGATTTGAGAAAAGAAACGTTGAAGAATCTCACCTTCGGGTATCGTAATGTCATTTTGGCAGCTGTTTTTCAAAACCGGAACAATAAGCATATTAACAGGCAGATTAAAAATTATCAATAATTAATAGTTAAAAAATTTACAGGATTTTCAGAAAGAATAAAAACGAAGACGTCCATACAGAAAGTCGTCAGGTTAACAGATACATGATTTTGAAGATAGCCATGGGTTTTATACAATCACTACTTTGTCGGCGTCCCATTTTCGAGGTCATGAAATACGCAACCCAGTTAAAACCGGAACTATATCACGGTGACGTCGTCCATTGATATCGGCTTAATGTTCACTGACTTTAACTCATTTCTCAGTTGATAAACTGGTTCTGACCGATTTTTGAATTCGTTCAAAACATTTTACTAGCTTCCTGAATTTTAGAATGTTTCAATTTTCAATTTTCATTTTATTTCATTTTCTGAATACATTTTTAGCAACAGTTTCCAGAAGCAACGAAAAATGGTGAAAAATGGGAAAAACCCCAAAAAGAAAACAAAGAAAAATGAAAACAAAACGCTCAAAATTTGAATCATGAAGGCTACGGTACCCTTCGTACACCACAAACCACGCAAAAGTGGGGGTCTTTATTTGAATTGGTGGGGGACTATATTTGAATGGGTGGGGGACTATATTTAAATTGGAATAGACCCTTTAAAAGTGGGGGTCTATATTCGAATTGGTGGGGGGCTTATTTTGAATTGGAACAGACCCTTTAATAGTGGGGGGCTATATTTGAATGGGTGGGGGCTCATTTTGAATGGGTGGGGGATTATATTTGAACTGTTCCAAATGTATAGGTTGTTGGAGGTGGGGGGCTCAACTATAGTTCATTTTGGGGGGGGGGGGGTCTATACTTGAATAGGGGTGGGGCTACATTTGAATTCCGCCGGCATTTCTAAATCCTACGTAACTTGGTGCTTTTCTTTTCTCTCGGGTCGTATGTTTTCTGTTAAGATCAACGATGTTATTGGACACCCTTCTTCTGTCATTCCTTCGAATGTTCCACAGGGATCAGTCTCAGGCCCTCTACAGTTTCTCATTTTCATCAACAGCATGTCAAGCTGGTGTTAACAAGGTTGTAGATTGGGCTACTGCCAATAATCTTCCTCTTGCCCACTATATTACTACATTTCTTCGCCTAGGTTCCCATAACCACTCTCACCCTCTTAATATTGCTAGTATCGCCCTTACTCCCTCCTCATCCGTCCGGGACTTGGGTCTCATTACTGATCCCTCTCTCAAGTTTTCAGCTCAAATCAACAAAGTCTCATCCTTAGCTCTTCTCCGTTCCAAACAACTCTTAAAGTCATTTAGATCTAATTGTACGTCTCCTGATTTCTAAATTCATCTGTTCAAATGATATGTTTTCCCGTTTATTGAATATTGTTCTGTAGTTTATTCTCCACCTCCCTCTTCTCGCCTTGCTCTAAAACTAGAATCTCCCTTAAGATTTTGCTCTAAGAGTATTCTCCAGCGTTCTAATATCCAGTATAGTTCCTACTCTGATCGTCTCTTTATCCTCAGCATGTACTTTATTCGACATCGTAGGCTGAAAGCTCAACTAATTCTTCTTTTTAAATTTTTAAATGGCGCCGCCTACTTTCCTGACCTTAATGCACACGTCAAGTATTCCTCCCCGCGTCGCCCTACGAATTATTTAATTATTGTAAACCCCTACTCCTCTGACAATTTCTTCTCAACTATTCTTATGTGGAACGCCATCACTGTCCCAGTTACCCGACTTCTCCTATCATTTTTTTTTCTTCTCCTATCATTTTTTTTCATATCATAATTCTCCCGGTTTCCCTCCTTCACTCAGCTCGGCCTCGTGAGGAGCGTTTTCTGAGTCTGTATGGACGTCTTTCATGTCTTGCGCTGATAGTCATATTCTTTGTGTCAATAGCTAATTACAATTACAATTACAATTTTTTTAAGGTTCTTGTTTCAAAAACAAAAATGACATTAATTATTTGAAATCGGATATTTTTTCCCATTGAAAAGTCATATTTTTATTGAAAACTATAGCCACCAGGGCTGGGCGAGCAATCGGCTTTCGTGGGAAACGAAATGCAAAACACACGCATTTCGCGAAAAAAGTTGGCGGAGCCTCGGCACACACAAAGTATAGTGGACGGCGGAACCCGGGAGGTGTCGGCCGTTGCGTAGAATGACTACCCATCAGCGCGCATTAAAGAAAATTTTCTTTCGTGTCAAGACCCATCGACATAATTGCATGTTCCTTTAATCTCGTTTTGCACAAGAAGCGAGAAAATTTTGCGAAACGTCAAGGTTTTTCTCCCATCCTCACCCACCCCTGATAGCCACTCTATTGAAAATGTTTCCGCATTTTTTGAAATTATGAAATCCTCAATTTTTGAAGACTGAACCTAAATTATCAGAGTTTATTTAACAATTCTTTTCGTTTTCTTTAGTTTTAAAAAGTTCAATCTTCGCTGTGCGTTTTTAATGAAAATCATTAAGAGGCAAATATTCACTAAATCAGTCAGCATCTTGAGAGAAAATTCATCATTTTCTTTTTTTTTTCATTTTTTTCAGTTTTCAGGCTTACCTAACTCTTTTTCTATATTTCAAAAGATGCGCCGCAGCCTTTTCGTTCATTTAAGTTATTCAGATTTTTCTAATGGCGCTTAAGTTGTTTTTTCGTGAGCCATTTTCGCGCATTTTGCTTTTTTATTTTATTTTTTGTATTTCTATTTTGAATAAATGAGAAAACAGTTAATTTCAAAATTCTTCATTGATCAAGTTGTGGTGAGAAATTATGGTACAAGAAAGTAAACGAGTAGTTGGCTCCTTGGCCAATCGGTTTCGACTCAGACAAGGGTAGGCTCTCCATCCAGCATCTCCATGTACAAATCAGCAGATGCGTTGTGCGCTGGAAGTGATTGTTGAATCTTCTGCTTCAAGTTCTCGTAATCGATGGGCACGATATCGTTCAGTTCAGACAACGCTTCAAACCAAGGTGTCAAGAATCGAGCAAGAGGAGGAAGCGTCTTGGATGGCTCACGCAACTGAAACATTTCAATATTTGTTTCCTTTTCTGCTTTTTTTCAACTCACCATTTCTCTCTTCCATGCAATCAGCTCATCTGGAGGAGATTTCATTTTTTGAAGAAAATCGTAACCGCTCGCGTAGAGAATAGCATATGATAACTGATGGAGATCATCCTTCGGCATCGGTTCGCAACCCATTGCGACTTCAAAACTACAGTACTTCATCACATTGAATTTCGGATTGGTTGAATCATCAATCAAGTTGCCGTCGTCGTCCTTGTAGTGATGGGCAAGTCCCAAATCAAATATCTTGATAGTGACACGATGATTTGGAGACGTTGGTAGAGAAACAGCGAAATTTCCAAGTTTGACATCACGATGTACCAAGTTGTATGAATGAACTGCTTGTAAGCAGCTTATTGCTTGCCATGCAATTCTCACCAATGTCGGGCGTTTTATCGCATGCCATGGGACTCTTTGTCGAATACTTTCGAGGTCCGCGCCAAGCAATTCTTGACCTGAAAATATTCAAACTCCTCTATTTTCGATCACAGGAACTGTTTTTTTTTCATATTTCAAAACCAGCGTATCTTTTCGACACGGCTTCAAGAAATTTCCAAAGAAAAAATCCTTGAAAAATTTTCAAGAAATTCTCTAAATGTTTTTGAAAAAGTTTATGAGGATCATCTTGAAAATTTTTCGAGGAATTTCTTGAGGAACTTCACTAAACGTTTGAGAAAAAGTTTCAAATGGACTAGAATTGGTTAATTATTTACATGGTGTTTTTTCTAAGTCACGTTGAACTGTAGTCCTAAATTTTGTAAATTGAGTTTTTTACACCATCCTGTTAAACTGAATCAGAAAACACACTATGTGAATATAAGACCTATTCCAGGCCATTTTAACATGGTGGCCTAGAAAACTAAACTTGCGAAAGTTCGGCCATCACGTTGAAGATGGGGGGACATGAAAAAAATAATGTTCTCGAAATTCCGTTTAAGATGCCCCTCGAGGAGTTGAACTTGTGAGGGCGATGATTGAGGGTGCGGCGCCGCTACCGACTGAGCCACGCGGGCAGAGAGAAAGCGCTCACCCGATTGCATACATAAAGGCGAGGACGACAGCTGTAACGCAGAGTGACATTAAGCGTTGTACACCGTGACGGTAGAATGCATACTCTAACTACAAAAAAACTTCGAAAAATCTCCTGCCCCCCCCCCCCCCCACCTTTAAAATGTATTCTTTTCGAAAATTTCCTCAATAAGCATTTTTTTGGGAATTTTTTCGTTTGAAAAGACAGACCGCTCAAAAATTTCCATACTTTTCAGACTACTTTATTTTTATCAAATGAAAATCTTACCAATAGTATGAAGTATGCCGTTTTGGGTAGGAGTCTCCTCGTGAAAAAAGTATTTGGGAGTAAACTCGCAGTAGAAAAGACGTTGCAAGGCAACTGCCTCATTCAGCACATCCGATGATCTGATGGATGCCTTCACGGCGATTCTCTCCGATCCAGACGACGCTTCATACACAGCTCCATAACTTCCAGTTCCAATCAATCGATTCAAGTGATATCCTCGGATATCCACGCCAACAAGATCTTTGATTGTAACGGCTCTAATCATTCTGGAAAAAAATCATTGAATAAGCTTTCTAGATTGAAAATTTGCCATTTTCTTTGTTTTTTTCCAGTTTTTTCTTGAAATTTCCGGCTGACCTAATTATTTTTTGGTATGACCTATATTTTGAGAAGTGCTCTAATGTTTTGCCTAACTATCATAATATTTCCCTATACACTAAAACTAGTTTTTCATGAAAAAAAAATCAAATTTACCTTGAAATTCAACAGCACGGGGCAAGAGAGAGAAGAGAGCTCACCGATTCTGAGCGGGAAAAAAGGGAATACTGATTTTTTCAGAGGATTTCCCCCTTCATCGACAGTGAAACGTGGAAGGTCACCCTAAATTGTTTTGAGGGTACCAGGTTTTTATTATTTTTGAAAGGTGAGTCACTGGTGGTGGGTGGGTAGGGGATGAAGATGGGAACATGAAATTGGGTCAGCTGCGAAACTAGGTCAACTGACACCTCCATCTAGGTCAAAATTGGAATTTGATCAGTTTTGAAGGTAGAGGTACCATATTGGAGGCTTGGAAAGAGCAATTCGTGTAAAATTTAAATTAGGTCATCAGATGACTTTTTCTAGGTCAGATTTGTATTTTTGTTGGTTTTAAAGGTACAGGTACCAAGATGTGTAGGTGGGATCATTGAGGGATGAGAATTTAAAATCAGGTCAAATTTTTCAGTAAAGTAGGTCACAGAAGCTGTTTTGTACTCCGTAGAGGTTGAGGTGCTATATTGAGGGAATGGAATCCCAGAGCTACTGATATTTAAAATTACCGTAAAATCTGTATTGATATTGCATGCAAGTCTATTGTTCAAGTCACCTCAAGGGGTGCAACTCTATTAGAGGGGCAATTCAAATAGAGGCTGCAATTCTATTTTTCAAACTACGAAAATTTTGAAAAAAAAAGTTTTATTATGAAAATCAACAAAAAAGTAACAAATTGAACACAACAAAAGGAAAATATTCAAAAAATTGAGGCGTCACTGTCATAGTTATTGTCTTCTTCCTCGGCATGGTTCATTTCTCCATCGTCTTCCTCTTTTTCAATATCTCCCAAAATCTCCTGAATTTCTTCCATTTCTCGTTCTGCTCGTCTTGTCTTCAATAACTGTACGCCTTCTGGAATTTCTCCATCTTTCTTGAAACAATGAATTGCCTCATCATCTTCGCCATTTCTTCCATTTTTTAATCCGCATCCTTTGAATGATCTTACAATGTATTCCTTCGGGATATTTTCCCACGCCAATTGAATCCATTTCAAATAAACTTCCATACTGGGATCACGCATATTTCCCGCCGGGGTGAACGATTTCGTTCCATGAACCATCCAATCTTCGTACTCTTTTCTGATGAAAGATTTAAACATTGCGTTCCAATATACATCTGGAGCCTGAAAAATCGGGTCACGCAAAGTTTTAATAAAATCTACTCACTTGTAAGAATTTTGTGCATCCTCCAGGAATCACCGCAGTGTCTAGTCTCAGTTGTTTCAATACTTTTTTAGTGTCTGTACTGATGTGGCAACGGTAAGAGTCCCATACTAACAACCTTTTTCCGAACATTGAGTGACCGAGAACTTTTTCAAGAAAAGTTTTTGTGATTTCATCGTTGAAAAATGTTCTGTCACACCAAACCAACTGCAAAGTTTTTCTAAATGTTTCCTCAATACTTTGCACTGGTCTTTTTCTTGGAAGAAGTACAAAAGGTTTGCACTTAAAACCGTCTGATCGAGCGCACAGCATTACTGTAACATGCAATTTCTCGTGTCCCGTGGTTTTCACTGAAACCTGAAATTGAAACGTTTAGCTTGTTATTTTTGAGTGTGCTGACTTGTTTAGATCCTCGATCCGCTACAGTCAAACTATTCGAACAATCCAGATAAACCGCCGTCTCATCACATGCGAAAATTTTGTCATAATTATTCATGGTAATTAATCGTTCCACATAAAGGAGAAAGTCAATAATTTTCTCCACATAAAACTCTGGCGGTTTTTGACAGACTGTTGTAGCACGTCTACTCGAAAATCCATGCCGCTTCAAAAAAGAAACCAGCCATCCATTCGAGAACTGCAACATTTAATGTTTATTCTCAAGTAGGTAATCTGTTTTCAAACCTTCATATCACTATTTGAAATAGACTTGGCGTGATTCTGGATTCCAATACGAGTAATACGAAGCTTTTTTTCTCTTTGCTCTCGGACCCATTCCGCAAGTTTAGTATCAAAATCTTTATCATTCACTTTACGCCCTGCGCCATCAAGCCGTTTTTTCTTTTTTCCATTTTCAGCGATTGTTGCTATTATTTTTTCTTTCTGAGCTCTCCATTGTTGCACATTTTGTCTTGAAACTCCAAATTTCTTAGCTGCTTCCGTGTTATTTTTTGATTCTGCCCATTTCACCACCGTAAGCTTGTAATCCAAGGGGTGGGCTCCACGCTTTCTCTTTCTAGAGTTTCCACCAACTTTTTCAACGTCTTCCACGTCTTCCACGTTTTCCACGTCTTCCACGTTTTCCACGTCTTCCACGTCTTCCACGTTTTCCACGTCTTCCACGTCTTCTACGTTTTCCACGTCTTCGAGGACTTCTTCAGAACTCATTGCTCGTGTTGCTCGCTTCAATAAATGGAAAATATTGTTAAAAAAACAAAGAAAAATAAAAATAAATCAGAAATTAAGTAGGTAGTTTAAAAAAAAAGAAATTCGAAAAACAACTGTGCAATTGTTCGTCACGGTGTCACAGACTAAAAATTGCACAGTACTCCCGGCGGAGCCGCAATTCTGCTGGAGATGCAATTGTATTACGGGGGCAATTCAATTAAAGGCTGCAAGTCTATTTTTCAAGTGCCCTCAAGGGGTGCAAGTCTATTAGAGGGGCAATTCAAATAGAGGCGCAATATCAATACAGATTTTACGGTAGGTTAGTTTTTTTTTTTCAGATAAGTAGGTCACAAATGTTTTATAGTTCTGGATAGAGATGGATATAAACACAATAATGAATTGAAGCTGGATGAAATCCTAATGGGAATCCTTGCGTCAGCCCTAACGTTTTTTTTCAAATTTTTGTCTGTGATTGATGGTTGACATGGGTAATGAAGCAGTTATATTTGGTTTTGTTCATTAGATTTTTTTTTTGCTGCTTGATGTTCTCAATTTGTTCCTTGACGATTTTTTATGAGTTTTTTCGGAAATGAGTTAATAGGAATATGAACATTCATTCGATAGATCAGCATATGACAGCCTACATAACAGATTCTGATAAATCAAGTTTTTCAGACAGTCCGGAAGTTTGCATTTGACACTGGGAAACTTAAACACTGGCATCGCAATTCTGAATAGATTTAGAATTACAATTAGGAAAAATAAAGGTGCTTTGAAAACCGAATTTATTGTTGTTTTTCATAAAAATGTTAAATTTTTTTCAGATATTTTTTCATGAATAACTTCTTAACATCAGCGGCGGGGCCGCGGCTCCGTCTTGCACATGGAAACAAGAAAACCGACTTTTTATAGTCCTTTCGTTTCTCGAGGGCTGAGAAAAAACTGATTTTCACAAACTATTGCCGGCGAAAAAAATTGCTTGCAAACGCCGGCTTTTTCTCAGCCACGTAGGAGGAAGAAATAATAAAATCGGCGAAATAGTGTGTGCAGAGAAAAAGCATCCTATATAAGCAACCCACCGTGCATCGTTTTCATTCTATTCTTTTTTCATGACAGCCGTCTGATTTTGGTTGTCTCTATCTATTGATTTTTATCGAAATGTGATTTTTTGAAGAGGTAAGCAGTTGGTTTTTCGTAGGAGTTGTGAAATAATTTTGTATTATTTGATCCTCTACACGGAGGACAAAAAAACTTACTTTTCGTTGATTTTCAAAGTAAAACGACTTCAATCCCTATGATTTCTTTTAAGGTGAAAAAATTATACAGTTTCAGTTTAAAAATGTGGAGAGCAGGGAGTTCAAATGTCTGGAGGCCAGAAACAACGCCGGAGCACTGGTTAGAAATCCACGAGTATTGATTATGGATGAAGCCACTTCGGCATTGGATGTGGAATCGGAGGCATTGGTCCAAAGTTCTTTTGTTAAGTGCTAGTCATTGCTCATCAGTAGTATAAAAAGTCACGCTCTAGCGCAGTTTTGGGCCCGCCTCTAATAATTACCACTTTTGTCAAAATTTCATATCAATCTCCAAGGATAACCTAATTAATCAATCAAAAACGACCTTTTAAAATCACCCCCTATTTTCCCGAAAATTCCTCGGGCCCTCCATCAGATGGTCAGCGCTCCTTTAACGCTCTGTCAGATTATCGTCGGCTCTCCGTCAGCCTATTGCCACCTCTCCACCACGGTTATATCCTCCAGTATACCTCAAGTCTCTCCACTACGGATTCTTAACACCTTAAGGATCTCTACCACGAGTTTATCACTTACCCAGTTTGTCTTAACTTTGGGCGATTATCCAGAACATGGGGACGTTCAGTATCTTGATACTTAGCCATGAACCCCAAACATGGCATCTACACTTATGCAGCTTAACTTTGAGTGGATATCTAGCACCTGGGGGACGTTCAGTATCTTGATACTTAGCCATGAACCCCAAACATGGCGACTGTATGCATGCCTACAATCTTAACTTTGTGCGATTATTCAGAACTGGGGGACGTTCAGTGTTGCCAGCCGCTTCACTAGAGAGTGAATTTGACAACACCTTAGCCATGAACCCCAAACATGGCGTCTGCACGCGAGCAGCTTAACTTACGTTCAATGAGTAGAGGAAGAGTTCCTGAGAAGTTGCATTTTTTTTTTTTGAGCAGGCTTTTTTTTTTTATTTTTAGAGAAGTTTTTTTGAATAAGATTTTTAAACAAGAGAAGTTAGGGGGCGTGTCCAAATCTTTTCGGTTCGGGGATCCTCTAGA